TGATGAGGCTGTTGACGAACTGTGATTGTTTTTTAAATTAATGACATTTTTTTAACTATGTTATTTTAGAAAAACTGATGATGGTGGAAAAATACACCAAAACGTATTTTAATTGATTAATAAAGACAAAAAATGACTGAAACCCAGGAATTAATTTTGATTTGGAATTGAAACACAGTCAGGAAAGTATATACAATTAAACAAAATACCAAATTAACCTCGTCACTTTTATTTTACAATATATAGTTGAAGTGTTTGATGTTTCCGATTACCCCGAAGTTGTTGGGTAAATGTAAACATTAACAACTTTTAAACATTTATGTTCCAAAATTGAATTTTTGTTTCTTTTATTTCAACTCACTACAATGTAGTAACTTTATCAATTATGATATATGATCTATTTTTAAGTGATGAAAATTTGCAAGAAAAATGTATTTGTCAAAATCGTTTACTTTTACCCCACTCGACCCTAACAGCGTAAAAATTCAAGACAAACCGATCCATGCCGCGAGCCTTTTTAGAAAAAATCCTTGTTTTTTTTCTGGTGTGAAAACGGGGGATAATCAGGATGTTTCCTTTCAGGTGGTCGAGTAACAGCCTTCCAAGCGGCGCTTCCGAATGTGGGCCCCGGAGCAGTTACATCCAGAGAAGACCCAAACCAGCGATCAACTGCCGAAGCCCTACTGCTGAATCCTGTGAATGATTTCTATAAGCGGCTGGCTTTGGAATGTTCGGGCCAGCAGATAGCTGTTGATTTATTTGTCGTGAATTCGCAGTATGTGGATTTGGCCACTATATCGGGAATTAGCAGATTTAGCGGTGGTTCGGTTCATCATTTCCCACTGTTCAAGTTAAATCGGCCTCTGGTCGTCGACATGTTCCAGCGCGAGCTGAGGCGATATCTGACAAGGAAAATCGGCTTTGAGGCTGTAATGCGAGTTCGATGCACTCGAGGATTGGCGATGCACACTTTCCATGGTGGGTTTTAGCTGTGCTGAAAAAGCCTGCTTAAAGTATCACGTTTGGTGATTTGCAGGCAATCTGTTCGTCCGCTCTACCGACTTGCTCTCGCTGCCCAACATTAACCCAGACGCAGGCTTTGGAATGCAAGTGTCCATTGACGAAAGCCTGACGGACTATCAAAGCGTTTGCTTCCAAGCGGCGCTGCTTTACACGACTAGTAAAGGTAGCTTTCGCACCCCTTGTTAGACGCATAAATGCCACAACCATTTTTTAGGTGAACGTCGAATCCGCGTGCATACGTTGTGTTTGCCCATTGCCAATACATTACACGACGTGATCCATTCGGCTGACCAGCAATGTATCATTGGTTTGTTGGGCAAAATGGCTGTGGACAGGTAAAACCTTTTCTAAATCATCCGCCTGGCAAATCTAAAACTGGCAATTTCCAGGTCGACTCAAGCGTCCCTCTCCGATGCCCGGGAAGCATTTATCAATGCTGTAGTGGATGTTTTGAGCGCCTACAAATTATCCCTTAACATAGGAACTGCTGGATCTGGACTGTTAGCACCCGAATGCCTTAAGCTGCTCCCGTTATACATCGCGGCGATTTTAAAGCACCCCGCTTTTAGAATAGGAATTTCTACCAGGTACGTGCTTTGGAATACTCCCCATTGTTGACTAACGCTGTTTCATCCGCTCGCAGATTAGATGACCGAGTTAAAGCAATGATAGACATGAAGGCGAAGCCTCTGCCTCTCCTAATTCAGCAAATCTACCCCGACCTGTACCCGGTGCACAACTTGGAGCTGCAAGAGGTTGTGATGAACAGCGAAGAGGAGTCGGTGCCGCTGCCGCCTCGCCTGCAGCTGAGCGCAAGATGTTTGGAAAACAAAGGCGCTTTTTTGATGGATTGCGGCGACCAAATGATCATTCTTGTGGGCCCTAATGTGTCCAAAGACTTCCTTAACCAGGCTCTGGGCGTGCCTGATTACAGCAGCATCAGTGAAACCATGGTGGAAATTCCCGTGTTGGACAACGTGCCAAATAAGCGGCTACTCCAGTTTATCACCTATTTGAATGACGCGAAGCCTTATGCTGTAACGCTGCAAGTTCTGAGGGAAAACAGCCCGAGTAGGGGCGTTTTCCTGGAAAAACTCATCGAAGATAGGCTGGAAAATTCATTATCTTACCACGAGTTTTTGCAGCATTTGAAAACACAAGTGAAATAGCCGTAGGCATTGAAAAGTGAACAGTAATCTAGGGTTTGACAATTAAAACTGCTGTGGCGATTATAACTCGAACTGAAGCTACGATTAGTGTTAATGGAAAATGAATATTTAGTGTGCAATTTTGAGTAACGGCGAGGGATTAAAGTGAAGTGTGAAGAACCAACAATTTGCTTGATTGAAATTCCGCGATTCGGCAGCTGCTGTTCTAGTCATTGTTTCCACTAGGAATAAATTCGAAATTCACTCCGATGCCAATTGAAAACCAAAATTGTCAACTCACACCAGCAAGTTTTTTTTGGTTTGCCAAATCGTCGGTAGTTTGAATGAACATATGAATAAATTGTTGGTGCCCACTTTAAAATGTTAACGTGACGATACCGTTTAGTACTTTTGTGTCCTGGATATTTTACCTTAAACATTCACAGTTCTCGCCGCCAGCTAATCATATTATGAAGTATCAAAGGACTGTTCAGTGAAAATACATGTATTTTATATTTGGGTCGGGCCTTTGAATAGCCAGTTTGTAATGAATATATAATAGTTTTGGGACAGGCCGGTATTGTGATATGTTTTCCTGAATGCGCAGGAAACGAAAAAAGTAGCAATAATTTTGAGGGGATTGAGACCAATGGGAGCAAATTGCTTTGGAGAAAATATAACTCTTAACAAAATTTTATTTTATTATTCACTTACTTCTAAACGCCTGCGTTTTACGTTTCACGTTCTTAATCAGCGAGTTTAATTCGACGTTTTTCTGTCCTGGTGCGGATTTTGCTTTCTTCGCCTCGTTGCTGGTGCAAATGTCGTTTTTCCTTTTGATTTGCTTAAAACGTGGATCGGAAGGATCCACGTTATAGTGATAACTGGTGAAGCGAGCCGAAAACCTTTTGTCCTCAAGGTTAACCTGGGATAAAAATTATTACAGCTTTATTTTGGTAAATTCGAAAGATGCTTACTTTAAAATCGTCCTCGTTCTGTTGCTCTTCATTGCGTTTTTTGCCCTTTTTCTTCTTGTTCTTTCCTTTGTCAAGCATTCGGTTGAAATTGAAGTGCTTCTTTTCCTCAGCATCATCGCCGTCGCTCATCAAAATTAAATCCAATTCTGCCTGTTTTTGTTTGTCGTCTTCATCAACAGCTTGTTTCCGGTTTTTCTTGTTCAGTTTCTTCGTCGTTTTGAATTCCGGATTGTTGAACTCTTCCGCAAAGTAGGGGTCATTCATGTCGATATCGGATGGCATGTCGCTGTCCTCAGACTGCTCCGCTTTCGCCTTTTTCTTCCGCTCCTTTCGCTTCTCCTTCTTTTTGTCCAAATATTTCTGGAACGGCGTTTTATCCTCCTTACTAATCTGCTTCTCTTTGATTAGTTTATCGGTTTTCTTCTTCAAGCTCACGCCCCAAGAGATTTCCATTTCAAAGTCCTTGTTTTTTTTTTCCTGTTCCTTGTCCTGGATACCCTCCAGCAGCGCCTTGTATTTATCAATCGAACTGCCTGTAAAACATTGCAATTAAAAGCTAAAAAATTCACAGGTAAAACCATCTGGTTTACCTTGTTGAGAATCTTCTTCAGATTCATCGCTTGATTCATCTTCATCACTGCTGGCTGCCAGGTAGTTTTCAAGCTCCTTTTCCGAAATATCGTCGAGTTTTCCGCTGTTGATTTTCTCGCTAATCTCCAATCGGTCGGGGTTCGTTTCGTCCCAAGTGAGTTCCACTTTGGCTTGTTGCAGCGCCGTGGTAGTGAAGAATCTTGGTTGATATTTCGTTGGCAATTGATCGCAGGAATCTTTAGGCTCGTCATCGAAAGTCATCTCGTCTGGTATGAATCGGAGATCGATCTTGGTAGCGCTCGATTCATACTCCATGCCATCGCATTCTGAAACGTTTGAAGGTGTAAAAACCGTTAAAAATAATTTGCAATTATTTACCTGTGTAAATCTTATTGGCGGAACTGGCATTATTGACCGTAATAACTGCATAGTAGTACTTCAGGCGGTTGAGCTGGTACTGTCTCAATTTTTCCATGTGATACTTGGAGCCTTCTTCATTCTCATCCTCTTCAGGCTCCGGGTGAGGATCAGCATCCACTAGTTCAATGGGCCCTTTCACCTCCTCTTCCTTCAGCCCTAAGGGATGATTGGGTTTAAAGAAGAAACCTCTAAGGGGACAGAAAACGGGTTACTTACGTTGCTTTCCATATTCGGACGGGTAAATAACCACGGATTTAATGGCGCCTGATGGTGGCAGAAAAGAGTTGAACAAAACCATTAGATCAATGGCCCTGATTCGGTCCCAATCCAAATTGCAGGCTGCTAGTCTATGCGTTGCTTCCTCAGTGGTTCCAGCATCTGCATCCAGTTCGCCCCATTTGTGGTCAATATCTTCTGAATCTGAGACTTCCTGATCGGTTTCTTCATCGTCTGTAATACAAAAAGAAGTGTCAGGTTTGGAGTTGTGTCAAGCAGAAGCTTTTAGTGTGGCCCAACCTGAAGAACTGTCTGAATAGAGGCACTTCTCTCCTCGAGCATAATCCACTTGCAAGTCGCGCAGCTTTTCCTTAACATCCACTGGCAGTTTCTTGTCCTTAACATCCAATTTGTTCGGCTGTGGGGCCTCATCTTCACTACTTGCAGAGCTTCTAGCTCTCACGTGCTTCCCAGGCTCTGGCGCCTCACTGTCACTTTCACTCGCCGATTCTTCTTCAGAGCTCACTTCATAGAACCGTTTCAGGTCCTCTTTCGAACGCAGTTTCACGGGTCGCCCCCTTTTATCACTGGTGTAGTTCGATTGAAACTGCTTGTCTGTAAACATAGACTGGAAGCGGCCATCGATTTTCACTTTGCTTTCGGACTTGGGCACTTTCCGGAACTTTGGGTCCTTTTTCACGTGCAGAAACCGTTTATCGTCCATTTTGGGGCTCTCAAACACAGACTCTCAAATGAAGATGTGTTCTGGAAAATATGGGAAAATTGTTAGGTTATACAATAGTTTGGGGTTATACACCATTCGATTCTTGCCATTGTGAGCCTAATTGCAAGTGAAGCTAGCTGGTGATGGACAAGCGTTCACTTAGTGTTGCACTTGCACACATAAATTGGAAAGAGAAACCGCATGATCGCCGATAATTTCCCCAATTCCTCTAGACAGGGTTTTCAAAAAAGTCAAACAAACGCAAAAAATTCGAATTATTCAAATAGTTTTGCTCGCCGAAAAAAGCGAAATCCATGCGAATCTTTGCCTTAAATCCCAAGTCCCATTCAATATGTTGGTGCGGACAGTGTTGTTGGCCCTTTTGGCTATCGGGGTGTATTCTGAATTAGACTTAGACCATGAGTCTGGAGCGCTTAATTATCTGCTAACAGAGGGACTCAGAGTGAACCCTGTGCTTGTAGGTAAACGCATTTGGTTCTATTTAAAGGGGTAAAATGTTGAAAACTCAAATACACTGGTGTCCTCAATCAAGCAGCCTCAAATCTTATTTTAGAAGAAGAAACTTTGTCAGAAGAGTCCAGGAGATTCATCTCGGCAAAGTACGACAGTCTTGTGCGTTTAGTGGGGCAAAGGCAGCGTGCGGTATCAAGCAGAACGAAGAGAAGTTTGGATGTGGACCCAAAGACCAACTCAATAAGTAAGGAATTTATTTAGGGACAATAAAAATTCTGGTCATGGGATGATTGAGATCGTCACAGTTGTAAACGTACATAAACTAGGTTCACTAGGCGCTTTTGGCATCCACGCCGAATATTTCCTTAAAAATATTGGCCACTTCGTGTGCCTCCAGGTAGCGATAAAACTCTCCCATATCCATGTGGTTGAACTTGGGGCCATGATTCTCAAACACCAGCTCAAGGAAGTCCTTAAATCTCAAAAAAGTCCCACCCTTTGAGTCTTCTTTGTTACTTTCCGTAATCTGCAACGACATTTAGATTGAAGTTAACGCGACTCTGCATTGATTCAGCGAACAGACCTTGCAAAAGATTTTCTTCCAGTTCATGTTTTTCACTGCCTGCCAAAATTCGTTCACGTCTCTGGACGTTCCTTCCACGCAAATTATACCAGGTTTCCCTGGCATTACAAAGCCGGACAATTTCAGTTCATCTGCGAGATCTATTAGGGCTTTGCGCTTGGTTTTGCTGCAGAGAAAAGCATTATTGAAAAAAAAACTGTAGAGATAATAAAGATACTCTACCTGTAAATGTGATGGGAATAGATCCAAAATCTAACAAGCTCCGCATCCTCTGAACAGTGGTCTGTTGTTTCGATTACTGCTTCCTTCTGTTCAATGTAATCTAGAGCGTGATCTTGTAGCCAAGAGATTGCTGTGAATATACACGGTTCGCCTCGGGGCAAGTCGGCCAAAAACTGTTCTGAAACAATCAATCATAAAAGTATTAAAACGAATCTTATCTAGAGTGGGAATTGATCAATGACTTGTGTTTTTCGGGATTATTCAACCAGTCTAGTGGTCTGTAAAGAGGGATGATGCGGCAATAGGAAAACTTTATAAAATGCAGCAAAGGCTTACCAATTTTCTTGTTCAAAAGTACATGTTGGGCCTTATTTAATTTGTGGTTTCTCACAAACACTCCCGGCTCAACAAATGGGTATTCCTGTGGCAAATTCACGCCCAATTCGAACTTGTTCTGTTCTAACACGAGGTTGACTGTGAAGCCCAGACAAGGGGGCACAGAGGGCGTGCGCCCCCCAACAAAGTCTTTTATGTCATGAAACACCCCGATGTCTTCCACCTTTATCTCTCCCGGGTTGCAGAACATCGACTCCAAGCTCTCCAGCTCGTCCAACTGTATCTGCAGATTTTGCTTGATGTTGTTTACTGGTTCCTCCATCGTTTTGATCAAAGAAAATCGTCTAGTCACTCTGTAGTACTATTTTATGACTGGCAAAAGTTCAGAAATGTTATCTCATATGCAGTCACTTATAGTCGTTATTCTGTATCTTAATCTCAACCTGTTTTCTGGTGTTGTTTTATTAAAATTCATATCTGCTTACAGGCTTGGCTTGATTTTTTTTCTTATGCTCTACTGGAATTCTCACCTTGGATTTTAAAAAGGCCAGATGCCGATGTGAATGTTGCTGACATGTAAATATAAACCCGATCAGCTTGGTATCTGTGAATGTAACCTATTTTCTCTATTGTTCATCATTATCTGTATGGAATGGCGAATGAATTTTGCGTGAAAACTAGAAATATTTATAAAATTATTTTTTATACGACAACGTGTGCATTTTAATGCTCTGTCTGACCATGGCAACTAAAGCTTTGCACCTCAACCGGTTTTCTAAATATGCGGCGAGGGCGAAGAGCGATTTTTAAATCCCGCATTAATGTCGAATTTTGGCAATTTGCGGGAAAATTAGAAATAGTTCTAAAATGATGTTTGGTACGGAAAAGTACGCAATTTTACTCTCTATCGCACAGTGAAAACTAGGGTTTTGTAGCTCAACCGGTTCCCTTAATGAGAGCCAACGAAGAAGAGCGGCTCGGAAAACTCGCATTAATATTGAATTTTCGCATTTTGCTTGAAAACTAGATACTTTTCTAGAATAATGTTTGGTACAAAAAAGTCTGCAATGTAACTCTCTATGGGGCGCTGAAAACTAGACCTTTTTAACTCAACCGCTTCTCTTACTACGAGCCCACGAAAAAGAGCAGCTCGGAAAACTCGCATTAATCTTTGCATTTTGCGTGAAAAGTAGAAACTTTTAAAAGTGATGTGGTACAAAAAAGTCCGCAAATTAACTCTCTTTGGCACACTGAAAACTAGGCCTTTGTAGCTCAACCGGTTCTCTTAATACGAGCCCACGAATAAGAGCGGCTCGGAAAACTCGCATTAATGTTCAGTTTTCGCATTTTGCGTAAAAAATAGAAACTTTTCGATAATGATTTTTGCTACAAAAAAGTACGCAATTTAACTGCATGGATTCTGGATTCTGGATGTTGTTTATTGGTTTGCTACGTTTTCATCAAAAAAAAAATCGTCTGGTCACTCTGTACTACTATTTTATGACTGGCAAAAGTTCAAAAATGTTACTCATATGCAGACTATCATTTATAGTCGTTATTCTGTATCTTGATCTCAACCTGTTTGCTGGTGTGTTGTTTTATTAAAATTCATATCTGCTTTACAGGCTTGGCTTGGTTTTTTCCTTATGTTCCACCGCAATTCTCATGTTTTTTTTTTTAAAAGCCAGATGTGAATGTTTCTCGTATGTATAAACACGATCAGTTTGGTTATTTGTGAACTTAACATATTTTCTCTATTGTTCATTATTATCTGTATGGAATGGCGAATAAATTGTGCGTGAAAACTACAAACATTTCCAAACGCCATTTTACTCTCTATCGCACAGTGAAAACTAGAGTTTTATAGTTCAATCGATTCTCTTAATGCGAGCCCACGAATAACAGCGGCTCGGAAAACTCGCATTAATCTTGAATTTTCGCATTTTGCGTGCAAAGTAGATACTTTTCTAGAATCATGTTTGGTACAAAAAAATACGCAATTAAACTCTCTATCGCGCAGTGAAAACTATAGTTTTGTAGTTCAACCGATTTTCTTAATGCGAACACACGAACAAGAGCGGCTCGGAAAACTCGCATTAATTTTGAATTTTCGTATTTTGCGTGAAAACTAGAAACTTTTCTATAATGATGCTTGGCACCAAAAAGTCCCCAATTTAACGCTCTATGCACACTGAAAACCAGACCTTTGCAGCTCAACCGATTCTCTTAATGCCCGCCCACGAATAAGAGCGGCTCGGAAAACTCGCATTAATCTTGCATTTTCGCATTTTGCGTGAAAACTGGAAACTTTTCTAGAATGATGTTTTAAACACAAAAATGTACGCAATTTCACTCTATATCTATATATGTATATATTAAGTATATGTTTAGTACAAAAAAGTGCACAGTTTAACTGTCTATCGCGCGCTAAAAACTAGAGCTTTGTAGCTCGACCGGTTTTCTAATTACAAACCAACGAATAAAAGCCGTTCTGAAGAGTCGCAGTAATTCTGCATTTTCGCATTTGCTTAAAAACTAGAAACTCTATCCAAAGCGTTGAAAACAAAGGAATTTTAGAAAACTAAAGCTGCAGTTATTTGGATATTTTCTGGCGAAACAAGGTAGATTTTCTAGTTTTAGGAACGATTAGGATGAAATAAGAAAAGAAACCACATGAAACGCAGCACGCATTGGGCGACCTTTTTACACTCACTCAGATAAGTAAAAGTTTTTCAAAATTAGAGAAACCAGTATCATATTTTGAACGTTCTCATCCAATTTTTATGGGATTTCAGTCATTAAAACGGAAAAAGTCGTTCCCATTAAGGACGCCGACGACTTTAGACTGTTCCAGAGCCTCAACAGCACTTTGGCAGCCTCCCTGGAAAATGGGAACAGCATCGTTTTATATAGATATTTAGTAAGTAATTCACAAACAAAATTTCTTTTGCTATTTTATCTGCTATTGTCTTTAACGGTTTATTTGAGGTAATTTCACCAAATTTTACAGAACGGATCCTTTAAAGACATCCACCATAGCCCTATGGAATACAACACCAATCTAGTTGTGGCCTCTACAGAAGATGGTGGGGCTTTAATAGTCGTAGGCACTGGTGATTTTATCACGATATTCCAATTCAATTTGGAACAGGGAAAATTGGAGAAAATTCAGCACGTGGAAGCGCCAGCATCTAAACACGTTGCCCTATGGAAACAAGGAGAATCCGTGTATTTATCCGCAACCGATAGAACCGGAAGAATAACCGTTTTCCGATGGTTGGGCAGGCATTTCGATCGTCTTCAGGAAATTCAGTTGAGCCACGTAAAAAAGACTGTCCATTTCAGTTTTCACGACTCCGATTATCTGGCCGCAGTAAATGAAGAAGTAGTTGAGGGTGAGTAGATAGATGGTCCAGAGAGTTCTAAGTGTAAATAGCGGTGACTTAGGCGAGAAGACTTTTTCGGAAATACTGAAATTCGATGTTCATTCTGGGAAGTTCAAGCCCTATCAAAGGCTGCTAACAAAAGCTTGTACGGACATCAAATACTTCACTTGCAAGCTCCACAACACTTACCATCACTTCTTAATCGTGAGCCAAGTAGTCAATGCTCCAGGTAATGGAAAAATGGCTCATCTGCTCACCTTTAAGCTGACCCTATTTCCATAGGCCCCTCAAAGGAAAACGGCATTTCGGTAATCTACAAATACGACCAGGACTATTTCGTGCCGTTTCAAAGTATCGCGACCAACGCAGTGGAGTGGCAACCCGTTCAAGTAAATAGCACGCATCTAGTTGAACAGAATCCAAACGCATTTCCCTTTAAGGATTTGGAGGAAAATTCGGCTCTAATAGCGGTCACTCCTGAAGGCCTCCAGGGCTTCCAGTTTGATGGATGGTACTTTTTTGAAAGCCGCCTAATAGCAGACAATGAGGAGGTTGCAGACTTGAACTTCCAAAACATCAAAGCTCTGCATACTTTTGATTTTTTTGGGCAGGAATTGCTGGGTAAGTTGCCAGATGAATCAACTAAAAAACGAAAAGTTTTCCAGTTTTAGCCTGCCAATATTGCTCGCAATCGATCAGTTTGTACTCGGTGAATTTCACTCAATATTCCACCTTGGAGGACGAATCATCCGAATTATTATCCTGGTGCACAAACAAGCTTCAAGAGCTTTCTAACAGCTTGGAACCTCCGATGTTGGCTGCAAGATTGAGAGGAGATTTAAATGAGGTAAACTTCAGTTCAGTGCAATTGATTGCAAGTGAAGGGGGTTTTTCAGGAATTTTTCGAGGATGAAGACCCGAAGCGTCAGATGGCGGCAGCCCTTTCCAAGGCAAGCCTGGTTCTCGATGGCATCGAAGAAACTCTTAAGGACTTGATCGTGAATGCTGATGTTCTTGAAGCTGACACGCTCATTTTTAACAACGACACCCAAGTGAATGGGCTGCAAGTTGCTGCTGTTAACGCGCTTGAGGTTGATGATGTGCTCGATAAAGTCCTTGACATTGCTGAAGGCTTCAGCGTGAATAACAGTATGAATTTCACGGTGGTAGTGACGGAGAATAGCTTAAGCCTTAGCACTTTGAATGGCTCACCTCTGGAAGAATATGTGTCTTTAAGGAAGGACTTGATGTTGGAAGAGTTCACTGTTCAAGGTCCCGTGGCGTTTCAAAGCGGATTACTCATAGGAAATCACACGATAAACGATGTGGAGATTACTGAAAAAAATCTGCTGCTCAAAGAGGGCGATCAGGACTTTTCAGAGAATCTTTCAGTGGATGAGCTGCGAGTCAACGAATTAACCAGCAACAACTTGAACTGTTTCGCTTTGGATTCTCTCTCTGATAATGGTGAAGAAATTTTCAACATTGGGGCTCTGAAGGTGAAACACCTGAGCATTGGAGGGTTGTTGAACAACGTGGATATAAAGAGCTTAGCAAAGCGGGGCCTGAGGAAATCAGGCAATCAATTTTGGGAAACGCCACTTTCATTTAACTCGCTTGAAGTGGAAGAACTTCAGATAAAAGAGCTGTCAGGAAAATTGATTCCGCAGAACCTGGTCCCGATTAATGCTGGCCAGTACCATGTTCATCAAGACGTCACTTTTACCAAGGGTAGATTTTTTGGGGGTGAATAAGTTGATGAGTTTTAATTTATTTTTTCAGACCTCCGCACCAACCGGCTGGATGCTGGCCAGTCTTTAAACAACATTGCGGTCAAATGCAATGGACTGCTGGATGTTCTGCTAATTGACTCGCCTGAACAACAGGAAATTCCTGCGAGGAAATCCTTCACAAATCTCACTCTTAAGCGGCGTTATTCTCCTCTAATAATCGACGAATCGCCCTGTGAAATACTAAACGATTTGCGGATTAATGGAAGCGTGAAGTTGAGCAAACGGCTAAAAGTGCGCGACTTAAAGCCAGCTAATTCCAGTGGAAGTATGGGGGAGGTTTTGGCCAACGGAATTAAGCTTACGGTAACCCCCCAAAGTCTGTAGTGATTTTTTAACAAGATTCCTTTCAGGACGTGGAAATGCCGGTTCATCTAACTTTCACTCAGCCGCTAAAGGTCGAGAGTATTCGGGTGGATAAAATCAATTCTTTGGATCCGAATAAGTGGATTTTGGGCTCTTCTGCATCCCCACAAGTCCTTACAGGCCACAAGCAGTTTTGGGGCGACATCCATTTAAAGGGACCAGTAAATGTGGCGAACATGAACAACATCGATGTTGGAGCCTTGGAGAATCACACGTTAAGGGTAGAAGGAGATCAGGAAATTGGCGGTTTTTGGACAGTGGAATCTTTAGTCGCCAACAAAGGGTAGATTGATTCCAAGTGTTCTCAAGGTTTGTTATTTAAATCGTGTTTTTAGGGTTTTGGCAAATAAAACCCAACTCCCGGAAGGGAGTCGTACAAGCCTGCGAATTAAAGGCGATTTGGAGGCCCGCGTAAACACAAGCGAATTCACACTGCAAGGGTTGGTCAACTCAAACCGCCTTCAAGATGTGCTGGGGAATATGGTCGAAAAAAACACCAAATACCGGGTGTTTGGGGAAAAGCATTTTAAAGACTTGCACGTGCAGGACTTGGAGATTCCTGAACATTCCAATATTTCGAAGCTATTGCGGACTGTTACCAGTGGAGGTGAAATCACCTTGAAGACTGACTTGGATCTGTTCAACAACATCAGCATTCGCCGCGTGCAGTTCAAAGGACGTCTCAATGATCTAACGCGAGCGGATTTCGACGGATTGATGCATTTAGACTCCAATCCGGAAGAAACCGTTCTGATTCCCTCGGATGTAAAATTTAAGGAGCTTGTGGTGCTTGGCGAAGTTTTCGTCGCGGACAATTCAATAAACGGCCAAAACTTGACCGCAATTGAACAGGATACTGTAAAAATCGACGAAGATCACGTCTTCCATTCAGGGGTTTTTGGTGAGAGCAATTGACAATCTCGATTTACTTTAGAACCGGATTTTTTCCAGAGGAAACCGTCACAGTGGGGGACACTTTGCGGCTGAATGGCAGTGTTGAGAACCTGGATTTGGATTTTATTGTGCTTCAAAACGGGAGCCGCATGGTGGAAATTGCAGACATAGTTTTCAACGACACATTGGTTGTTAATGGGACGCTGTTCCTTCATGGTACTGCTAACGGGGTGGATTTGCGCAAATTCTGCACGTTTTCTCAGCAAAGGGAAAAGTCTCTGAAAATATTTGGTAAGGAAAACTGGTGTGATTTGAAAATTCACTCTCTCAGTTTCATATTGGCCTGTTTTGAAACGTTTAAGACCGTTTGCTTTCGTTTGGGAATAATGCTTGTTCCCAGTTTGTTAATGAGCAAAAATGCATTTTTCTGATGAACGAAAACAGCAAGGTGATTCCTAAGCCACTAATGCTTAAAATTGGTTTTTGGAATGTTTTAAACTAGGTCTGGGTAACTCAGTGAATTTTTAGGAATTGGCGCAGTGTTGCGCAAATGGCATGGTGCGCCAACCCAATATACCGGCGCAGTAACTCGCGCAGTTCCGTTGCTGGGAAAACGTTGACGATCTTTTTTTAGTTGTTTTTAGATTGATTTTAAGGGCCATTTATTAATGATATTTTTTGAGTTTCTTCAAAATTTCAGAATTTTCCAGTTTTAGCGAAGTTACTCTTTGTTCCCAACGTTCATTTTTCTATAATTTCTATAGTTAAAAATTATGAAATCAATTTCATTTTTGGGCAAAAATGAAATAAGTTTCTATCAAAAAATGAAGAGTATAAGCGAAAGTTTCTAATAAATTATTTGAAAAACTCGTCATCTCCATTCCTCTGAACACTGTAGTTTGTTAAAAAATATGTGGTTCTTTAATTTTGACTGCTTTTTTTTATTTTACTTTCAACTCAAAAACGCTCTATTTTGTAGAGTTTCACTTAAAAATACTGACGATCTGAAGATCTCGAAAATCATTAACGTTTTCTAAAAAACTGATCACAAAACTAAAAGTTTTTCATCAAAAACTCCAAAAAACATTATTTTCTGATAATTTTCTTCTTTTCACACGATGACAATAATGGAATCTTTTCAGCCAAAGATGGTGAAACTAATTTTGCTAGAAAATTCGCCTCATTCATCGGTTTTCAGGGAAGTTTAGAAAACCCATTTCAGCGTCGAAGTTTGCACAAAAATTAAATAATTTTATTTAGTTTTTTACCCAGTTATTGAGAATACCTTGAAAAACGACTAGAGAGCAAAAGTTTACAAAAAATTATTTGAAAATTTGCTTCTCGGTCTGAAAGTTTTTAAAGTTTATTAAAATTTTTAGGTCTTTCCAGTTTTAGCAAAGTTTTGATTAAGCAATTCTTTCTACGCAAAAATGGCATGATTTTTCGCGCAACTCAACACAGTGTGACCCAGTCTTATTTTAGACCGTCTGTAGTCTTAACTTTTATATTAATTTTCGCTGTGTTTTTTTCAGGGAAAGTTGTGTTTGCTAAAGGCCCAAAGGTTTTCCGTTTTAACAACCACAACGTAAAGAACCTGATGAAGACGCTCTGGTTCACTGATAGAGCCGCAAACATTACAGAAACGCTTCACATGAAGAACGCCACATTTACTCAGCCCCTTTATGTGGAGGTGAGTCTTGGCAGTGCGGTCAGTTTTTAGCTCACTGTTTGTCTGTTTTAGAAATTTGTGGATGACATCAATCTAAATCTGCTCTCCCAAAACTACCTTAGCAAGAGCAAAAGCCAAGAAATCCCGGCCAGTTTAACATTTTCCAATGTCACGTTCTCAAACATATCGACCACACGTTTGAATACCGACGCTCCAATCAATGGCATTTTGTTAGAAGACCTTCTGAGCTCAATGTTGCTGCAAAGCACCGACCAAGTGTTCGAATCGGTGGCTAACTTCGAAGAAGCGCACTTTAATAGTTAATAAATAAATACATTCTGTGAGTGTTCCAGATGGTTGAAGCAGTTGGTTTCAGATTTGACTGGAAGTTTCACTGTGAACGATCTCAACCTGGAAACCGATGTGATGCGCTACGACGCTCAGAATGCCGTAACTGGGCGCAAAGTTTTCCAAAACCTCAACATCCGAGCCTTAAAACTGCCTCGTAATGTTAAAATACAGGACGTAGATGTCTTGGACTGGCTGGATAATGCTGTGATGAATAACGGCACTTTTAGGATCAGCGGGAAGAAGGTCTTCAACAACGCCACATTCAAGCAAGGTTTAAGGTGGGCATTTTGCTTCGCAGTAGGAACTCGCTTGAAGTAGCAAACCATCAGTTTAAGGGGCACGTTGAACAACCAGACCTTCAACGAGAACACCATCATGCTGTTGAACAGGCCGCAGAATATCGCGGGAAAAAAGGCGTTTTTCAGCGACAATCAGCAGCCAATCACTTTGAGAACTGTGCGAGTTAAAGGGCTGGTGAATGGCATCAATCTTCAACAGCTGGTGCAGAACCAGGTGAGCATTTGGGGGTGGCTTTCAATGTTTGGGCTGATCAGGGAGTTTCAGACAAATAGACTGCGGGTATTGGACGAGGATTTTTTGCAAGAAAGCGTAATCTTCAGCCAATTGAATTCGAACGTCAGCGCACTACCCACACACAACTGGGAAGGTTTGAGGAGAAAATTCAACCAGCTTCTGAACATGGGCAGGGACCTTCAGAAGTCGCTTAACGGTATTTATTCGGGTTGGCGCTCTAAAAATTGATTAAAGCGCACTAATTTCCAGAGGATTCGACAATTTTCAAATACTTTAAGCAAATAAACAAGTTCGACAATGTCTACGAGATTTTTGGCTTGCGATGTGCCGATGGAATCTTCCGACTGGTTGCTTTCACGTGCACAAATGGAAGAAACCGCTTTCGAACCTTCCAGTGGGAGACCCAGACGCAGGCATTCACTCTCATAGGTGATAACTCCTCAACACGTCACAGACTCAAACATGTTCATCCCCAAACAATTTCCAGGTGAAAACCCGGAATTTTACCTCTCAAAACCCATCTATATGGAGCAACTAACCATTGGAAACCAAGACTATATTTTTGTACAGCACCCCGACCGATACGACTACCAAAACTACAGTAGGTAACAGTCGAAGAAGTTTAAAAAGTTCTGAATTGGTGCAATGATCGATTTCAGAATACGTTTACTCTGGAAGTTTACTGGAGCTAACAAATGCAACGCACTTCAAGATTAAAGCCGAATTCCATCGAAACTCCACTGAGTCTTTAACGCACTTCCAAAGTCCGGCCTCCAATCAGACTTGCCTGGCGTTCATCGGCCAATCGTTGCCGGGATTAGACATTTACTGCTATGAAGCCGCGCAGAAGAGCTTCTACTGGGCGCAAAGAATCGACCTGGATGGGATCTATAAGGTAACACATTTTATTAGGTGATTAGTTGACAAAAACCCTAATTAAATAGGCTCTGGCCGTCGAAGCGCTGGACTCAGTCTATTTGTTTCTGGCCCGACATCAACATCCCTTATCCCACGAGCCTTGCATAGAAGTTTTCCAAAGCACCAAAAAACTTTCGGGTTTCCAGCCCATCCAAACGATTTATGAAGGTGTGGATTTGAACGGTAACCAGCCGAAATTTCCCCAGTTATCGGGTGTAAAACACTGCTCGTTTCAGGCTTGGCAGCTGCCACAATCAACGGAAAGCCTTTCGTGGCGTTCTCCTTTGGATATCAAGAATCCACAGTCCAATCAGGCCGCGTTACCATCCGAAGGTACACGATTTTAGTCAGTTAGACTAGTGATAATTAAAAATTCCTTGTTTTTAGGCTGGATTTGTCCAGCAATCAATTCAAACCGCTGCAGGATATTCCAGTGCCGGTGCCTAAGGGGGTTCACTTCATCACGCAAGCCTCCTTCGAGCCGCTGCTCTTAATCCAAACAGCCGACAGAAAAGCCCCACTGCGCACCTTGAGGTAAAATCAACTGCGATTGCTGATTAGTGCTGAAAACCATTTTTTTCAGCTACGATGGAGTGGCTGGTTTTAGGGAAATTCTCAGAGGCTCATCGTTGCCAATCAGCTCGAAAGTGCGAACCGTAGGAAACGGGCATTTTGTGGTGGCTCTACAAGAAAATAGGCAAACTGGCTCCATCCTGGAGGCTGTAGCCAAAGGATTTTCTTCAACATAAGTAAAAATCAATGTTTTTTTTGTATTTGTTTATTTATATATTTTGTTACGATTTGTGGGAATCAGTTCATTGAAAAAGTCCTCCGAATCACTTATTCTGCGTCATTTTCACTGCTTGCGCCTAATCTTATGTCGATATTGGGCACTTTGCTTTGCATGGTAGTAGTCGTAGTTGATTCAGTGGTGGGTGTTGCAGAGATTATTGAAGGTTTTAGGGCTTGTGGTCGGTCTTGCCAAGGAAAAGTTGGCGAGTGAGTGCGGTGAAACTCTGGGCTGTGATGACAATGATGTGGGAAATCTGCAACATAAAATGAAGTAATTTGCGAAGCAAATTAATAGCCATTCCTACCATGAATTTCATTAGTTTTGAAATGCCTCCAGAAGGGGGTTTTCCAAGAGTCTCCAACGTCTCCAGTCTCTTCGTCCTCCCAGGGAATCTCAAATTTTCCTGAAAAACCGCAAGATGTTTTTTGCTTAAATGCTACTTTCGTTCATTACCGTTATTCCCTTCATTCTCATTTACATCTGAATATTCGGGGTTAAATCCATAGTCAGTCAGCCTTTGGGAAGGCAGAAAATGTCCTATCTGGAAGTCCAAACGCGGATCTTCAAACTCTCTGTTCGCTTGTGCTTCCAAATGATCGTTCACTAATGGAAAAACGCACACGTTAAGCCCAATTTTCCCACAAATAGTCCACTTACCTGACTGGCGCCTTTGCCCATACCCATAACAACTAACACTCGTTACCACCACACTAGCAACTGCGAATAAAATGCGACAATTCATTTCTATCTTTAGTCCTTCATCTAGTGAATGCCTTCGACTTCTTCGGCCTGGGCGATTTTATGCGGAAAAAATCAAGATTCCCACGCCTTGGGAAACCCCTTTCCAACCTGAACTCATGCGAATACCTACACAAATAGTCACTTATTCGACCTGCTTCCTACTAGGAAATTTTGATGCATCTTCCAAATATTAATCACAGACTATTCCATTTTTTCTATTTAAATAACACGATGAGGGGCGGAAAGACCAACAATTAATCATCCTCTCATAAAATCTTTCATTCGTTGTCGCCGCTTCAAGTTTAGTCTTTGGGAATTTTCGAGGTTGGACTAATTAGGTGATTAAAATGTTTCGATTAATAAACCATACTTGAAAACCGGTTCAAATCGACCAAAAACCCACAGAAAATCCTTCCGTGAGACACCCAGCAGTGACGAAGGAGAAAGGCGAATCTCAACTCGAAGAAGATAATTGAGTATATTTTGTAATGTAAAACGCTCCTGGTTGCGTTGATAACAATATGGAGTATTTCGAGAACACGATCGCTTCTTACATATAAAACTAAACTATTCATCGTCTAAAGGTGTAACAGTAATATAACAATTTAGTAAAGGTATCCTTATGGCACACCTATGAAATGCTGATGCATGACTTAGAGAGAACGCTTTTGGGCTTATTTTTTATGAATGAACATCATCCTAAGAGATAAAACATTTTTGTTTAAAGTATAAGCGAAATATGCGGTCGCCTACTGCTCTTCCTTTAGCGCCAATTCCTTCGGCACAGCTGGATCGGGAAGTTTCTCATAGTTGGGTTCCACGCCCCAAATATCTCTGCCATATTCGATGATCGTTCTATCGCTAGAAAACTTTCCAGACGTGGCTATGTTCATGATGGCCATTTCTAGCCACTTGGACTGATTCTACAAGGCGATTGAATGTGTTTTTTACCTTGAAGTGTCTTTGGTTGAAAACCTCTTACCTGGTAAATACTGCTCACTTCATCTTGCTTCTTAATATAAGAATCGTAATCGGCCAGCAAGAAGAACCGGTCGTATTTCAGCAAAATATCGGCGAGATCCTTGAACTCGTCTGGATTGCTTGGGCTGAAGAATCCGTTCTGCATTTGATCCACCACCTGTTTCAGCTCGGGATTGGCATTGTAGTAGTCATAGGCGTTGTAACCTGCGACACTCAAACCTAACCAATTGGTTCATAGGGGCAAATTCTCACTTTACCTTTGCGTTGCAAGGCTTCGACTTCATCGGCAGTCATGCCAAAAATGAAGATGTTCTCTCTGCCCATTTCTTCGGCCATTTCCACGTTGGCGCCATCCAGAGTCCCGATAGTCAGCGCCCCATTCAGCTGGAACTTCATGTTCCCCGTTCCAGAGGCTTCGGTTCCAGCCGTCGAGATTTGCTCGCTTAGATCCGCGGCCGGGATTATTTTCTCTGCGAGAGTCACTCTGTAGTTTTCCAGGTAAATTACCTTCAGTTTATCGCCCACAATCGGGTCGTTGTTCACAACGTTGGCCACATAGTTGATCAGTTTGATTATTTTCTTCGCCGTGTAGTACCCAGGGGCGGCCTTTCCGCCAATCATTACTGTGCGAGGCGTAAATTTGGCCGAAGGGTTCTTTTTAATGCGGTTGTACATTGTGATGATGTGCATGCAGTTCAACAGCTGCCTTTTGTACTCGTGGATCCGTTTCACGTGGACATCGAACATTGAAGCTGGATTCACCTTGACTCCATAGTCTTTCTCCAGCAACTGAGCCAATCTCAGCTTGTTTTCCTGCTTCACTTTCATCACAGCGCGCTGGAAAGCCGGATCCTTGGCAAGCGGTCTCAGCTGCTGCAGCTGTTCCAGATGGATGATCCAGTCTTCGCCGAAGCGCTCGGAAATCAAGTCGCTAAGACCAGGATTGCACAGCAAAACCCACCTGCGCGGGGTGACGCCGTTGGTCTTGTTTTGGAACTTTTCCGGATTCAACTCGTAGAAGTCGCGGAACCTGAAATGGGCTTTTAGACCGGCTCTAGAACACCTGTGCAAAAAACTTACAAGCCAGCTTTGATAATATCGGAGTGAAGCTGAGCGACACCGTTCACCGCGTGACTTCCCACAATGCTCAAATGGGCCATATTGACGCGCTTCGCTCCGTCCTCCTCAATCAGCGACATTGTCCTCATTTTGTCTAAGTTGCCGGGCCATTTCTTCTCAACGTCCTGCAGATGATGGAAGTTGATCTTGTAGATGATATCCAGATGTCTGGGCAGGATGTTTTGAAGGTGACTCACAGCCCAGCGTTCCAGAGCTTCAGGGAGCACCTGAAACAACCGAAAGTTGCCACTCAAAGGCCCAGTTTCCATCTAGGCGCACCTCTTACGGTGTGATTTGTATAGCCGCAAGTTCTTCGCGTAATGTCCCAGGCCTTGTCCCAATCCAGTCCTTCCACGTCCACGAGAAGCCGCATCAATTCGGGAATTGCCAGCGATGGATGGGTGTCGTTCAGCTGAATTGCCACCTGGAAATTTACGGAATTTGCATTGAAAAGTATGTCCATATTTTCGTGCGATTTCTGAGCAAGCAGTTGAGATAACGGGATCAGACTTTAAGCTCTCGATTACTAAAGCACGAGTTTAGTTGTGATTTAAATTTGGTTCCATTCAAGACCCTGGTGCCATCAGAATGAATGTTTAAACTGAAGAAACTGAGAACCGATTTCCCAGCAATTCGGTGCAATATCGGAATGAGCATTTCAGCACTTGATAACGAAAGCTTCCGTTTGTTTATTTGTCGTATAAATTTGGGGCCATTCCTTTGTTCATTTAAAAAAAAACGAAAAAAGTACTCACCTTATCAGGAAATTGATCAAAGTCGTTTCTAGTTGCTTCTTTGGATCCAAATTTCGCAGACTTAAACCGACGAACGATATCTTGCAAAGTGGCCGCCACCATGAAGTATTCCTGCTTCAGACGCAGCTCTTTTCCCTCGAAAAAGTTATCGTTTGGATAGAGAACTCTCGATATGTTTTCGGCCAGATTCCTATCGAGAACCGCTTGGATGTAATCTCCATCGTTAACTAAAAAAAATCGAGCACATCTAGAAAACGCCTTAACACTCACAGCCTACAATATAAAGTTTCGTCATCATTTGGTGTTTAGAAAACTACATTTTTTTGGGACGAACGGGCGCTAACTTTTTTATTCAATTAGTCCACACTAACCCAAACGTATTAGACAACTCAATTCGGACAAAATTCCAAAAATTTGCCTCACTTTCTGCAAAATCAACTTTGAATATTTGTCGCCCGAGATCGTGTGCACTGAGGATTACAACAACTGAAAAATTCGACTTTTACAAAATTCCAACTTACAGAACTTCAAGTCGAAATCCACTGGACTTTTGGCGCTCCACAGTCGCAGCGTATTCACCACGTTGTTTCTGTATCCAGGAACCGGGTTGTCGTAAGGCAGGGCGAAGACTACTTGGGTGTCAACCCACTTTTTCTTACCCTCTGGGGTTTCAATCACCTTGCCTGTAACAAATTGGATTCGTATTTCCAGGTTTTTTTTAATTTAAATAGAAATATACCGTAGAAGTTGACTGGAAGCATGTACTCGGGCCTGGCCTTCTCCCACGGGTTTCCAAACCGCAGCCAATCGTCCGGCTCTTCTTGCTGCTCCCCATTGACGAGCCTTTGGGCGAATATGCCGTATTCGTAACGGATTCCATAGCCATAAGCAGCCATACCTACAGGCAGAAATCAATTGAGGATAATAAGTGTCACAAAGTTTTTTCAAGAAATAATTTTGCAAAAACTGGACCAGATGTAACAGCGCTTGGTACTGCATTGGAAAGAGACAACTTTGCTCTAAATGTTGTAAGTTTAATTTTTCGCAAAAAATCTGGCGTAATATGGCCAATAGGCAGGTGTTTAAAGCAACCAAAGCAAAAGCAGTCCGGCGTTCCAACATATTTTTTTTATCGCAAAACAGCTGTTTTTCAAAAACTTATTTTGCAAAAACTGGACCAGATAAAACAACGCTTGGTACACCATTGAAAAGAGACAACTTTGCTCCAAATGTTCTAAAAGCTTAATGTTTCACTAAAAATCTGGCGAACATTGGCACGTGTTTAAAGCAACACTTGTCCGTCGCCCCAACGCATTTTTGTGCCGCAAAACATCTGTTTTTCAAAAAATTATTTTGCAAAAATTGGACCAGGTAGAACATCGCTTGGTACTCCATTGCAAAGAAACAACTTTGCTCTAAATGTTCTAACAGTTTCATGTTTCGCAAAAAATCTGGCAAATATTGGCACGTGTTTAAAGCAACACTTGTCCGGCGCTCCAACCCATGTTTTTGTCGTAAAACAGCTGTTTTTCAAAAATTAATTTTGCAAAAACTGGACCAGACAGCACAGCGCTTGGCACTCCATTGGAAAGAGACAACTTTGCTCTAGATGTTCTGAAAGCTTCAATTTTTCACAAAAATCAGGCGAATATTGGCAGCTGTTTAAATCAAGAATGTTTTCAAAAACTTCCCTAGACGGAAATGCGTCAGTCACATCATTTCAGAACCGAAAACATAGCTTTAAATGCCCGGGAAAACTTGTTACTTGGCGAATGGAAAAAGCAGCTTTACCTAACGTGGCCATTGAGTCCAAGAAACAGGCTGCTAAGCGTCCCAAACCGCCGTTTCCCAGTCCAGCATCTTCTTCCATTTCTTCCAGCTCTTCAATGTCCAGGCCCAGTTGATACAAAGCTTCATCACACGGCGACTGGATGCCCAAGTTGATCATCGTGTTCGACAAAGTCCGTCCCATGTAGAATTCCAAGGAAAGATAAGCAACACGCTAAAAAAAAACAGTATATTTTTGCATTGTCTTTCAAATAAAATCGAGTCACTGAACTCCAATCACATGGGATTCATCTGAGACAAAAAATTTATCGCCTGTCTAAAAATATACCCAAAATTCCGGTTATATGCTTTTTATTTATAATACACCCAATTAAAACGAGGATAAATATGTTGCTCTTGCGGACATAAATAAGTATCAGCTGAGCAGCAGATAATGATTTGGAAAAACGTTTAAACGAAGAAATTGCTTTTTTTGCGCATACATGAATGGAAAACAGCACGACTGAATTCATGAGTTGGAAATTAGAAAACATTGCACTGTTGTTTATTGGCTGTCTTTGGATTGAAGCCAAATTTCGGTGACCAAACTTTGGCGCTTACATTAGGAAACATGTATTTTCAAATGATTAGAATGTTCCATCATCCCATCGCCGGTCCGTTACTACTTTCATTTCGACTGAAAATAGAATCCTTTGCTAGAAACTGAATAAAATCGGCTTGTCGCTCTTCCTAATTACGATGATTTGCAATTGAAGATTGTTATGCAATTGTGCTTGGAATAACAGGCAAGATTGCATATCTTCACAGGATAAGCCTTGTTGATTTACTGGCGTATAACAAACGTTTATCCCTGGAGATTAGTGGGAGAAACTTCGGAATTCGGACTGATAAAGTACATGTGACACTCATTGTTTTTACTTATGATCATTTTCGATTGGAAACTTTCCGCACAAATAATCCAAAAGTCTAATAATAACATCAATAAAACGTGTTGCTTCCACCCAAAATAGCTGCAACAAGCCAAAACCACTTTAATCCTGCTTAGTTAATATTCGCTTAACAAGCTCAAGTTTGTGACAATTTTCCAACCGATTTCATATCAACGAACTGCCCGATATGCTTTATCCACATGAATCTACACTGGAAAAAAAAATCACGAATTCGATTCATGCAAAAAATGGAATTTGGGGCCAAATTTTATCGGATAAACGTTTTGCAAACGACTGTTGTTTTTATTAATTTCATTTAATATTTATGTACACACTTTGAAAGGAACTAATAAGTCAATTTAAATAACAACTTGTGTGGCCAAAGTTGTGCAGGTTTTTTTTTGCACAACGAATTGTGCAAAAACTGAGCAAAATTGAAAAGCGATCGCCAGTCTATTAGAAAGGGAAAATTTCGCTGAATTTGTTCACACAGTTTCATTTTTCGCAAAAAAATCTGGTGAGAATTGGCAGGTGTTTGAGGCCACACTTGATAGGCGCTAGAACCCATTCATCAGCAGAAGATGTTTTTCAACAATTAAATATGCCAAAACTAGGCTAGAGAGAAACGCGCTTAAAACATCTTCGAAGAGAGAAAACTTTGATTTTTAAGCCTAGAAAGTTTCTTTATTGGGAAAAAATCTGGAAAATTTTCTCAGGCTTTTGAAGCGACAACTTTCTTATATATGCGTACTCGTTTTTCAAAAAAATATTTTGCAATAACTAGGTTTGATTGAATACCGGTTGTAATTCCTCTGAAAAGAGAAAACCTTGCTTTGAATGCCCAGAAAGTTTCATTTTTCGCAAAAAATCTGGGGAAGATTGACAGGCTTTTGATGCAATTCTTTTTATTTGTGAGAGGCCCCACGCTCACCCCAGCCAATCAGTGATTTTAAATAATTAGATAATTTTTTCAAGTGAATTATGGAAAGTTGTCCACTCGATTTCCAATTAGGTTGAAGAACTTGCATAATAATTAAAAATTTAGGACGGGTTTCAATGTTGTGCCATAGTTATTAGCTAATTGTACACTCGTGTGTGCCAAACATCTGTTAGGAATAATAATAGAGCTGTTCGGTTACAATTTCATAAATTTCTTATCATTGAAATGCATGGGCAATTGACTTGGAATTAAGTGAGTTATTTTTCAAGTCAGTTTTAGCAGACAATGGAGTTATTTTCAGTAGTAAACAGGGCGTTTGTCCCCAATGAATCCACATTTTAACAAGTGCAAAGTTACTTATGTGAGCCTCATCAGGCTTTCAGCTAAATAAACATCCCATTACATTTTTGGCAAGTTTCACACAATTTTAATTTCCATTGCAATCCTACGCGCGCACAAACGTGCAGCAAAGACACGTACAGTTTGAGTGGTGTTAACGAAAATAATTAAAAATAACTAACAAAAAGCATAGTTTTACCCACAAAATCGAAATCCTAATTATCCAGAAAAATTCAAAAAAATTCAGTTACTTAAATTAATTATTTTAGTGGCTAAAGAACAATTAATTTAGGGCTCGTCATGTGCTATTCTTTAGCAATTTTATTGGGTTCCAGCTAACTTGTAGGTCTGGTTTGTGCGTAGTAGGCAAAAGATGGCTTTACAGCTCAACTTGCCTGTCTCCAAGTAATTCAATTGGGTCCAATTAATTAAGTACAGGTCATTTTACACTCAACGACTGTCTGAAAGGGGGTCTTACCTTGGGGTCCACTTCATAGTAGTGCTGTTGAGTGCGAATCCACCGGGACACCAAATGATCCCTCACAGTATGGGCAAGGGCGAAGTAGTAATCCCTAGGGGTGGCTACATTCCGGTCTTTTACCAAAGTGTAGTGAACGTGCCTATTAAAAGTTTTCTTGATTTCGGTCACATCGCCAACTTCTGCAATGCCCCGCACACTGATCTGCTTTCTTCTTTCCACATCGCTCTGTGGAACCGACATTTCTTCGTTTTTTCTATTGAAGAACTGCAAACAAGCACCGGCTAGAAGCGATTGACTGGATTGGATTCACTACTGGATTGTTGAGTTATTGTTGGTGACAGAGGTCACCTTGGAGTTGCGATAGGGTCAGCCTCCTCTCCACGTTGCCACATTATCAGTTCGTGTTATTTGTTTTTGTGTTTTGTTGATATTTTCTAAAAACGAGGCAAAAAAATTAACAAGAAACAATTAAAAAGTAAACAAATATAAACAAGTTCTCAAATGCCTGCATGAGCAGTAGCCAGAATCAACCAAACCGCACAGAATAACGGTTTTTAACAATGGCGAATATAGCAGTGATGAGCAATTTCACAATTTTTCTAGTTCAAATGTAGGAAAGCTTCAGGAGAGTTTTGAGCCCTTTTTAATAGAGAGAGCAGATTGTAGTTTGTTATTTAAATCAGATCAATTTTTTTTAAACTTAGTCAAATATACAGGGCTCAGTTAGAAAAAGCGCATCAGTCGGGGCAAAAAAACTCAAACCTATTCGAAAACTCCAATTGAATAATGGACCAAATGTTGACTGGAATGTTGACTGGAATGTAGATCGGAATCCTTGAAAATGGATTGTTTCGTGTTCAGATCACATACCTTAATGTGACCCTCCGCGTAGATTTATGAAAGTGCCCATAATCTAAGCCGCAACACAATAATTACTCTATTTTGCATTTTCAATGGCATTGTCTGTAGCATAAATTTCCACTCCCAGTGATTTCTATTCAGTGAAGAGATTTAAATTTGGTCTTGAACCAACAGCACCAAACCAGCCACCAACCCACCAAATTAATGAGAAAAGAAGAATACGGATGGGACGCAAGTTTCAACTGCCGATATTTCGAAAACTGTTGTTCTGAACGGTTTCGACCAAGACACCTTTTTTATTCAAAAAAGAAGCTCGTCTTCATTCAGTCGACTATTACATGAAATGATTGAAAAACGATAAATTGGACGAGGTGGAACGGTAGCTAGGCCACCGCCATCACCTGACCTAATCAATCGGGAGTTTTAACTAAAAACAATCATTTTTGAAGTGATAACTTTTTATGGCAGGGTGAACCGATTTTTGTCCGGCCTCTTCGCGCCTGAGGCTTGGGACGCACATATGCACCTTGAATTGAACATTTTTCTCTTAGTGCGGGTGCATCTGTAGATCTGATAAACTTTTCAAATATACATCGCGTTATTAAACTGACAGTGATTTTGATTTATCAATTATTGAGTGTGATATTATTGTGTTCGGTGCAGTTTATTTTATAACGCTGATAACAATGAAGCAACAAATTATCAAGGGAGAAGCTGCAGATACTCCAAATACTAAGTAAGGGTGCTCATGTACTATATGCCTGGTCGAGTTTCGCGTTCTTTTTAATTTCCAATTAAAGTACACACACAATTATACACACTAAAGCAATTTAAGTGCAAAAAAATGCAGACCGTCCATCCATTTGCAGAAAAATGTATTACAAACTTTTGAAAATCATCTTCAAACGACCGGGTATTTATCATTGCACATTGCCGTGTACTGTTAAATATTGTTTTAAGAACTAACAATAGATGTTGTGCAACAAAATTGTGCCTAAGATCCACTACAATAAAGTTTTTGAAAAACTGTTGGACCTATTTTAAATCGCCTGATTGATTGTGGATGCAAATTCGTATCAAGAAAAGATTAAATTAAATCGAATCGATAGAATCCCGGTACCGATTCCCTATGTCCTACCCTCCGTCTGTAGTCATGTTCATTTGCATTGTATTGCCGGATTCAAAGTTCCGATCGCGTAAAATATTACTACCTACTTGTTTAGTGATTTTCATCGGAGATAATTGTTAAACCAGATGTTGGGCGGATATTTTCTAAAGAAGGCAGGGTCAATTTATCAAAAACGCTCAAGATTAAGTGCAAATAAAGTGTCACAACTATTATTAATAACTTTTAATACAATAATATGTTTTATTCTTTGTTATTTTATTTTGTAACAACAAATAATCAATATTTAGATATCTATTTTGTAATCTTTCATATTTAACATAAAATGATAAACATCATTAGTGTTTTGTAATAATATATAATAAAAATGTTTTGAATTTAATCGAAAAAATATTTGAGTTTACCTCGGTTATTTCAGAAAACATGGGTTCCGTCTCCTTATTTTCTATCACGCAACGCATTCTTGATGTTAAGACGATACGAATCTCCCTTCAGCTTATAGTTGCAAAATATGTAAAACGAATTTATTAGGGCTTATTTTCAATTGTCTATATTATTTCTATGATTAATTGTGTTTACCACGCATCAAAATGGATCTTTTCCCTTCATATACCTTTTGATTCCTTTATGATTAAATCTTCTCAATTTAGTTTTTTTTAGCCTTGCATTAGTTCAGTTAAAATACTTTTTTTGAATATACGCGCGGTGGCTTACATTATGTATACATATAGTGTGTCAAGTGTATCCTGTCTCTATAGCTCTTCCTCGTTTTACCGTCTATTTTAAACAGATAGAACGTCTTCCAATCACCAAACTTCATTGATTTTTTAGTCCTATTCAGATAGAAGTTGTAGCAGACGTTCATGAACAACATACACAAGAGCAGTCACAAAAACACGCTATAATGCGAAAAGTATTAAGTAATGTTGAACGCCATAAACGATTTCGTGCTAAAAAAGGAGCATTAAGTGATAGATCAACTCAAAGTGGCTTTCATCAACCACGAACTAGTGCTGAACGTCAAATATTATACAAAGCAAATAAGAAATTACGACACAAATTACAGAAACTCAAGAAGAGTTAACAACATCTCGTTAAAGAATATTAAATCTTGCAAATAAAAAATATATTTTACATTCAAAAGAAAATTAAATTAAATTTTACCTATTCCTGATCCATTTATAAATTATTAGCCTAAACAAGAATATTAAAATTATAAAATAAAATAATTATTGCCATCATGCGTTAAACAAGTTTAATATTTTATGGCTTCTATTAATTTATGAAGTTATCACTTCTGTCGAGCGTCCCGTGACGCACACCAACAGACTCCAGTTGGGCTTAAACATCCATTTTGAGTCAAAACCCAGGAATTTCAACATCTTTAGCCTCAAATCTCTCGATAAATCAAATGAAATCACTACTCGTGGATTAAAGCTTTACGAGACCCGAGACTGCAATTTAAACATCTTAAAAAAGTCATCAACATTTTTTGCATGAAAGATTCAATTTGCCAGTATTTTACAGTAAAACGTTGGCAAAAAACACAGTTTTTCGATTTAGAGACTATTTTTGTGTTTAGAAATATTGGCCTAAAAGTGAAGAAACCCCAGTTGCCAAGAGTTTTCAAATAAATGATTATAAACTTTCGATTTTGAGTGTTTTGTCGACAATTATCAGTGTTTTGTCGACAATTCGAAGCTGCGAAAGGTTTTCCAAACATTTTTGCAAAGCGGTTAAGGAGGCGAGTGATCCAATAAAATGTATCTTGTAATTTTTCACAGAAAATACCTGAATATTTTCAGTATTTGTAAGTAAAACTAAAAAATCATGCGATTTTTGCGTAGAAAGAATTGTTTAATAAAAACTTTGCTAAAACTACAAAGACCTGAAAATTGAAAGCCACTTTAAAAACCTTCAGAGCGATGAGACCGGCGAATTTTCAAAAAATTTTTTGTAAACTTTTGCTCTGTAGTCGTTTTCCAAGATATTCTCAATAACTTTGGGTAAAAAGCTCAATAGAATTATTTGATTTTTGTGCCAGCTTCGATGCTCAAATGGGTTTTTTAAAGATCCCTGCCAACCGTTGCGAATTTTTGCATCAGTTTTTGAGAAAACGTTATTGATTTTCGAGGAAAATGGGAGAAATTTATTTACGTTTTTGTCCCGAATTCGTCAGTATTTTTAAGTGAAACTACAAAATAGAGCGTTTTTGAGTTGAAAGTAAACCAAAAAAATTCAGTCAAAACTAAAAAACAATTTTTTTTTTTTAAACTCTACAGTATTCAGAGGAATGGAGGTGACGAGTTTTCCAAATAATTTATTAGAAACTTACGCTTATATTTTTCATTTTTTGATAGAAAATTATTTGATTTTTGCCCAAAAATAAAATGTATTTCATAATTGTTCGCAGAAAATATTTTTAGATTGTCAGTATTTTTAAGTGAAACTATAGAAAATTGAACGTTTGGAAGAAAGAGTAACTTTGCTAAATCTGGAAAATTCCGAATTTTTGAAGAAACTCAAAAAATATCATTAATAAATGGTCCTTAAAATAAATCTAAAAACTACTAAAAAAAGATTCTCATCATTTGTGCCGCACTGCGTCAACTCCCAATAATTCACTGAGTTACCCAGGCCTAATCTGCTTATCTCAAATCCCTGTGCCAACAACTTTTTAGTGGCGTTTTTGGGAAATAAAGTTTCCGATCACAAATAAAATTCAAAAAACAAAATTAAATTGAGCCAGGAAAAAGGAAACCCATTTGTAATGCGTGGAAAACAATCGCACTTCAATAAAACCGGTTGAGTTGCAAACAAAAAACTCTTCCTATGGAATTTGTTAACAATGAAGAATTTTTGAATTTACAATTGTTTTTTCTTCACAAAGAGTACCGAAAATGGTACCATTAGACTGGTTTGGTGCAGTTTGTTTGCGACCAAAACGTAGTACAATACAGGCATTCAGATCTCAAGATTTCCACCACTCACCTACCTGTTGACGTTCAAAAGTTGACCAGCAGCAGAGTCAAAGCGCGGCCATGTTGATGGTACCATAATAACGCGTACCACTTTACCATTCCTTTCGCATCGACGTTTGTTCCGGGGACTTCAGGGTTTGATCGCAGTTTCCTAGTGCCAAAAATGCGTGCAATTCCCGCAAAGTGACGGTTCCGCCGAGTACCACTGTGGGTGCGGTAATTAAACAGGCACAGCGACAACAAACAACCAACGATTAGTATGCAAAACTGATGTGAATTTCTCAAATCGTACTACTTACATGACCTACATCGGCGAGAAAAGGCTTTTACATGGTACCAGCGACATAGTAGTACCAATTTGGAGGTCATGGTGGCTCGGTATGGTTTCTCTGCAAGCTGTTTAGATCGTTCTGCATAACATGTCCGGCAAAAAACCGTTCTTGACCGCGAAATCTAGTACGGGTGAAGGTCCGCCGGGCATTGCGAGCACGGTACCGCCAAAATATCAGCCGCCTCCGGTCCCTGGAAGCACCGGGATCCTCAAACACTCAACAGGGAAGGATGTGGCCAAACAATGCCCGGGAGGAAAAGTGCCGGAGCATAGCTTGAACCCCTCAAAGTACTATCAGGGGCAGCCGCTCCCCAAGCCCTACTACCCTAGTCAGTACCCAGTGCAAACTGTCCCTGTCCGGGTCGACGATCACAATCAACGGGTCACTCAGGTTCAGGTGCATCAGGCCGATCATCGACGACCCCTGGATGAGCCAGGAATTCCACATGTTCGTATTAAATCGAGTGAAAAAAGCACGCAAAACAGGTGCGATTGGTTGCAGATTAATCCAAACGAGCTCAGAACGGCGCCGCTGGCCAATCCCCATAGACCTCTAGTGAGGTACGAGGAAGAATTTCTCAGACCGGAAATGCTGAAGTTTGTGCGAAAACCTGAAGATCCTCGCCTGATTGGTTCAACGCAAGACCAAGCCAGGTAAAATTTTGATTTCTTAAATTCCATAAATTAACTACGTTAAAACGTCTACTACCTTGCAACTTTCCAATGTTTTCCAGGCACATGCAGAGCCTCCTGTTGGATCTGCGGGCCTTGAAGGAGCAAAACCAGCACCTGGCGGACGACAACCAGGAGCTGCGGGATTTGTGCTGTTTTCTGGACGACGACCGTCAAAAAGGGCGAAAACTAGCGCGCGAATGGCAGCGTTTCGGCCGCTACACGGCCAGCGTCATGCGACAAGAGGTAGAAATTCACCAGCCCAAATGACTGCAGCTACTAGTTGAGTCCGTTTTTTCCCAGGTCAGTGCCTACCAAAGCAAGCTGCGGGAACTGGACAACAAGCAACAGGAGCTGATTAAGGACAATCTGGAACTAAAGGAGCTGTGCCTTTACCTGGATGAGGAGCGCGGCAATGCGATTTGCCCGTCCTGCGGCAGCAGCACTACAACCACTAACCTGAGGGATGATGGGGACGGATCGAGCAGTAGCACTAATGCAGATGAACCCGCCGTTCCGCCGCAGTTCAGTCCGAACGGCCCTAGACGGTCTGCTAGTCGAGAGCGGATATTGCATGAAAACCTGGCACGACAAAGAAGCACGTTTAATGGTAATAAACATCAGTTTTGTGTAAAAGCAAACAAGTGAAGATGACCCAGAATCAAAAGATCAAAGACCTCTGTGTGAAGACGGTTTCTCACTTTCATCTCAGCGGACAAAATCTTTCAAATCTCCATCAAACGGCTCACTTCCAAGACGGCAGGGGGTTTTACCTGAGCTCCTAAAAACATTCCACTCGCTCGTGCGGTTTTCACACTACAATAACCATTCAACCCGTTTAATATAGGAGGCACTTCTGCCAAAGACCCATAAATGTACGAAATTTACTGGGAATCGAAATGAAAGCTTGAAGTCGAACGGATTATTCGGACTTCCAGTGTTTTAGAAAAACGTTCCAAGACAATGGAAGTCCAAATAAACCAGTCAAAGACATTCACTCCTGTTTCCTTCTAATTTACTTTCGCAGACCAAATAATGCAGTACGTGCGAAGCCTGGAGCAACGAGTGAAGCAGCTGGAGGAAGACAAGAGATCGTTGACTCATAAAATCAACCAGATCGCAACGACGACGGGCGATCCCAGTTTGGCAGTGCCCCCCGATCCACCATTGGGGGGATTGAGCGGGCGGCCAGAGGCCGTCGTTCGCGCTCTTCAAGTAAGCCCTATTAGGCCCTGCTTGATAAACCGCAGCCACTCATTTCTTCCCCATTCTTCAGGTTCTTGAAGTTCGAGAGCAACTGGAGAGAGAAGATCGGCCGCCCGATAGGGGAGGAGTTGGGACTGAGGGATTGACGCAGCCACAGGACATGGACGACGGTCAAAAAGCGCTTCTTTGGGAGATGTGCAATGTAAGCAAGTGATGGCGAAATAATAGTGCTCCTTAATTAATCCCGCACTAATGAATTTCGGCAGGTGGTATGGAGAAAACTGGAAGAAGGCCCGCCAACATCCCGAAGATAAACACGGACGTTTCCTTGCCAGACAATTTGAAATTATTGATCGCTGCTTGCCTGCAACACATTATTTATTGTTCGTAATGTAGTTTTTTGTGTACAAAATACAAACATTTTATTTACAACCGTCTATTTCCATCCCCCCGACCGGCACTAGGTACCTGCTAGTCAAAACTCATAAGAGTTCAAAAAAATCTATTTGCCCTATTACTAGTACACAGATTCATATATCTCGCATTAACGCCATAGTCTTCTAAAATGCAACTAAAGTTTATTCAACATTATTATATGCGGAAAAAATCGTATTTTAGACAACTGTTTAGGCGCACATTACATTAAACAACATACTGGTTGATAAGTTGACTCATCTAACTTGCCTGTAAAATTTTACACTTTGCCTGTAAAATACATAATAAGGTCGTTTTTTCAACACGCTCAGTGTTAATGTAGAGAAAATGTCGCTGCGCATTGTTATCCGAATTGCCATCTACTGAATATGTAGTTGTTTATAATGTAATTACAACAACACTGAACGTGTTACACAATATTTGAAGCAAACATGACCCGAGAGAAACCCAAACCGGACAAATTAACATTTCATTAAACCAGTAAAGTGGTTAAACCTAATCAAATATAATGAAACAATTTTTTAGTTTCCCTTACACTAACTTACCCTAGTAGCGGTGTCGCCTGCTACTACCTTCAGATCGCCGCCTTCTACCAAACTCATCCGTCGATCTTCTGCGAGATCTGAAAGAAGATCTCCTGCTTCTGCTACCGTAATCTTTTTCACGGTCGCTACGGTGGCTTCTCCTTTCCCTTCCGTAACTAAAAACCAGACCAAATAACCATAAACGACCCCCATGACATGGCCACCAGTTCATCATCATCATCATCATCATTTTCAGCCATTCCATAATACCCCATTTGGACCCATCGGATCAACTGGATCTGACCATCGTGACCATTTTAACCAACTCTCTTTTACCCAGAATATGAATAACCAAAACATCATACCAACTAATACCATGTGCCTGACAAATCACAAAACAATTAGGTGTCAATGTGGAAAAACTACAATAATATATGGTTGTTGTTCAGATGGGAAACAGATAGCTAATCGGATACTTTGAATTTCAATCGCCACAATAAGCAAATGCTACCATCAGGATCTAACTTATCATTCTGCCTTTTAAATCGAAAGTTTTCAACTTTGATAAGATAGATCTTTTGCAGCCGGGTTGCCAATATAGCAATTTTTTTTTAAATCGTATGAGAATATTTTTATCAATTTGCGACCTGTTTCAAACTTTTACGTTTTACAACATACATTTTTTGAAGTAAACCGTTGATTAAATTATTTGAAATGTATATACAAATTGGACTTCGATTAGATCAATGTTGCAACAATTACTCAGGGTGTTTCATAATTAAGTGCAACAGTTTTAAGGGCGAGTTCCTGATTTCACGCGAAAAACTTAACACGAATATGCAGCCATAAGTGCTTCGTCTCGTGTTAAAGTTTACAAAATGTTATTGTTTTTCTTTTCTAATTTCCACAAGTAACTGTTTATTAAACGTACATTTAAAAATTGAACACTTAATAAAAGACATTTCTTAAGTTTTTTCGATACCCGCCTCCGTTTGATCGCAAATTGCGATTGTTCCTGAGGCAGTTTTGTTGAGAAAACTATGAAGAAGACCGCATAAAAACAAATGTGCCCTTAAACGGTGACAATAGCAAACTAAATCCAAAACCTACACTGTAGGAATTGTTGAAAATGTATCGGTACTCGAACGGCGTGAAATTGTGCATGAAAAGATAACAGATTGTGAATGTAGTTCAAATCTGGTGGACGAATTCAAGCGCAAATAATTAAAAGAAATTTGTTTGGCTCTATGGGCAACCCTGCTTTACAGCTTAGCAAAATTGCAACCAAGAAACCATTCAGAAAAAGTCCAGGAAACATAAACATACTTTTGACCAAGCCATTTGGCAGTGACGTCATTATTTGAAACGCCTTATTAAAATTTATTTTGCGAGATTGGCACGATTTGAAAGATTAATTTTGTCAATTAGAAGTATCTTTTAGCACGGTTTATAAAAGTTTTAAAAACTTCCTTTGTTTTTCATTGTTAATGAATTCAACATTTGTCAATAGTATTGTTTTATGTAAACGTAGAAATTTTATTTTTCTTCATAAAATACCTAAAATTAATTGGGTAAATAAATTACTTTCTTGAGTTTCGCTATTAATTTGCCTCAACTGTTGCGTTAAAGTGTGTTGTTTTCGTGTCGGTAAACCCTCAGTTAAATTACGCAGAAAATAGAAAAAAAAACATGAAGAACTCATACGATATGGCGATGGTAGACAAAATATGAGCAAAATGGACCGATGTTCGCCCTCACATTATTGCTGACCCGCCCCTATCCGAAAATAACACATACAAATAGAAACTGTATTAAATCATTAAATTTACTTACAATTAACTATTTAAAATTACCGCCAAAATGCTTGGGTCAAATATACGTTTTATGGACTTCACGTTCCCTTTAAGAAAATTCACCACCATCAGTGGTACTTTTGCTCAATAATAGGCTTAAAATTGCAAATTTGCCAAACCGTCCGATTGAAAAATGACAAAACACACTTAAGTGAAGATAATGAGGATGACGTTGTGAAATAAACTAAAACTAAAGTCCATCATTACACGTGAATTTGAGGTCGTTTAATGCAAAATCCTTGCGGCCCCGCAACAAACAAGGCTATCTGTAAATTGCTTGAGTAGTTCAAGCGCGCTATCAAACAAAAATATTAACTGTATTTAACTTGTATTACTTTAATACGCGTTTCAAGGACATACCTAGACCGGGTGGACTTTAGCTTATAGTTACAGGTAACAAAGGATTTACCGCAATATCATTAGCTTCCCTAGAAGTAGAAATTTTGAATCGAACTGGAATAGCGTTTGTAGTTAGGAAACGCCTTTGGCGATTTTTAACGAGCATCCACTGATTACGGCCACTTAAAAACGTTGAACCAAATAAACATAACATTAATAAAACGCGATCAAAACAGTTCAATTAAAAGCACTGATCTCTGTTGTTGAAGCCGGAAAGCAAACTTAACAGCGTATGATCCATGGCTCTTAATAGTTTAAGTAAACATCTAGCTGCGCTATTATCACTGTGCGAACAAATCCATTAACAGCGTAACATTTAATCGCTGTTTTTTTCCATTAGAATCGTCACAATTTAGCTGCTAACCTGTCCCAATTATACCCTTGATGTTTAAATGAAATTAATTAAACTCGTTAAGGATTTAAGCTGGTTAAATTAGAGTGCTCTGGTGCAACTGAGTGAAAATTGTCTGAAAAAAGTGAAAAACCATGCAGAAAACCGACTCATTAAGCGGTAAGTATTCTCATAAGTGCTCCAATCGTTTCAGCGACTGTTGTTTGAAAAATGCTTGTATCATCCATAAATACTAGCAAACTTTAGTGTGATTGAACCCCGTTTTATTCAGCGTAGTTCGAGGCCCGATAAAAACGCAAAGGCATTTCCTGCAAGAGATTGAAAATGGTACTGCACATACCGGTCCTTTCGGTTGTCGCTTCCGCCGGTAATTTCCGGGCAGTCCCTGTAAAAGTGGCCGTTGTAGCCGCACTGATAGCATCTCATGTTATTCGAGTAATAGCGGCGCCCTTGACCCCTGGTTCTGGGTCGGGCGTATGTAACTCGAATGCGACAGCCGCAAACTTCACTGAGATTAAAAAAACAATTTAGCAAATGTTGGGGTTGAGATTCTTGGTCAACTTACGCCCCATCGCAGGCTTTCAGGGCAACTGCCGCATCCTTCTTGTCCTTAAAAACTGCGAAACCAAAGCATGGCGTACTGTTCGTCAGCCACACTTCCTTGATTTCCCCATAGGGCGCAAACACCTTCTCCAAATCAGTCTTTCGGACATCGTCACCTGAAGTTGAGGGGGGCAGTTCGTTTGAGATGAACTCAAGAGGTTTGTACTGATAAGACTCACCGATATCAGCAATGTGGAGCCTGTAACCATCTCGTTCACTGCTTCCACTGCGCGATCGTGATCGGGATCGACTGAGTGAGGAACTGGCGCTCCTAGAGCGGCTTTTTTTGCTTGCAGAGCTGACTGAACGGCTGCGGCTCCTGGACTTGGCTGGACTAGCCATTTTTGCTGGAATTTAAGATTTGCACTGTACGATTGACCACTGTTGTCATCAATTCAACGCCCACTTACCGCCTTGAATAGACTGGCAATATGAGCTAAACGAAGCCTTTCCACTTGTAGTTAAAGGCTTATTGATTTTCGCGATAACCAACACGTTTCCCCAGAAACAAAACCTTCGAGTGACAGCAGACGTCTGTCAAAATTTTGCTTCATCAACAAGATGGCGAACGCCCTGAAGTATGCAACATAGTCCAACTAACCTAAATTACGTCTATTTTTGCGTTCTAATTCATGCTTTGCAACAAAAGAAAAACGTCGAAAAACACCCTGGAAGTAATACATTGGCTTTTGCACAGCAAAAAAACCGATAAATATTTAGCCTTCTTCTAGTTTTTGCCTTTGTTATGTCACAGTCAAATATCTGCCCGCCTCATCTAGCAGAAAATGTCAATAATGTTTTGACTAGTAGATTTTTTGCCAAATTCACTAAAAACTAATTAACTAAGTGCAAAATGGGCAATGCAGGTGCCAGCGGGCCGACGCGCGATAGGCAAAAGTCTGTGGACACCGCACCGTCATCCCCTATGAAAGAAGGACAGGCGTTTGTTTTCGACAAGACGTCCGACAAGGGATTTCACGGGGCTCCAGACGACGAGGAGCCCTATTTCACGAAACCTGCCATCAACTACAACCGCCCTAGATCGAACACAGGTAAACTGCCTTAGCTTACTTAGAATCACCCTGTCTAAATCCGTCCAGTTGCAGTGTCTGAAGGAACGAGCATTTTGACTAACACTACCGATACAAAAACTCCAACAGTATTTCGCTGGGAAGGTAAGCAAAATACTTTCAGCCCAAAAATACAATGACAAACACCCATTGTTAATCTCTCTAGGTGGTGGCAAGGATGTCTGCCTATCTGGCTCATTTTCGAACTGGGAAACCATCCCAATGGTAAGAAGCCATGGGGATTTCGTAACAATTATCGACTTGCCTGAAGGAGAACACCAGTACAGGTATTTTGTGGATGGGGAATGGAAAAATGACCCGCAGAACAAAATTGTGGAAAACGAATCCACAGGTAAAGGTAAATGTTTGCGCTGGACAACCCTTCCAGGACTGACAGTACCCGCAATTGTTCATAGGGGAAAAGAACAATATGATTACGGTGAAAAAGTCCGATTTTGAAGTGTTCCAAGCTTTGGCAAAGGATCAAGAAAGTGCCAAAGACGATTCGCAAAAAGAGTTTTCACAGGAGATTCCTGTTTACAAGCCCTGGGAGAAAAACAGCGGACCTCCAATCCTACCACCCCATTTACTGCAAGTGATTTTGAACAAGGACACGCCATTATCGGTAAGAGCTAGTAGTTTAAATAAATTGGACATTTAACATTGTTGTTTCAGTGTGAACCAACCTTACTACCAGAACCCAACCACGTAATGCTGAATCATCTGTATGCATTGTCCATTAAGGACGGAGTGATGGTACTCAGTGCTACTCATAGGTACCGAAAAAAATATGTGACTACCCTTTTGTACAAGCCTATTTAATCGGGATTTCAATGCGTTGAAATCCTCTAGTTATGTAGAATTGCACATGATTAAAAAGATTAGTTTTTAGTGGATTTTCTGCAATCAAAGGCAGTTTTATAGCTAATAAATGTTCCGAATTTCTCAAGTTCATTTATTGCAATGTATAAATTTACGCCTACTCTCTGCTGAAGTTCGGAAACATTACCTAACAACATATAAAAACGAACAAACATATTGCTGTTAGTGATAGGACCGTTATTATATTCTATTGTAAATACTCCAAAATCGTTCTTAAATATATTTTTAAAACATAAATGTCTCCTCACTCAAACTACTAAACCAGCACAGAATTTCAATCAATCAATGTGTTACTGTAAAAAGTGCTCGTTTCGGCGAATTCTCTCCAATAGATGAAAATATTATTAGAAACTGATTCGGCTTACCAAAGCTTTTAGTAACTAGTTCAGTTCCCATTTAGGCTTAAATTACAATGCAATGCTTGGACTTTAAGTGTGTTAACAGAGATACTTTCTGAGGAAATCCATTGCCACAATGATTGCAAATGTAGGGCCGCTCATTGGTGTGCTGTCTCTTGTGGATTTTCAGCGCATATCGACTGGTGAATCCTTTTTGGCAGTTTTCACAACTGTACGGTCTCTGGCCGGTGTGCGTCAACATGTGCTTCTTCAATTCGTGAACTTTCTTGCCACACAGCGAGCAAGCCACTTTCCGAAAATCTGGATCTGCAACAAATCAACCAGTTAACTAGAAGCTGCATAAAATGTAATTGCTACTGATAATGTCTGTTTGTATTACATACCACCGTGTCTCCTTAAATGTCGTGTGTGTTCGCCTTTTAATTTAAAATTTCGCCCGCAAATCTCGCAAGTGAAAGAGTTCTCTGAATGCAATAACTTGTGCGATCTTAATGATTCCGAGTTCTTAACTGTTTTTCCACATTCTTTGCATGTTACAGGAGTTTCCGAGTGAAGCTTGATGTGTTTGCTCAAATTGTCCGCTCTAACTACAGCGCCGCAAATATTGCAAACACCTGGAGTCTGATGTTCGGTTCTTCGATGATTGTATAGTTTAAATTTCGAGTCAAATATCTTCTTACATTGTCGACATTTGAAGATCCTTTTCGTGGCCAAGTCCTTTAACATGTCTAAGTCCTGTTTTGGCATATATTCTGAGTCATTTGCATCTATGCTCTTTTCCAAGTCATGGTCTACAATTTTTATATCGTCTTCTGCAAATTCCATGTCTTCCTCTGGCTTAATATCCACTGAATCTTCGAAAAAATCGGTTACGATCTCGCAATGTTTCATTTTACTTCGCGGTTTGAACGTGTACTTAGTGGCCTTTAAAGTGTTTAGTCTAGTTCGCAGATCCAAGTCGGTGTTAATGATGACCTTTCGGAAATTGTAGTAGTTGTTTATATTTTGAACGCATTCTTCGCAGATGTGCTTCGGCAGCTCTTCAGTCTCTTCAATCTGCAAATGGAACACTACACAATTGATGTATACAAACGAATACAAAATTCGCTCACCACTACAGCAGAGAGTGCTTCGATCTTCTTCACCAGTTCGGTTTTGTCTTCAAATAGCATTTTCGGGTTTTGGGGCACCCGTAAGCAGGTTCGACATACGTTTTCTAAGTTCATTGCGACTGCAACGCGAGAAACTGGAGTATTTTATGTATGCTAGAGACAAGAACATAAAACAAGGCTTAACAAGGACAAGAATCTGCCTCCGTGTATGTTTTGTAAATATATCATAAATATATTGTTAATGTACATAACCGAAGTTTGCAAACAGTTGACAATGTCAAAACCCTAGTTAAGGTTTAAGGTTGCCACGTTTTTTGAGGCATGCTGTGGCAACGTAGTGTTGTTAGCTGCGGGTTTATATTATTTGTATTGAAATTAAATTTGGATTATTTCTTCCAAACTCAAAATTGATGAACATATAGAAAAATGTTAAGAAGTTTTTTCACAGTTTTAGTTTTAAATTGTTTAGATAGTTAATTGTTACTAACAAGTGAAATATTTAAATTTCATTAGGCGTATTTTTGTCTTGTCTATGCAGTCAGTGCATATTGAGATTAAGTATTGAGGCGTTTCTGAGATCCTGAAATGTACCCGAAAGAAAATATATTATTTGAAAGAAAATCTATTCTGTGCTCTCCTTCTCGGAAGAATCAACATGTGGTCAGCTAAATCAGCTAAATAAAGCTCGTCTTTATCTATGAATAACGCTTTGACTCTTACTTTGTCTGTGGACTTTGTGTCCTGTGATGATATAAGCACAGGTATAAGCCTTGTTCTATACCTGTGCATAGAAGACAGGAAGATGGAACCATAGAGTAAAATAGTTAATTTTGTTGTCTATGGGTTTAACGTTGCAAACATCGAAAAAAATATTTGGTAAAACTTTTATGGAGTCCGAGGTCAAATTCTTTGAAACCCGAGTTCCTTTGTTCGTGATAATAGTACCTGTGCCCTTCGGAACCCTTAAAATGCCGCCCGCCCTGAGTCGCCAGGAGCGTATTATTATTTTTCACCTATTGAAGGCACGATCCATAGAAAAAATAAAACAAGTTATAAATTATTTTACTTGCTCTAAGGCACGACGGCCTTTGGAGAATTTTAGCGGCCCTTGCATTCCAAGGCTGGTGTAATTACACAAATATTACCTCAAATTGATGGACTTTTCTGAAGCCTGAAAGGATTGGCACGATATTGGGAAAAAAAATAAATGAAGCAGCTTTTTTAAATTTAATTTAATGGCCGCAATTCGAAGTTGCTGACGGTGAACCCGCTATGCGAAGAATTGGTCATCAGCGGGTTCCCATTCCCAAAGTCCTGGTTCTAAGTGCGCGGCCGCGGTGACATGTTTACCTACTTTTCCATTTTCTAAATGCTTAATTCCATATTCAATATTTGAATGTTTAAGCGATAGCGATGGTTTATCAACGCCTTTATCCTGTTTTTATCAAATTGGCTTAAGTTTCAAGCCGGGAATACGACGCATTTGTTAAGACGGCATGATTTTACGCAATAAGTATGCTTCCCATCTCTAGAAGGATGCATCAGAACCGGCTCATTGTAATTTAACAGCAAATAAAATTTCTGAGGCCAGTTTGCCATTAGTGGTCAGTTCGAAGCCTTTGTGTCAAGACTGAGGAGAGTCAAGACTGAGGAAAAATGCACTTACCTTTGAGCTAATAGTTCAATTTCCTCACAGACCTCCAAAGACACCAAACACTCCTTTAATATGCGAAATGTTTATTTGACGTTGTTGATCAAGGTGGTTTGGAGGGCAGACACGTCAGAAAATTGGTTCTAGGAAAAACGAGTTTGTGTCGCGAAAAACGCACTACTGACCGGGAAAATACCACCAAACGAGGCAGGAGAAGTTCCCGTCGAAGAAAATCAGCACTTTTGCTGTGGGAAACGAACTATTTTCCGAATTTTTAAACTTTAGACGGAGCAACCCGCACGCAATCCGCCCAGTCTACCCTTATGCAAAAAACGAACTAAAGAAAATGACAGGACAATCGCTGTCAGTCAGGACTTTCGGGCTTAAGAAAAAACGAGAAAAGCCCTATTTGCCCTGAACCGATAGCTTGAAGAGTTTTCGGTAAAATTAACCCGAATTGAAATGTTTGAATTGCTTTTGGAAAATAATTTGTTAAAGTTTTGTATACTGTTCAAGGTTATGTGTCAGTATTGTCGGGGAAAGGGCTGTGAAAATTGCGCGATTTCGCAGGAAATCTTTAAAATAACTGCTAAATGGGTGAACCGCGGGAAACAAATGGTTTAAAATTGTTTATCCCGAAATATTTGGTGGCCAAGTCCGGTTCTGCTCAGGGCCACGATCCCACTTCCCCTGCCAGGTCGCCATCAACCTGGAACGGCTCGAAAAGCGGTCAACAGAATGTGTACAGGTGTTTTTTAATGTAGACTTAGTTTTAGCAACTTTATTCGGACTCCCAGTTTTTGTAAGTATCATTTTCCGATCAGCAAAAGCAGTTTTGTAGCGTTTAAGGTTAGACCAGTTGGTGAAAAGCTGTTATTTGTTGATATCTAGTGCATAAAAGTGCAGTGTTCTCATTCGGGACATCCTCACATTGGTGTCCCAAAAGTAACGTTATTCGACAGGCAGGCCTTTCTGCTTACGTGTTCAAGCCTTTGGCCCGCAATCGGTGCATGGGAATCGGCTCTCAGCTTCTGGATTCGTTGATTTCATACGAAAACTTGTTTAAATTCACGCCAATTTCAGTGTTTGTGTGACGTAATGGTGTGCAGACATACAGAACAAACTTTTCTAGCCTGTGGCGCTTTACATGACCTGCTGTGAAAAATGGGTTACATCAAAGGTGGGCCCCCATTCTGGTTATTGAACTGGATCTTTTGCAATTACTGTTAGTTCAGCGTTTGGTTGCATTCGTCGCTTTTTTCAGGTCAATACTGTTGTTTGTTTGTTGTCTTATGTACTCGCTGTATGTAAGTCTTAAGATGCGAATTAAGTTTATTTAAAAAAATCCGCCTTTTCGCCTGGGCGTTTTCGGAAAATTCTCTGGCCTTGTGGGTTTGGCTTTATTTATCCCGTGCACGTGGGCCCCATTCTCAGTCCATTAATTCCTCGCTCTTTTACAGCCTGTCCCGTTTTTTAAATCAGCGTGTTTTTTTTTCAGTGTTAATGGCCAACTTAAGCGATTTTTTAACTTCAACCCGGTGATCATGGCAAACACTGCCACTGAAAATGAGGCCGACTCTGGTAAGCAGTAAGAGCCGCTTGAATAGTCCTTGCTCTTCAGCTTCACCTCTAATGGCTCTTTGTTTCTTGCAGGCAGTAGTATTGTAACTGTAGCTAGAGTAGTTGAAAAACAGGAGGATGATCAACCAGAGGAAGCAGTGACTGGCTCCAATTCAAATTACGACTCTTCGGAAGGTAAATGCTGAAAAGATCTCAATAGCAAGGGTTCTAGGGATTTTAAAGGGTTCAAGAAAATTTCCGGAACGTTTGTTCTCTCAGTACCCACAGGTCATTAATTGATAAGTCAATTATAATGGGTTCTAGTTAATCGGCTCACTAATTACTATTCAGTAGACAACGCGGCCCTTTCTTGTGTGTTGTCATTGCGCCTTATCTTCAACAGTCTTGGAAATTAGCCTACACACGAGCGGTGAAATGGGATGGGAACCTCAGGGTCAATGCATAAAAGTAGGGATTTTACTACCCATTTGACTTTGCGGTCTAGCTCGAAGTATCAGTATTTGTTAGGAGTTCGAGGCAAGAACAGCCGCTTTGGCCCGGTTCCTGGTTTAGTGGATAAAGTTCAACAAATTTTGCAGGAGGCTACAAGTGTACAGTGTGTGACTTTGAAGCAGTGACTCCTTCGGCCCTTACGAATCACATCACAATTTCCCACACAGCGTCAAGTGAGGCGGAGATGGAAGCAGCTGATGCCAGCACGTCGCCCCCGGAGAGGGCGCAAAGGTAAATTTGAGGTGTTTTCTTTCGGTATAAAATCTCTAACTGTTTGTGTGTGTGTTGCTGTAGAAAAGCGTTCGACTGCGATATTTGCAAAATGAAATTTTCAAACGGGGCCAATATGCGAAGACACAAAATGCGGCACACTGGAGTCAAGCCCTACGAGTGCAAAGTGTGTCAGAAGCGGTTTTTCCGCAAGGATCATTTGGCTGAACATTTCACCACACATACGAAGGCATTGCCATATCATTGCCCGATTTGCAACCGAGGGTTTCAGCGGCAGATCGCAATGCGTGCCCATTTCCAGAACGAGCACGTGGGCCAGCATGATTTAGTCAAGTCTTGTCCACTGTGCAACTTCCGCGCTGGTTCAATGAAGAGCTTGAGGATTCACTTTTTTAACCGGTAAGTTCTGTTACATACATATACAGGGTGATTCAAAATGGGCGTCATTCCTCTGGAGGTGATGTAAAATGGTAAAAAAATTTAATTGTTATTAAAATGTGAGATATTTGCAAAAAACTTTATTACAAGAACGGCAACAATGTTTTTCAAGCCAATCTGTCTAATTAGCATTACGTGAATACCTGTTGCTTCGTAATTATATAAAACTCCGGTAACCACGAGAAAGTGACAATAAGAGACAAGGATAAACGGTAAATTCAACAGGAATCGTTGAATGACGGAACCTATTTCGAACTCATAACCGCGCATTATTAATTTGTTTACAAATAGCAAAAACACACATTTGAGTCTGTAACTCTCAACAAGTGCCTGTGTAATTACCTTATTATGCATTCTTCTCGGCTGATTCTCGTATTCGGTTAGTTAGGTTATTCACTCCTGCTCAATTTATACCGTTGTTTAGTAATCCATTGGTTTAATGTGATCTTACATACGTGGTAGGAATGTAGCCGGTATTTATTTGGTGCCTGGGAAAGTGCCAGTTGTGCAATGTTCTGTGTTCCCCTGAAAGGCTCTTCTGCAGTTATGTCTAATACTTGTTCCTCTGTCTCGAACCCGAACATCTATTGTCGTCCACTATCTTCCTGGAAGCATTCTCCTCGCCCTTTGTTGGCCTAAATTCTTATGGGCGATCCACTTGTAACTATCTGCTTAAAATGTTAATGCCAAAAAACATCATTGCCGCTTTGACTTTTCATCAAAAAATTGTAGAAGAGAAGTTTTTTAATATCAAAAATGTTTGTAATTTGAAGTAAATATTGTAATTTTTCTTTTTGAATGTTTCCATATTGAAGTATTCCGATATGCTTCCAATTAAACATGGAACACTTTCAAAAAACAAAGTTGAAATTCGATTTTCAACTGTTTTCTAGAAATTATCGAAAAAAAATCAATATTTTTCTCGCACCTTCCAAGTGAGCACCTATTACCCCTTAAAAGGAATGACGCCAATTTTGAATCACCCTATATATTGCACATTTGGAAGTAGCTAACGTGGGGTTTCTTGATTCTTTCAGGCACGGTATAGATTTGGACAATCCAGGAGCGCCAGGCACTCAATCGCATTTAATCGCCGCTGCGGCTCAACAGGGTTTCAATGCGGTCGATGGCGCCCTCAATTCGCTCAATCAGCTCAGCTCAAATCTTTCGGTTAGTGTAACTAGTGCAGCCTCAGCTAACTACAGTGACTCGGGCGACTCCACCGAGAATCGAAGTGCTGACAATGCGACGCCCCCCATGCACTTTTTGACTCCCCATGTGGAAATTTCAATGGCGGATGCGCCCACCGCAGTTTATTCACCCACTCTGGTAAGCACATGTTACAACTTCCAGTCCAACTGTGACTAAAAGTGTGTTTTTTTGCTGTAAAGGATCAGCAGCAGAGAAGCAGTAACAGTATGGAGGGGCCCCGGATGGTGAATGGAGACAGTCCGAATTCGCCTCAATCGGCCGATTCGAACTCAAATGCGCCCAGCAGCAGCCATATCCAGCCCAACTCGCTGCGAATGGAGCAGGAGACCAACATTACGCCGTCGATTTCCCTCATTCCCATCAAACAGGAGCCGGGCGAGGAGTATAATGAGGCAAAGAGAAGCCGGCCTGCTAGTTTCACTTCTGAGTCAGATGCTATGACCATACAAAACGCCACCAACAGCAATTTGAACTCGCTGATTAAGGTTTCGCCCTTGAAGAGTCTGCTACGCGACGACCTGAAAAAGAAGCTGATTTCGCGGAGTAATTCGGCAAATCGAGGCCGATCCACTGCGTCTCCAAATCAGAACAATTCGGACTCTTCGCCGACTGATACGATAGCCAATGGTCAGTATCTCGGCCATTTCCTTAAGGGTGGGGCTAAGTGTTGGTTTGTTCCAGGTGCAATCACATCGACTGGAATGGAGCATCCCTCCGATTCCTCCCTGTGGAGGATGTTTGGCAAACGCCTCCATTGCACCTTCTGCGGGATCGGTTTTCCCGATCAAACCCTCTACTTCCTTCACAAGGGCTGCCACTCGGACGCCAATCCATGGAAATGCAATATTTGCGGCGAACAATGTTCCAGTGTGTACGAGTTCAATTCGCATCTACTCAGCAAAAGCCATCAGTGACAATTAATGGAGCCCTTCCCTGAAACCTACACGTAGTAAGTCAGGGGTTCGATGTCTTCAGGGTCTGGGCGCATTTTTCTAAATAGCTAAGAGGGAAATTTTGGTTTTATTGTGGCCCTCAACCAAGGAAATTGTACATATTTTTCTAACGCTTTGTCACTGAATTATCACGGTTTGACGATTATAAAACGGAAACGTCCTCCCAACGTGCCTAAAATCTACTATACAGAATAAGTGCACTCATACTCAATCATTATAACTAGTTTCTATTCAATTGCGCCTTATAGTAGCCAATAGTGCCTTAAAGAGAAATAACGTTTTTCCAGCAGAAAACTGGTGTGATTGAATGGAGACACTGAAAACTGAATTATTATGGATTCACTTTGGGCGCAAGTCTGCAAGCCGGTTTAGTGAGATTCAAATTCACATTCCATTATCGTTGCATTTAAACTTGTTATTGTTGTTGTTATACCTCGAAGTAAGTAACTATTAGATAGGTAAGTTTTTGATGCGCCGATACATTCACATTTCCTCTCTGAGAATTAAAAAAAGGATGCAGTCCACTCATTAGTTGACGATAAGTTTTTTCCCTGATGCTGATTTTTTGTACCAGCCAACGCCCCAACAAGCTCAATTTTGTCTCTTCTGTCGCGTCTTTTATTTGCCGTTTTTTCAAAAGAAATCCTAGTAGTTTATCATTTTGTGCTCCTCCTTAAGGGCGCAATCAAAGAGGCCGTCATCTATCATCTAATCTCTTCACGCCAGGCGGCTTATCGGGGCTCTTTGCCTGTTTTATGGGGCGAAAAATGACAGAAAAAAAACGCGCTTATTGTGTTGGTTAACGTTTATACTCTTGATAGGTTTGAGAATTTCAAACCTTAAATCAGCTCAATTTTGTACATGACAAATTTTAATAAGCAAAATTGTATAATTCGGATGTACGGTGAGCACTGAGGTGGGTTGGATATAATCCAATGCCATTTGAAGAGCTCAAGACGCTTTAGTATGAAAAGTTTTGGGAAAAGATGTTTTTGTTATATATTATACGAGTAAGTGCCTACGTAGCCTACTCAATGCGATAATGAGAAACAACATCCGTCCAAGAGAATTTTGTTAAATTTTTGAATAGATTTATATATATATAATAATATACACTTTAGATAGACATTATACATAGTAGACTATAGAGTTTATAAATTTTTATCGAGTAAAGAGATTGTTAAATAACGTTATGTACGGAGAGAAATAATGTTGTTTGTTGTAAATGTACAATTATGCGTTAAAGGAATAAACAAGGTGAAACGTTGAGGGTTTTTTCAACGATTCACTATGTTTAATTTGGCAAGCGATTTCTAAAACATTATCGCTTGATCTAAATATCCAGGCCATGGATCCTCAAATGTATTGGCCAAATTAATTAGGATTTTTCATTCAGCGCAATCAAGCTGCAATTCCAATTGAGGACAACAAATCAAACGTTATAGGTGTAAACATTCCACGATTAGATAAATTGTACATTATATTTATTTTTTATTTAGATTTCGGTGCAATAAGTTGTACAAGTACGTTTTAGTGACTCAATGTATCGACTCATGTATACACATTCCCACAATGGTTGGATTCATGTAAATTGTTTTTTAAGGCTTTTTGCATCTATACCATATTTATTTTTATTTATCGTTCATGTAGGATATCATTTTGTATGTGTAGATATTTGCAGTTTTTCAAGGTGGCGGGGTTGAATAGATATTTTATTTTTCTGATTTTTTTTTCAATTTCCCTATCCGCCACTGTTTCAGCTAAATTGGGCCACTTGGCTGCAAAGACCCTGATTTATTCAGTGGCATAATAAGGCAATTATCCAGCTACGTGGTTAATTGAGCGTTCTATCGGTTCGGGAATTATTAGAACAAATCGCATGCAATTATGGGTGAACTAGTGCCGCTAATTAGTTGATGACCTTAAGAAGAGCGCCGTTTTATGCGAAGAGCCAGCCTGAGGAGGTCAGGCGCACCATTTTCGAACGCAGCAATTATAATCAAAATGTTTAATGGTAGCATATTTAGGCACCACGCCATCGGCCTCTTATTGTTGTTCAGATGGAACAAACCAGTTCTTGAATTCCACATAAGAAATCGACGTTAAGTTCACGGGTGTAGAGTTTCCAACGGGTTTTGCAAAAAAATGTATTGAAATGTACTCAGGAGCAGATGGATCTTTCCCAGGCTTTGACTGACTGATTTTGGAGGCAAAAACCTATTAATCAGTAACTAGCTTTAAACCCACAAAAAGGCGTATTTTTATTGTATTTGGTGATCCGTTCTTTGTTAAACCCACAGCGATTTCCATTCTTTTCGGCGAAAGATTGGCGTGGGTCGAATGTCTTTAAGGCGTCGCACCTCGTTGGGTTGGTAAGAATTCCCTCTCGCCGCCACCGAAGTCTTCCGAAATCCCCTGAGGCCAGACTCAAGTCAACAAAAATCGGACACAACCTTATTAGGCGAGTCGATTTTGGCCTTTCCAAGTTTAATCTGGGAACTGTTTCGTCGTTTTTCGAACACTTTGCCTCTCATTTGTGCCTGCAAAAACCTGCCGGCCTCCATCCAACTATCTCTGAAGACGCCAGTCAGTCGCGAAAGCGAAACGTTCTAAAGCAACCCCAAAGCTGCCAAATAGTCACGAAAAACCCAAAAAACCTCCAAAGGCCAATCAAAATGAGTTTGGGTTCCTAAAGTGCAACTTGCGGCACTTCAATGCTCGCCTAAAGAGTTACCTGAACCCATACCTCGAGTTCGGCATCCATGGTCAAAAGTTAATGTTTACAACAGCCCAAGTATCAAGTGATCGAGACCATTGGACCTTTCTGTAGTGCGACAATTTCGAAAATTTCCTAATTTTCTTGTGCCTTTGTATCGGGGAATTTGCGGCGAGTTGAGCGGTTTTTCGGTGAAAATAGTCGATGGTTCCTTTTGGTGCTTTCGGCGAAAAGGTGCGCGGAATTTCGGTACCGTTTAGGATGATGGATGGTGCAAGCAGATCAGGTGCATGTGTTTTTCAGTGTCGAAGTGGATGAATATGTAGGTTGTGCCAGGGATGTTTTTCTTTTTCTGTTATTAAGGGGGTAATCCAGGTTTCCAAGCCCTGTTAGCTGGAGAACTCTATATATTCAGCTCTAAACTGATAGGTTTCAAGTTCGAAAACGTGCTAAAAGGGGACAACTCCAAATAATGGCTTGAAGTAATTCTTTATTTTTGGTGGCAAGCTCTTGCGTAAAAATTCGCAACTTCTCCCTTAAAACCAATAGCGGTTTGTAATTTTCACCATCCATAGCCAAGACTTGAGTCTGTAAGTTCTGAAAATTTCACGAAGATCACATCAAATCCTGATTCGTAAAGGCGTTGCAAGTGCTGCTTTAAGAGAAAAGATTTTCGCCAATTGCAAGCTCACTTTTAAAAACGTGTAATTGCGGGCTTGAAACTGGGCCATTCTGTATACAAGATTTCAGTTTGCAAATTGTGCAAATTTTACTCAAATCGCAATTGAGACTGATTTTATACAATTTTTTTAAATAGTTAGTTGCTAAATGAAGGCCCATTTAAAAAGGTTTATTTAAAAAGTTTGCAATTTTCTGCGTGAGGTGGCTAGCTAGTGTGAAATGTGCTCACCCTGTAGATAGCAGACAAGCCTGAAATCTTAATTCAAATCGCTCTAAATCCTGATTTCTGTCGGCTCTGGAAATGTGAGTTTGAAAAAATGAGGTTTCTGCCAATCGCAAGCTCTCAATTAAAAATTCGTAAGTTATTGTCCAATGCCAGTGGTGATTTGAAACTGGGCCACCCTGTACACAAGATTTGTGTCTACAAACTGTGCAAATTTCATTCAAATCGCTCTAAATCTTGATTGGTTTTTGGCTCTGGAAATGCAGGTTTGTAAAATAAGGTTTCGAGATTCGACCAATTGCAAGCTCTCAATAAAAGATTCGTAACTTATAATCCAAGGCAACTGGTGATTTGAAACTGAACCGTCCTGTACATAAGATTTGGGTCTACAAACTGTGCAAATTTCATTCAAATCGCTCTAAATCTTGATTGGTTTTTGGCTCTGGAAATACAGGTTTGTAAAATAAGGTTTTGAGATTCGACCAATTGCAAGCTCTCAATAAAAGATTCGTAACTTATAATCCAAGGCAACTGGTGATTTGAAACTGGACCATCCTGTACATAAGATTTGGGTTTACAAACTGTGAAAATTTCATTCAAATCGCGCCAAATCTTGATTTTTTTGGGCTCTGAAAATGTAGCTTTGTAAAATAAGGTTGCGAGATTCGACCAATTGCAAGCTCTCAATAAAAAATTCGTAACTTATAATGCAAGGCAACTGGGGATTTCAAACTGGACCATCCGGTACATAAGATTTGGGTCTATAAATTGTGCAAATTTCATTCAAATCGTTCCAAATCTTGATTTTTTTGGGCTCTGGAAATTTAGGTTTGTAAAATAAGGTTTCGAGATTCTACCAATTGCAAGCTCTCATTAAAATACTCGTAACTTATAATCCAAGGCAACTGGTGATTTCAAACTTGACCATCCCGTACATAAGATTTGGGTCTAGAAACGGTGCAAATTTGATTCAAATCGTTCCGAATCTTGATTTTTTTGGGCTCTGGAAATGTAGGTTTGTAAAATAATGTTTCGAGATTCGACCAATTGCGCAAGCTCTCAATCAAAAATTCGTAACTTATAATCCAAGGAAACTCGTGATTTCAAACTGGACCATCCTGTACATAAGATTTGGGTCTACAAACTGTGCAAATTTCATTCAAATCGCGCCAAATCTTGATTTTTTGTCACTCTGTAGATAAGAAATGATTCTGAATACCGTGAAAATTTCACTCACATCGGATTGAAGACCGAGTTAGAAAGCATTGTATATATTTAGTAGCTAAATGGCAGTTGAATTGAAAAAAATGCTCTACTACAAGCTGTACTAAAAAAATTCGTAACTTCTCGCCTAGGACAGGTAGTTCTTTTAAATTTGCACACCCTGTAGGCAAGAAATGTGCTCAAAATTCTGGAAAATTTTACTGATATTATGCTTAATACTGATTTTTGCCAACCTTGCAAATCGGAGTCTTAAACTTTCAACAGTTCGTTTTTCGCAGTTCTTTCAACAATTTAACAATTCGCTAAACCGCAAGCTTTATTACAAAAATGTATCTTCTAAACGAGAGCGAGTACGCTTTTGGAATTTGTACGCTCCGCATACAGCAAATAACTCCAACATTTCTGAAACTTCTAGTGAAATTGTCCAAATCCTAATTTTCTCGAACCTTACCAATGTAACTGAGAATAAGTTTTGGCTCAACTGCAAACTTTACTTAAAAAAATTATAACTTCTAAACGGGAGCTACCATCTATTAGAATTTTTCACACTCTCAAGACAAAAGATAGCTCTAATCCCGGACTCCAGTAGACTTATTACAGGCTGTCTCAAAATAATAACCAGGTTTAAACTCCATTGCTAGGAACCTGGAAAACCCCTTAAATCAGTACCAAATTAAATTCAATCAAAAACCCAATTAATCTCCAAGTGCGCCTCTCCGTCGTCCTCCTCAACTATATGAGTGGCTCAAGCAGAAGCCTCAGAACCATTAGATGGTTGCATAAAAACCATGTCCCAGCAACAGGGACGTTCGGAGCCATCTCCAACCAGCTGGGAAGGTTTATCCACATTGAAAAGCAGCAATTCGACTGAATCTCTGGATGAGCAATGGACTGGTGTTGACCATATGAGCGGACCTTTGAATCCACTGTGTATTACTGATGCCAACCATGAGATTCTGAGACCAAAACCCCGAAGGTAACGTTAAATGTTAGTTAATTTGATCAGTTTTAAGCCAAAAGCGCATTGTGTGGGGAACTAATTATACATATTTATGCTGTTGAGTTTTGCTGATTTTCTCCTGTGGAAGTTTTGTTAATGTGAATTGTAAAGTTTACTATTTACCAAGGTCTTTACTTGAGTTAGAAGAAGACGAAGGATGAATTTTTATCATAAGTTTAAGCTAACAGTATAAAACACTCAACTCATTTAAGTCAGCTCTTTTAAAAAATCTTAACTTCTGACGTTGTCAAGTCAAGAACAGTTAGTCGTATGGAATTGACACATTCTATAGATTAAAACTTGATGTAAAAATGCTGAAATTTCTTTTAACATCGCATGGAAACCTTGATTTTTGCAGGCTTTGAAAATGTGATTTAAAAAATAACGTTCTCAGCAATTGCTCGTTATTTTTTAAAAAATCGTAATTTCTAGCTTAAAGCCTGTACCAACTGGAAAGTTTGGCACTTTCTAGGTAATACACGAGTCTAAAAGCTGTGGAAATGTCTTAAAAATTGCACTAAACCTTGATTTGTGAGAAGACTGTAAAGATTAGTCAAAAGTAAAAGTTATCCAGCAACAGCAAGCCTCATTTAAAAAAATGTTAACTTTTACTCGGSAGCTGTCAGCTATATGAAATTGTCCCATTCCATAGATTCTAGATTCAGCTAAAAATTCTGGAAATTTCTATAAAATTGGGTCAAAATCTGATTTTTCCGGGCTTTGGAAATGTAGAATCGAAAAATGAGGTTTCCGGCAATTGCGAGCTCTATTAAAAATTCCCAATTTCTGATCCAAAGGGTCCGGTGGCATCTGCACATTTGTGTAAGGTAAGTGTAATGTAATGTAAGTGTAAACGCGGTGAAAATTTCTTTTAAATGGCAGGAAATTCTGATTTTTGGAAACATTTTGGAAATATGAGTCAGTCAAAAATTATAATTTTTGCACAACTGCAAGCCTCATTTAAAAAAATTGTAAGTTTCAGTCAGAAGCCGTCAGCTATACGACATTCTCACATTCTATAGACTTTAACGTGGTCTAAGGGTTCTAAAAGTTTCATTCAAATGTTTCTAAAACCGTAAAACGTAGGTTCTGAAAATATGGGTTCGAAAAATAAGGTTTCCAGAAATTGCAAGCTCGCAATTAAAAATTTCTAGTTTCTAATGTAAGGCTCGTGGTAATCGCTAATTTTGACCATCTATATTCAATACATGAATCTAAAAGTAGACAAAAATTTCGGTTAAATCGCACCAAATCTTGCTTTTTGGGAACATTGTAAATGTCAGTCGAAAATGAGAGTTTTCGCTCAACTGAAAGATTCATTTAAAAAAATTGTGATTTCTATTTGGAAGCTGGCAGCTTAATTAAATTAACACATTTTATAGGCTATAGATCGAGCTGAAAATATGGAAAATTTAAACTAGAGTTTTACGGGTTTTGATAATGTGGTTTCGAAAAATCAGGTTTACGGCAGTTGCAAGCTCTCAATTAAAAATTCTTAATTTAGAAGTGTGACAAATTTCTAATAATTCGCATAAAAATCTGATTAAGTGATGGAAGTATTCCCAGTGAAAAAAAAAAACGTTTTTGATCTGCTTCACTTAGTAAATTGTAACTTCTAATATGGAACAGTGAGCCTTGTGAAACTGAGACATTCCATACACTACAGCTTGAGATAAAGATTCTGAAAATTTTGTTCAAATCGCACCCAATGTCGATTCTTGGGAATTTTTCAAATGCCAATAAAAAATAAATGCTTTAGCTTGGTTGCAACCTTTACTCAAAATACTCATAACTTCTAGCTTATAAATCAATGCAAAAACGAAAATTTTATTGAAATACAAGTGCATTCAAATTTCAAAATTAATTTTTATGCACATTGAAAATGCTAGACCAAAATGAGTTTTCTATCAACTGCAAGCTGGAATTTAAAAATTCATAGGTTCCAAACCACGAAAACTATACGGTTGAAATTTACCCACTCTATTCAAAATATATTATTTTATAAACTCTCAGACTGGCATTGAAATAGGGCTTATTGCTGATTTTTCCGAGCGCTGTAAATCCCAGTCAAAAATCGGTGTTTTAAACCAACTGCAAGCTTGAATTGAAAACTTCGTAACTTTTAATCAGGAACAAGTATCTACTTGAAACTTAAGCACCCGATAGATAATAAATGAATCCCCAGACTGCACAAATTTCACTGAAATTGCACCGGTGTCTGATTTTTTGTGTCCTCTCAAACCTTTTAACATGCAAATTAATGTTGCTCAACATCCTGCGCAGCACATGTAAAACTAAGCGCTGTTAATTTCCTTTTAACCAGACAAATATGAATTTTCGAGTAAAACAAGGAAGCTAAGTAATGTGAAACCAAGCTTTTACGGTAAAACGCTAACAGCTTATATTCTATATAATATAATATAGATAGAATTCCTTCTTACGTCCTTGTCCTTTCAATAAGGGGAGATAGCATTTCATGTTAGGTTCCATTTCTGAAAGCTAGAAATGAAAAGCTTTGTTCGGAAGCTTCCCATAAAATCACTTAGAAATCTAGTGTAATTAATGACTTCTAGGCAATGTTTGGCCGATAGAATTCATGAAAAATCTACCATGTATTCCCATGCTTTCTCCAAGAAAGCACTTTCGATGATTCCGACGAAAAATCCCACATATGTGCTGGAGGAATGTGCACACGTAAATTGAAACTTTCCGAGACCCAAATCCGGATTTGAACAGTTAACAGTTCCATGCCGAGCCTAAAAACTTCCCTATTTCGAGGAGAGGTTTCCGTTTAACTGTGTGAGAAAGCAGGAATTTTGATAATTAAATTGAAGATACCGTGGAATTAACCGTAGCGGATGCTGAACATGACAATAATACAATTAAATCGTTATGAAGAAGCCGCGAGCTTAACAAAGGAGTAATATAATAGACAGTAACAGTATAAAAGTGAAAACGACAAGGTCTTGAAAAGAAATTGATAACAATCATGGGAAATAGCTCAATTTATTATAGCAAGAAAGAATCTTCGCCATGCAGAGTTTCGTTAGCGTTAGTCGAATTTTTGGCTGAAACTTAATTGGAAATTTTGAAAAATTCCCGGGCAGAGTTGCTGAAATAACTGCGCTTCCACAGTTAACGTACCTTTCGCCCCGATGGCACAGAACGCCATAGAATGCCCGAAATCTATTCCGCGCGAAAACGCCTTCATTATTCTATTATTTGTAAAACAACGCATTGTTATTAATGTTGGCTTCCAGCCACAGCCATTCATTAACAGACTGCTGAAGTTCAAGCACCATAAAGCGATTAAACAATGATTTTGTTGTGCAAGGAAAACTGCATTTGCTCGCTCTGTAGACAGCTGAAGAGTTTTAGTGAAACCAAAGTGGAAGTCGGTGATGGCTTGAAAGTGCGCGATTCGAAAAACAACTGCAGAAAATTAACGTTTTTCGGCATGGAACTGGACCTGAACCAGCAGGAGTTTGAAAAGTTTTCCACCATTGGCAAGAAGGCCAAAAGGAAACTCAAGAGGCTGGAGACCCCCAAAAAAACTGAGCTGAGCAGCAGGCATAAGTCGGTGATTTATGTCAATGAGGCTGAAGATTTGCACGATCGGAATATAAAAAGAACTGAAGAAATCGACAGCGACTTTACGCTGGAGCTATTGGAGCATTGCCAGGTCTTGAACGTGGTTTCCCAAAGCACCTTTTCCTACGCTTGCCAACTGTTAGATGAAGTCACAATCGGCAGCTACAGGTTTTATGAAGATGATTTTGACGACGATTTTCCTCTGGGCATGGAGGCCGACATGATTTCTGAGTATCTAAGTTACAAAAGGTAACAACCAACAACGACTTCTAGAGGGCTGGAAATCTCCAAAATCTCTCCCTCCGCTAGCTTGGCATGTTGTTTCCAGATTATCCAGCAATTCCCGGACAGAGCACGCAAACTTCCAGACGAACGTGGAAAACAACAACGAAATCAACAGGAACACACTGAAAAAGGACTCGTCCAGAGTGCACACTCCTGCTAATATCAGCAATGCTGCTATCAAACCCGCCTTTACCCCAACAGCCACCGAACAACAGACCACCAGTGAAAGAATGGTGAGTTCATCTGGCTCCCAATCTAGAATACACGCAAATGGTAACTGCGGGCTTTAGGTATCACCGAAGAGGAAAGTTGAGCCCTTCCAGCACCTGTTTGTGGCCAATAATGTGAAAACCTCCACGTTCAGCGAACAAATCGACAAAAGCAACCTTTCCACCACGAAAAACAATCTGAACAACAATGCAGAGTACAACTGTTCACATGCATCTATTAGTATGGTGAGTATTCACCAGTAGGTTGTGAGTAAAAACTACTTTTAGGGTCTAAAGCTGCAGTTTTCCTCAGGTTCCAGAGCGGGACACTGGACCGAACAAGGGCCCTGGACACGCCTTTGGGAACTTGAGAATTGCTCAGAACCAGCTAGCGTCAAAATTTGGAGGCGATTTTAACTCAGGTGACGAGCATCGCATGGTATCAGGCAGGAAACACTATCACGTTAGTGTGCAAGAACTCAGATTGCAGGTAAATAACTCCGACGTTTTTGTTCAGTGATGTACATTTGGGGAAAGTTGTCGTTTTAACTGCAGTTGTCTCGAAAATCATCGCTCTGAGAGGTTTCGACCAAAACATCTTTTTGAATCTCCATTGATCGAGACTCCACCAAAACATATCACAACCCTCATATACACGGGGCAAAAAAAGTTAGAGCCAATTGAATCCAACCATACCTCTAGAGAGCGTGTTTATTAACGCCACTGGGTCACGCAAGTTCAACTGGCGATATCTCAAAAATGATCACTCTAAGAGGATTCGACCAAAACACCTTTTTTGTTCCCCAACAAGCGGGACTACAATAAAACATATTAAAACCGTGATACACACAGGGCCAATAAAGTTACCGTCAAATGAATCCAAACATGCCTCTAGAGCTAGTTTATTCACTTAACGCCACTGAGAGACGCAAGTTCAACTGGCTATATCTCAGAAATCATCGCTCTGAGAGGATTCGATCAAAACACCTTTTTTGTTCCCCAATAATCGTGGCTTCAATCAAACATATTAAAATTGTAATCCACACGGGGCAAATAAAGTTACCGCCAATTGAATCCAAGCATAGCTCTAAAGCTCGTTTATTCACTTAACGCCACTGAGAGACGCAAGTTCAACTGGCGATATATCAAAAATCATCGCTCTGAGAGTATTCGACAAAAACACCTTTTTGAATCTCCATTAATTAGGGCTCCATCAAATCATATCGCAACCCTCATATGCACGGTGGAAAAAAAAGTTAGAGCCAATTGAATCCAAACATACCTCTAGAGACCTCGTTTATTAACGCCACTGGGACACGCAAGTTCAACTGGCGATATCTCAAAAATCATCGCTCTGAGAGAATTCGACTAACACACTTTTTTTGTTCCCCATTAACCAGAGCTCCAATAGAACATGTTAAAACTGTGATGTACACGGGGCCAATAAAGTTACCGGCAATTGAATCCAAACGTAGCTCTAAAGCTCGTTTATTCACTTAACGCCACTGAGAGACGCAAGTTCAACTGGCAATATATCAAAAATAATCGCTCTGAGAGAATTCGACTAACACACCTTTTTTCTTCCCCATTAACCAGAGCTCCAATAGAACATGTTAAAACTGTGATTTACACGGGTCCAATAAAGTTACCGGCAATTGAATCCAAACATAGCTCTAAAGCTCGTTTATTCACTTAACGCCACTGAGAGACACAAGTTTAACTGGCGATATCTCAAAAATCATCGCTCTAACGGGTTTCGACAAAAACAGATTTTTTGTTCCCCATTGATTGAGTCTCCAATCTGATATAACAGAACCTTGATACACACGGTGACAAAAAAGTTACCGCCAAAAATCCAAACATACCTCAGCGAGTGTGTTTATTAACTCGACGCCTCTGAAAGACGCAAGTTCCTGGCGATACCTCCAAAACAATTGCCCTGAGCGTTTTTGAGCAAGACACTGTTTTTGACTGACATTATTGGGGACTCCAAAAATTGAAACCCCACATCAGTATACCGGGTACTCAAAAAGTTACAGCCAGTTTAATGCCAACATGCTCAATAAAACTTCTTTCAAAATCTCTTGGACTTCCTCCGTTAATTTTTCTGGAACTCAGTGAAATTTTTCACTGAGAAAACGATACGGGGTGTTTGGCCATTAAAGTTTTTTAAATTATTATTATTTAGCAGCAAAGCAACAACAGTTCTTCAGATGAAAATCGGTCATCTGGCCATGCAAGCATGTCTGATACTGGACACAGCTCGCCCAGAGATGCAGTTAGCGCAGGAAATGAGCGATTAAATGCCGGAGTGATGATCCAGAAGCCAATCAGAAGCAAACTGGCTGCCCAACATGGCCGATCCAGGCATCGGGCTACGCCTGCAAGGGTAACAGTTACGATCGATTGCAGGAAGAATTGAAGGAGAAACATGCGTTTCAGTTGCACGTTCCATGGTCCGGCTCTGGAGGCTTGGAGGACATCAAGCTCGCATTGCAACAGTTGACTTTGAGATCGCACACTTCGACCAGCACCTATTCGAGCGTGAGCGCCGGCTCAGAAAGCTCAGAACCGGCGATCAGGCGTCTGATGCGACATTCTTCTCTGGAGACGATCAACACCAATGTTACCAGCGCTGATGAGTTTGTTTGGGTTGATTCGCATAATAGGTAAGTCCGGAATTGGGGGCAAGAAGAGGAAACTTTTGGCATTTGAAGAACTCGAAGGTCTTTACTAGTTGGAAACTTGCCATCGTTTTTAATGTTCATCCCATATTTACTAGTCGCGCTCGCAATAACCTCGAGGCGAGGAGAAGTTTCGGAAATTCAGCAAATAAATAAACAAATTTAAACTCGGGAATTGCTATTTTTCAAGTGATACGGAAACAACAATCCCACTATTATTCTGCTCGTTTGCTTAGCAAAACTGCCAGAATAAACTCGGTTTGCAAACTATTTGCAATTGGAATTCTTGCAACATGCCGCCTCGGATATAAAAGTCTATGCCGAATGAAAAGATCCAGAATAAGTTACCAGGGAGTGGTGCGAATTACTTAATATAAAGTTCACACCCCCCGTACGTGCCTCTTGCACATCTAATGCCTTCATATCCAACGCTTATATTACCATCCTATTTGTAAAACTGAGCTTTTATCATTTCTTTGCGGACATTTTCATTTTATGCCAGAAAAAAACCAGGCGTCGTTTCGGTTAAATGGATATCCCAAATGGGACTTTTTGTATGAAACGGTATTTGTTGGTTTTTATTAAATCAAGTGCGATTTAGGAAAAATCGTGCAAAATTGTTTGAAAAAATTGGGAAAGCGAGCAGCACCTCCCGTCAACGTGTCGTTTTCAAGAGTTAGAGCGAATTTATAACGAGAGGGAGAAGCACTAGGTTTAGCTGCCGATATTTAAAAAAGAGCTGCTCTGGGAGATTTTGACTTCAATACTTTTTTATTCCATTTTAAAATGGGCGTTAACAAACTAAAATGATGTAAACGGTGCCAAAAAAGTTAGAGCAAATTGAACGCAGACAAATATGTAGTTGGAATTAATGCAAGTGACAGTCACTAAATTTAAATGCCGATATCTCCAAAACCATTGGTCTGCCAGACTTCGAGTAAAATACCTTTTTTGTCTCGCATGGACTAGACATTCAACAAAACTAAACAGAGCTTGAATAAATTAAACGAAGAAAAAGTTAGAGCGAATTGAATGCAAACATACATACTTTTAAAGGGTTCGTCTTAACGCACCGCAGAAACACCGGGTTTAATTGCCGATATCTCAAAAGCAGTTGCTCTGACAGATTTCAACTAAGAGAGCTTTTTTGATTGCACAATTTTAATAGTTCTCCTTAACGCGGCTGACAGATGTGAATTTTAAAATGTCGATATCTCCACAAGAATTGCTTTGAGAGATTTCAACTAAAATACCTTTTATGTTCCACATGAATCGTGCATTCAAAAGCATCATACAAAACCTTGATATTTGCGGCTCAAAAAAAGTTAGAGCGAATTGAATGAAGGAATCTTTCATTCATTTCATTTCATCAGGAATGCAAACAAACATACTTTTAGCGAGTTCTTAACGCGCCTGAAAAACGTTAATTGCTCTAACATATTTCGACTAAGGAATCCTTTCTGTTCAATAAAATCAAACGAAACCTCGATGTACACAGTGACCAAAAAAGTCAGAATAAAGTAAAAAATGCTCTTAAATGCGACTGACGGACATAAGTTTTAAATGCCGATATCTAGAAAGCAATCGCTATACGGAATTTTGAGCAAAATAGATTTTATGTTCCACATGAATCGAGGATACAAAAAACCGTGCAAAAACATCGATGTATGCTGCCCAAAAAAAAATTAAAGCGAATTGAATGCAAACAAACATACTTTTAAAGAGTTTCTTTTAATGCGCCTGAATAAACACGAATTACTTTGACATTTTTTGGCTAAGGAACCTTTTATGTGCAATATTGATAAAAATGAAAAAAAAAATCAAACGAGACCTCGATGTACACAGTGGTTAAAGAAGTTACAGCAATTTAAAAAATGCTCTTTAATGCGACTGATGTACATAAGTTTTAAGTGTCGATATCTCGAAAGTAATCGCTCTACGGAAGATTGAGCAAAATGCCTTTTATGTTCCACATTAATCAAGGATTCAACAAACCATACAATAATCTCGATATATGCTGCCTAAAAAAAGTTAGAGCGAATTGAATGCAAACAAACCTCCTTTTAAAAAGTTCTTTTTAATGCGCCTGAAAAACATCAATTGCTTTGACATATTTTGACTAAAGAACCTTTTCTGTTGAACATTGATAAAAGCGATAAAAAAATGAAACAAAACCTCGATGTACATAGTGACCAAAAAAGTTAGAGCAATTTAAAAGATGCTCCTTAATGCGACTGACGGACTTAAGTTTCAAATGCCGATATCTCAAAAGCAATCGCTCTACGGAATTTTGCGCAAATTACCTTTTATGTTCCACATGGATCGGACATCCAAAGAAATCAAAAGATACCTTGATATATACGGCACAAAAAAAGTTAGAACGAATTGAATTCAACCATAATGAGTTCTTAACCGCAACTGGGAAACACCCGTTTTAGCTGTCGATATCTCGAAAACAGCTGCTCTGACAAATTTTAACTACGAAACCTTTTTGCTTCATGTGAATCTGGTATACAAAAAAGTTAACCGGGGCTTTGATAGAGACTACCGAAAAAAAGTTATGGCCAATTGAATGCAGACATGCCTTTCAGTGCCTTCTGTTCTCCAAACACGGCTGAGATAGCAAGTTTAACTTCTTATATCTCAAAAACAGTTAGTCCGAGAGATTTCGACTAGGATACCTTTTTTCTTCAGCCTTGACCGAGGACTCCAAAAAATCAAAACCAACATCCACATACAGGGTGGAAACTTTTTTAGAGCCAGTTGAATGCCAGCTTACCCTTAAATCGTTGTCCAACTCCAAATCAAAACACCCTGTAAAAACTGAAGCAACATCTGATTTCCAGACTAGTTGAGCTGCAGCATTTGCCTTGGAGCAACCATTGCATTCTGCGAGTCCTGCAGTCTGGCCGTTGTAAAGAGCACATGGCTCGAGTGAGTGTTGAGACTATTCCAAGACTTTCGTATCTGCTGCAACGCGCCCTGGTGCGGATGGGCCGCGAAACTCAAAGACTATCCTCCACTTTGGGCATCTGTACAAAGCACGACATCACTGTGAGTTGCTTGAAACCATCTGCAAGTGAGGACCAACCAGGCTAATTGTTGTATTGAAGATTTCCTTTAGAATAGTCCTGTGTCCGCCTCTGGCCGATTCCTGCATCAAAGCCTGCCTAAGAGCTGCAGCCATGCTGGCTGTATCCGGCGACTGTACGTTGAAACAGAGCAAGTCTTCTAGAGCCGGCCTACAAATGCAAGTGGGCCGCTTCCATAGATGGATGAAGGACGTGAATCTAACCAGATTCATTCATGAGTGAGTTGAGATTTTGTTGGCAAACCGGTTGAAGATCCAGACCAATTTCCAGATATGCAGCAGTTTATCTGTGCGCAGGCATTGAGAATCTTCTGGAAGAAATCCTGCTTCAATGTCTTCCAAGCGATTCGGATGTTAATCTAACGGCCACTTTGCTGGAACATGCGATTGCCAACAATGGGGACTTGTGGGGGCTGTTGCAGCCCTACGCCCATCTTAACGCCGGCCGGATTGCATCAGGTATATAGCAAAATCGCTCATTAATTCGGCAGGCTGAGCTTAAAAGGAAATGCCAACAATTGCAGCAGCTCAATTAGGCTAAAGGGGAAAAAGCCCGGTTCACTAAAATGCGGTTCTGGAATTAATGCGTTGTGCAGGCATTAGAACGAATTGAGCTGGCAACCGGGGGGAAACTGGCTAATTTTTTATATGGGAGTTGGTTGCAGGATTCCGGCCAATGAAAAACGAGACCACTCAGTCAAATTTGTGTATCGAAACATCCGCTTCATTAGGCGGCAAAGGGACTTTTCATTTTTAAAGCAAACATTTATTCTGTGGCTTTGAGCTGATTTTTCTCTGGTAAATACGAAGCTTTAACTATAACTTTCACCCCTTTTAATAGCCAGGATTTTGCCCTGCGAACTCAGGGGAGTCCCAGACTAACTGCAAACTAACTGGAAATTTTACGCCTTTCCAATCCCACATGAGCCATATGGCATTTTCCCATCTTTCCCGCCCAAAAAGCAAAAAAGCTCAGTTTCACATAACATAACTTGCGTCCCAAGCAGGGGTTTCAAAAACAAGTCTTTAGGTGCTTTGGCCCTTCCTCGTTGGGCTTCAGTGTCTTCAGTAAGTTCGGGCCGAGACTCCGGCCGGTCGGCTGGCCCTCCTGAAACCTCCCTCATGACCACCTGCGTAGGCTCTTTGCAAGAACTCCAAGACCTGATTGGTCGAATGAAGCCCCGCATTCCTCTATGTCCGAAAGCCATCAGCACCTTGTTCTATTTCATGAGATGTTCGCAGCTCGAGCATGGAGATCAGGGAAACTCTAGTGCTGTTCAGGTAGTATCTTTCTGTTCTTGTTGTGGAAACTCCTGCTCAATCGCAGAGGTTTGCAGGAACTGTGCTATGAGCGCGCCTATGTGGTCCTTCCTCCTCTAGTTGAATGGCTAAGAGTGGCGACAGCTCACGGAGAACATCGATTTGCAGCAATTCTGGATAAAGACGACATTATGCAGGCTGCCCGATTGCTGTTGCCTGGAGTCGATTGTCCTGTGAGGGCGTTGGGTGAAGAGGCAGTTAGAGTGAGGCGGAATAATGGCAATGAGGAGGATCAGGTGGAGGCCACCAAGCAAATTCAGGTGAGGAAATTCTTATTGCTTTTATCTGTTCAAAAATGCCTTCGTTTCTTCAACTGCTTATTTTTCTATAACGCCACTGAGAAGTGCAAGTTAGAATCGTCCATATCTCAAAAACGGTTGCTCTAACAGTTTCTGAGCTGGAGACCTTTTTTGGTCTTCATCGATCGGTGTATTTAAAAAATCGAACCGGAGCTCGATACATACAGTGCGAAAAAAGTTAGAGTCATTTGAATGCAGACATGCCTTCCGGGAGTTCTTGCCTTCTCTGCAGTCGATTGCGAAGCGCGAGCTTTAATTGCGGATATTTGAAAATCGGCTGCTCTGAGAGTTTTTGGGAAAAATACCTTTTTTGGACCACATTAATTGGCGCCTTCAAAAAATTTAACCTAACATCGATATACACTGTGCGAAAAAAGTTTGGATGCGAACATACCTTTAGAGCGTTCTTGGAGGCTCTAAAAGCGACTGTGAAGCGCAAACTTCAATTGCTGATATCTCGAAAACAGTTGCGCTGAGAGTTGTTGCGAAAAAGCTCTTTTTTGGTCCTCATTAGTTGGCGCCTTCTCAAAATTAAGCTCAACTTCGATATGCACTGTGCGAAAAAAGTTAGAGTCATTTTAATGCAAACATGCCTTCCGGGAGTTCTTGCCTTCTCTGCAGTCGATTGCGAAGCGCGAGCTTTAATTGCGGATATTTGAAAATCGGCTGCTCTGAGAGTTTTTGAGAAAAATACCTTTTTTGGACCACATTAATTGGCGCCTTCAAAAAATTTAACTTAACATCGATATACACTGTGCGAAAAAAGTTTGGATGCGAACATACCTTTAGAGCGTTCCTGGAGTCTCTAAAAGCGACTGTGAAGCGCAAACTTCAATTGCTGATATCTCGAAAACAGTTGCGCTGAGAGTTGTTGAGAAAAAGCCCTTTTTTGGTCCTCATTAATTGGCGCCTTCTCAAAATTAAGCTCAACTTCGATATGCACTGTGCGAAAAAAGTTAGAGTCATTTTAATGCAAACATGCCTTCCGGGAGTTCTTTCATTCTCTGCAGTCGATTGAGAAGCGCGAGCATTAATTGCGGATATTTCAAAAGCGGTTGCTCTGAGAATTTTTAAGAAAAAGACCTTCTTTTGACCACATTAACTGGCGCCATCAAAAAATTTAACTTAACATTGATATACACTGTGCGAAAAAAGTTTGGATGCGAACATACCTTTAGAGCGTTCTTGGAGTCTCTAAAAGCGACTATGAAGTGCAAACTACAATTGCTGATATCTCGAAAACAGTTGCTCTGAGAGTATTTGAGAAAAAGACCTTTTTGGGGTCTACATTAATTGGCGCCTTCAAAAAATTAAACTCAACATTGATATAAACTGTGCGAAAAAAGTTGGAGCCATTTGAATGCTCTCCAATTGTCTTAATGCGACTGACAAGCGCATGATTTAATTGCCGATATCTCAAAAGGGGTTGCTCTGGGAGTTTTTCAGCAAAACATCTTTTTAGGTGCACATTAATTGATGACTTCAAAAAAATTAACGCAACTTCGCTATACAGGGTGGCAAAAAACGTCTAGAAAGTTATCCGATTCTTTTAACCGAGGTTTTGACCAACATGCATAAAATGAGACGAATCCTCTATGTACACAGAGGCAAAAAAAATGCAGTGCTTACTGAAAGTCCTGGCAGTTTCTTCTAATCGGCTTTGAAGCGACGTCTCGGTTTATTTACGTGGGATTCTTAAATAAAACATTACTCACATGGAAATGGCTGTAGTTGAGCTCGTTGTCGTTTTTCCTAATTGAAAATTCGAATCTCCATATGCTAGTTGGTTTCGCGTTGAAACTAAAGCACTTACGACGTAGAGATTCGAAGCGGAAATTACTCTTTTGCTGCAACATCAAACGAACTGATGTAAAATAAATGCCGTTGATGTTTTAGTCGGGCATTTGCCGTCAGTTTCACTTCGCATTCGGGAAACCGTTCGGTTTTGTCCTGCCTTGATGCAATCTATTTCAGGAAAACTCGAAGAACCAGGTTTTGACTGATCTTTAAACCGTCATATTGATTTTATGCTGCTATATTCGCTTTATGACAGCCTTTTATGCATTTTTATATCCGCTAATGTAGCATAGTGCCTATTTGGAATCGTTTTATAGGCTTATATATGAAGGTAGGACGTTTTATGCCCAGGTAAGCGTATGGGGTTGTAAATTACGTAGTTTACGGCAAGAGTTTTTCAATTTTTTTGCCTTTCGGGTATCAGATATTTGGAACAGTTGGGTTCTCCCTTTTGCTGCCTCAGTTTGCTGCAGTGCCTCTGTGGCGATTTTTTCAAAGATAATCGAATTTTTTGTTTTATGTATAATTTTTTTTCTAATATTTTTTGTGTATCTGCGACGGGTTTTGAGGAAAAGATTGTCAAATGGTCTTTAAAATCCAGAGTTTGGCGGCAATTAATTTTGGCTAATCGTTGATATTTGAAAATTTCCAAATCTACCATGAGCTCTCGAAAATAAGTCAAACTTTCGCAATTTTCATATACAAATGCAAAATTTCAACTTGAATCACTTTCGGTTTAGAAGCTACAAGTTTTTTAATGAACAAATGCCCAAGTGAATAATCTGTATGGCAAGATCAATTTTCGAAATTTTGGGCTTTCCCAATTATTTGAAATTTTTCGAAAATTGACACAAGGGTGTCCCAAATATAACAGCAAACGCGTGCCGTTGAATCTTGTTTTGTTTAGAAGTTATAATTTTTCAAATGGAAGAATGCACAATTGCAAATAATCACATTTTGACGTCATTAATTTTTGAAAATTCATAATTCCTCAAGGTCTTTTGCAAATTAAGTGATTTTTTTACGCCTTATCACACGGGTATTTCGAATACACTTCCAAACTTTCATCGTTCAATCTTTTTTGGTTCAGCAGGTACAATTTTTTAACTGAAGAAATGTACCATTAACAACACTCACTTTGTGACGCGGTAATTTTTTGAAATTTTGTTATTTCTCAATGTGTAATTAAATGCAAGTGAAATCTCAATTTAACAAGGCTCGGATGTCTCAAATATATTTACAAACGTGTGTCTTTGAATCTCCTCGAATTTAGAATCTAGAATTTTTCAAATGAAGACATGCACCAATGCGAAATCTCACATTTTGACGAGATCAATTTTCAAAAATGTGATCTTTAAATTACGGGAAATTTTTAGAATATTGATGCGTGGATGTCTCAAAGGCATTTTTAGAGCTGCGCCCTTCAATCTTTTTTGGTTTAGAAGTTAGAATTTTTTAAATACTGAAAAGCGAATAAACACATTTTGACAAGATCAATGTTTGAAAATTTCTAATTTTGTAATGTGCTTTTCAAACTAAGTAATTTTTTTTGACAATTGACGCACAAGTCTCTCAAATATAGTCTCACATTTTCGCAGTTCAATCTTGTCTGGTTGAGAAGCTAGAATTTTTCAGATGAAGAAATGCACATCACGAAAATTCTCATTTTGTTATGAGATCAATTTTTGAAATTCTATAATTCTTCAACGTGTATTCAAAACTAAATTAAAAATACTTTGCATTTGCATGGTCCCCGAGGTCCGAAATATAATTACAAACTTTCATTGTTCCATCTCTTTGGGTTCAGGAGTTATAATTTTTCAAATGGAAAAAAGCACAAGAGCGAACTATGACATTTTGATGAGATTAATTTTTGAAGATTTATAATTCCTCAATGTGCATTTGAAATTCAGGTAGATTGTTCAGCAATTTGGCACACGGGTGTCCCAAATATATTTGTAAAGTTTAGGCCGTCAATGGCTTTTGATTCAATAGCTACGATTTTCCAAATGAAGAAATGCACAATTGCGAAAATTGAAATTTTTGAAGATTTATAATTCCTCAATGTGTATAGTAAAATAAGCGAAATTTTTTGCGTACTTTCCCACGGGTGTCTCAAATGTATTACCAAATTTGCGCTGATCAATCTTTGCTGGCGTAGAAGCTACAATTTTTTAAATGCAGAAATGCACAATGGCGAATTTTGACGACGCGATTATTTGAAAATTTATATTTCCTGAATATATGTATTTCCCAAATTAACTGCCTCTTTTTCGGTATCGATATTATATAAGTATAATTTTTAAACAAAGCAATGTTGCAATGTTGTCCCAATTTTTTCCAATTTCAAATTAATTGCCTGATCAATTTTAAAGAACTTCCGTCGTTTCTAGCGGACTTTTTACAGTAAACTAATAAAAACAAAAATTCTGGAGACCAAATAGACCCCAAAACACATGCTCTAAGTAATCTCTTTCTGATCCAGAATAATGAAGCGAATACATTCCAGGTCGAATTGGCTTTTCGCTTGATGCTAACAGGCCGCCCAGAGCTGATCCAGCAAGCTGTGACGCTTCTTCCTGTTTCCACACGTCTGGATACGTTAAATCCCCAGGGACACACGGCTCTAATGCTGGCTGCTGTTCATAATGACGAAACCACCCTCATTGTAAGTGCTTTCAAACAGTTTATTTAGGTTTAATTTGAATGGAGAGTTGTTTATATAAACATCTAGGCAATTTTGAGAAATTCGCCCAATTAACCATTGTTATTTCTTTGGAGTAACTTGAATAACTCAACCGCTTAGAGACAGGAGAGGTTTTTAAGTGTTGTTATCAATAAAACTTTGGTGTTTGCGCGAATGCGGCTGAAAGTTTCACTTAATGATTCCCAAGCGCCTCATTTACGATACATTTGGCTTTCGCCCTTGGTTTACAACTTTACGAAAATAAGAGTTACTTTACTCTCAGCAGGGGCTTTTATTAATGTTTATCAGTCGGCGCCCTTCAATTATCTCCGGTTACTTTCAATAACCTTTTCTCTGAATAACTGTTTAAATTTCCAGGCTCTTCTTGATGCTGGCGCTTCACTGGACACGGAAACTCCTTCTCCATCTTCACCGCATTTCGTGGCAGTTAATGGGGAAAACCAGCACTGGACAGCGTTAACTTATGCGGCCTCCAAAGGGCACGTGAGATGCGCCCGGGCGCTTCTGGAAAGGGGCGCTAATGTCGAAGGCGGCGCCACTGCCAGCGAGGAGAAAATCACTCTAACTCCTCTACAGGTAGTTTTTCAGCAGGATAATCTAAGCAAATTCACATTTTTAGTAATTTCGCAGTTGAGTTGAAAACAGGTGTTGGGAGATTGGAGTTGACCAGTTCAAGAATTTCTTATGTGACTGATAAATTCGCAAAATGAACCAAATTTTAACTGCATCTAATGCAAAGCATTGTTATCGAGTTCTGGAATTTTTATTCCGATAGCTCTACTAGTTAGTCAGAAATCGTCTTTAGAAGTGTAGATGTAAAAATGGAAAACGGCCCAAAAAATCTTCAGTTTTTAAATTCATTTTAATGGCAGCATTGCTTTGAATCGAACCAATTTAACACTACAGGTCAATTGAATCTTTCGATATCCAGCCCTTAAACCCCTATTTCAATTTATTGCCTAGCTGCTTAGAAATCGTATTTAGAAGTGCATGATGTTGAAATACAAAATTGCGCTAAAACTCCCTGAAGTTTACAAATTCATTCCGATGGCATCCGTTCTTTGGATGGAACCCAGTTTACACCAAATTGAAATTGAGGCTTTTTTAATCAAGTTCAGAAACACTCATTCCCATATCTTATTCTGTTGCTCAAAAATTTTATGTCAAGATGGATGATGTAAAATTGAAAAACCGCGCAGAAACACTCCAAAGTTAAAAAATTTGTTCTCTATGTGTTAATGACTTTCCTGCTACAAAATTTACTCCAGGTGTGAACTCAATGTCTGTTTATTGAGTGCTTAAACTCTTATTCTGACTAATTACTCAAAATCATCTTTAGAAGTTTATGACGTAAAAACGAAAAGCAGCTCAAAAATATTGCAAAGTTTAAAAATGTATTCTGATGGTATCAATGCTTTCAACAGAATTAAATTTACAGTGCACATAAAATAAAGATTTTTCTGTCAGGCGCTGGATTACTCACTTCAAAATCCTGACTAGTTGCTCAGAAATCGTCTTCAGATGTTCCTGATGTCAAAAAGAAAAACCGCCCAAAAACACTTCAAAGTTTAAAAATTGATTCTGATGGTGCGAGTGTCTAATATGATTTGCAACTTGCACCATATATAAACTGAGTGATTCGCTATAAAGGTTTGAAATCCACTTTTCGATATCCCGACTTATTGCTGAGAAATCGTCTTTAGAAGTTAACGATGGAAAAATGGAAATCCGCGCAAAAATCCTCCAAAGTTTAAAAATTCATTCTGATGTGCTCAGTATCTTCACTCGAACCATATTCACACTACTTGTAAACAGAGCCCCTGTTTATCGAGTACTGGTAACCTCAGTCCAATATCTTAACTAGTTACTCAGAAATCGTCATGAGAAATGTATAATGTAAAAATGAAAAACTGCTCAAAAACACTCCAAAGCTTAAAAATTAATTCTGATCGACCTAGATCTTGGACAGAAATAAAATTTGCCCCTCAAGTAAACTGAATACTTCAGTTCACAAAGCCCCTTTATAATACCTCAAGTGATTGCTCAGAAATCAGAAAAGAAGAAGTCTTTAGAATTGGACTATATACAAATGCAAAAGCGCGCAAAACCACCCCAATGTTTAAAAATTAATGCTGACAGCACCAGTGCCTTCCTTGAATAGAACCAAATTTTCGCCACGTGTAGCATAAAGCTTTCTTAATCCACTACTGAAACCCATATTCCGATATCTCAGCCAACTGCTCATATACGGGCCTTGGACGGACATGAACTAAAAACAAAATACCGCACAAAAACAAGCCAAGTTAAAGTGAGAACTTCACAAAACTCCTCACTCCGCTTTTAGTTTAGCGAAGTTTAAATCGCGGATTCTCAATCAATTGGCCGTCAATCCTTCATTGTTACCTGTGCGAAAAGCTCAGGACCAAACTTGAACTTTCAGTTAATTTGGCTTGATCCTTGCTGTTGAAGACCGATAAGCGCCCAAATTTGCATAACTTTAAAGCCACTCGACTTTTAAATTCAGCCGGAATCAACTCAGATTAAAAAAAACTTTATAAAGTTGCGCTCGGTAAAACTAAAAAAATTTATTTGCTTCTAGGTGGCCTGTGGGAGCGGCAACGTCGAGATAGTGGCACTTCTATGCGCCCATGGCGCCCAGCCCTTCTTCTCCACGCAAATCAAAGACATGCTCAGCTACTCAGCGTCCACTCAGCGCGGCTGCTACAGCGCCCTATCGGTAGCGGCAGCTCACGGCCACAGGGTAGTTCTTCAGAAGTTGCTGGCTCAGCCTCTGATGCCCATCAACAAAGAGGTGCTGAGTCTGGAAGAAATGCTGGCTGAAGGAGCGCCGAAGGCCTCAGCAACAGCGAGCAGCGCGCCCCAGTTCACCAAGCCTCAAATCAAGGCTCTACAAGAGGCGATGTATCACAGCGCTGAGAACAATCACTTGGATATCACTGTAGAGATTCGCACGCTTGGAGTGCCCTGGACGTTGCATTGCTGGATGCATTCACTAGGTGTGTAGACTGGATGTAGCTGAGTGCAGATGACTGAATAGAAACCAAGTGAAACTCGGGTTTGTTTCAGGGGCTGCACACGAAGCGCGATTGGACTGTGTGATTGATCAGCTATTGCAAGATTTCCTCCAAGTATGTCCTGAAGACTACGGAACTCAGTTTGTGCAGGAATGTCTGCCGTTGCTGTTCAATATCTTCCGGTACAGCAAGGTAAACTTTTGCTTAATTCCCCACAGCCTCCAGTTTGATTTTTCGCTGTCGCAACTCAGAAGAACCGCAGCAAATTAATTAATTGACAAGTTGGGGATTTGAAAGCTGAAAGGCATCCAGCTTAGGTAGCTGATATTCTTAGTTTCCCGCACTGCTTGCTTCCGCCCGCTGAGGAAACTTCCTGCCGTTAAACCTGGTCTTTGACAAGTTTCTCTCATTTCCTTATCGCCGATTTAAACTGCAGTGGAAAATTAATTACTACAGAGTGTTTGCATGGGAGCAATCCCACGTTCTGGGAATTTTCAAGTTTTTATAGCCCCCGATGTTAGAGAAAATTTCCAAATGTGCGATTATCTACAACTAGTTTTTGTCTTTTTTGTCCGAATCTGTGATCTATCTGGAAGAAAAAACGTGTTTCTATATTTTTTTGTGAGACGCTCGGTTATTGAAGAAAAAAATTAAAATCGACTCATTGCAGTATTCGTAGTCAGTTGGCTGAAACATTCAGATGCACGGAACACTTTTTAATGAAAATATGATACGCCACTGATTTTTTCAAAAAAAAATTGTTAATGAATGGTTGATCTATTAGGAAGAGAAAATGTTTCTTGACATTTTTGGTAAAACAGTCCGTTTTGCAGTAAAAAAATAAAATTGCCTCATTGTGGTATCACATCATCAACACATGATAGTTTAAATCATAAAATGATCCACCACTGGTTTTCCTCACACAAAAACTCTTTTCCGACCGTGTAATCAATTAGGAAGAGAAAAACTGTCTGGATTTTTTTTTGCAGAACGCTTTATTTTCGAGGAAAAAAATCCGACATATTACACTATCCGCTCCACTGTTGCCAGGTGCTTGGAGCATAAATCGTGTGATATTGATGACACTGAAAGTTGGGCGGGTGTCAAATGTCAAGCATGCCAAAAACGGTTTCTTTTCATGAAAAATTGGAATTATCAACGAAGTTTCCATAGTTTTTCCCCGAACATTGGCCAATAAGAAGAATCCCATTAAAATGTCGCAAGTTTTTTTTCATTGGGCCCCGAACACGACTCGACATTAATCAATTGCTGCGAATTCGGCGACCTGGAAAACTCCAGAGTAATGGAGAACATGGATAATCCGACGCTTGCATGATTGACAAAAGCATGGGCTTTGGCGGTTATTCATAAATTAACGGAATGCTCTCAACGGCGTGCTGTTTGTTCGAACATCGTGTTAATTGCATTATTTGATTGCTGCGATTTTTCATGTCCCCAACAGCATTCATTTTTAACCGAAACTTTCGAAATTTACCTAATATCTACATGTCACTGTCAAATTTAAATTTGTTTTGACACCTGTCAAAGGTCCTAGTAGCTTTATATGATTGACATTTGTCGGGCATTTACACGTCATAATGTCATTTGAGAGGTCCACGCACTAATTTTCGCAAAACAAATTGCAATTTTTGCTGCGAATATTGGAATTTCAGATAAATTACCCGTTAAATGGAAAGCGGCAGGGCTGACAGGCTCGAAATCAAATATCATAAATGTTTAAGCAGAACAGTTAAATTTCTTAAACTGGTTGGGGGCGGGTGGATGGTAAAAACGTTACAAACATATTTCAATTTCGAACTGGGAAAAATGCCGGATCCTTGAAAAATCTAATCTTGCTTCCAATTGAAATAAATGACGTTTTCAATGCGACAATTTCCAGTGCCAAGAAAAGGTTCTTTTAAAATCATATCTTCTATTAAAGCCATTTCAATAAAAAATGATCTAGTTTATCCGATAATGGTTTAATGAGTGAACACTATCGGTTTAGAATCGTCGGTCGGAAAAAGAAACTGATCAAAGTAAATTGGCGAACCATTGAATAAAAAAAAAAGACACCGCACGGATAATACCAGAAAGTCAGTGGGAAGAAGATTGATTTGATGCAGTGTTCAATTTCAACTTTCTGCGGTTTTTTTATATGAAAACCCACCGGAATTTTTCATGCTTTGCCAGTTAACAACAATAGATGTATGGATTTAAACATTTGGTTTGCCAGAGGCTTGCAGCCACAGCTTTACCAGAAGCTTGAGCCCAGATCTTAGCTAGTTTTCTCTTAAAACTTAAAATTCACTGATTTTTAATAAGTATAAAAACTTATTTCCATATTGTCAATTAATTGAGACGATAGAAGGTTTCTTGCTGCCACCCTTCGATATCGAATAAAAAATTTATATTACACAGAATAATTTTAAATAAAAAAGTGATACGCCACTTGTTTTTTTCCAATTGAAAATGTGTTTCCACTTTCCTGATTATTTAGCAAGAGAAAAGGTCTCTTGGTATTTTTTGTGCCGTGCCCGGCTTTTAAGTAAAAATACCAAAAGTCGAGGAGTTGCTGCTTTCGAGTCGTCAAGTGCTCAAAACATATACCGGATACTTTGAATATAAAAAACTGAAAACTCCCGGAGTTTTCCGGTACCAAAAATTAGTTCTCAGTTCTATTATCAATTAGAAAGATAAAATGTTTCTAGACATTTTTTAGTGCAAAGCTTTGTGTTCGAGAAAAAAAATAAAAGTCGAATAAATCCAGTATTCAAGCTGCCAAGCGCTAAAAATATTTACCGGATACTTTTAATACACAAAACTGAAGTCCTGGATTTTTCCTAAACTAAAAAATTGTCTTAAATTATATGATCAATTAAGAAGAGAAAAGATCTCTTGACATTTTCAAGCTTTGTGTTCGTAAAAAAATGATAGTCGAACAGATGCAAAGCATACCGCGAGTTGTTAAGTGCGCAAAACATATACCGGATAGTTTTACTAGAAAATGATGTATTAAGCACCGGATTTTTTCTAAGACAAAATTTTCTACCAGTTCTATGAGTGATTAGGAACAGAAAAGGGCTCTTGAAGTTTTTTCGTGCGACCACCAGATTTCGAGTAAAAAAAATAAAAGTCTTACAGTTGCAGGATTTGAGTGGTCAAGTTCTCATAATTAACAAACTCAAACTTTTAAATATAAAAAATAAACGCCGCTGCTTTTTCGTAAATTAAACGTTTGTTTTCCAAAGCTTGATCAATTATGTAAAGAAAAGTTTCTTGCTAAATTTCCATGCGATTTCCGGTTTTCGGGTAAAAAAATAAAAGCCTACGCCTTGCAAGATTTATCCTGTCAGGGATTCAATAGATTGACTTTTCACTGGATAGCCGAAAAAAGAAACGCCTCTGATTTTTTTGCAAACCCAAGCCAGTGAGAAGACGATTGATTTGGTGCAGCTTTGAATTAGACATTTACTGGTTTTTTTGACAAAATTCAGTCAACCCTTGCTTGAATTATTTCAGGCGAATTTTCTTCTAATGGTTATTGCGGGATTGTTGGGAACTTTTTCAAATCCAATTCCTGCGAATTCAATTCAAGTTGAAACGGTGTATCTGCGCAAAGTAACGATGGTGAATCGAATTACTATCAAGCAGAGTGCTTTTGCAAAGTCTGAAAAATTTATTTTTAATTTCGTTTTGTTAAGCCTGCATCAAGATTTAAAACGTTTATACGTTCGGGCATTCGTTCCGGTATCGTCTTCTACTTCCACATATAATCGGATTTTTCGCAAAACGAAATAATACAAAGCATATTCGCCAGTGTTCTTTTTTTGTAGTCCTTTCCCCCCGATGAAAGAAACATTATAAATAGTCGACGTTTATTGTTTTGCTTTTTGCTGGAAACACTTCGGATTCGGTCGCTGAAACAAATTGAGTTCACAATCACTCAGACGTCCACCAATAGTGAACTGCAAGCGAAAACGATCAGGAATAATGTCTCGGAAAAACCTTTTGTCAGATTTGATTTGAAAACCTTTTTCGATTCTTCAGATTAAATACATTTTTCAATTCGATTGAATTGGAATTCGAAACAATGAAACTTTTCGAAACTCCAGCGGCCGCAAATCGGGGCGAATGTTTTTTTGAGTTATGCAGACGTTTATGATCGAATTTAGCGGAAACTTATTTCGCGAAATGTATTTATATTTTACGAGCTGCCGACGGGCTCATATTTACGTCGTATTATGTAAATTTCCGTTATATGGCCCCAAGTTATGAAACTGTTCTGTTTGCAGAAAGAAGGCACTACATTACTTCTGGCTGACATTTTCTCTACCTGCTTTGGCTGGGAACCAATCAAGCTGATAAAGGAGTGCATGCCGACTGCCTCATCTGGATCTCGAATTGATACGAAGTACGTCAACAATCCAGAATTGAGCGATGTAACCTTTCGGGTCGAAGGCCGGCTGTTTTATGCACACAAAATCGTTCTGGTAACGGCCAGCCCTCGATTGAGGGCGATGTTGAGCAGCAAACTGTGCGAAGGCGGCCTACCTACCGTCCAGATTAACGACATTCGATATCACATTTTTCAGGTAACTAATCCATTTTCCTCAAAAATAAATCGCTCAAACTCACCCAGCGCGCCCGCTGCGGCTGAAACATTTTCTCATATTTATAACCGAATGCTCTTGTAATTAAACAACGGAAATTTCAGCTCAGGTAGGGCGGAGAGCCTAGTTTGGTAATTAAAATAAATTAATTTAATGCTGGAATTTTTCTCGAAAAAAAAACACGGGAATATTTTATGGGATAGGATGGTTTCAGAGGCTTAAAATTTCTCGTTAATTGTGCATTTTCTTTTCTTAACTGGGCGAAAAACGACGCATTCCAAGTGATAAGAGGTATCTTCCTAACTAGGACAAATTGCTGATGATTGTTAACATTCTCTAAGTGAAATGTGTAGAAGTTTTTCTGCCTTTTTTAGTGCGTCTACACAAAATTTCCAACGTGGACCCAGTGGTTAATGGAAATTTTGACGAGCAAAGATTCGTCGTATTCAACATCCTGCTAATCTGCATCTAAATCTAATCATCTGCGTGCTAAAGCATTAAAATTCGCATTTTTCGAACCAAATGCGACAAGAGTCTGAAATTTTGAGTAAACATAACTAAAGGCCTGATATATTGCGTACAAAAAGTTCGGGGCGTCCGAAGTCATCATGATTTTTGAAATTTCAAAAAACTCATCGCATTTTTAGCAATTGCTCCAAAAAATCTCCGATTTCTGCATTCATGACCCGTAACATTCGCAATTTCCAAACCCAAGCAGGTGAGATGCTAAAATGTTTACTAGGTACAACTGAAGTTATTTTGAGACACATCCGAACTGGTCCTGATTTTTGCAAAATTATCGAAACTCACTCTAAAATCTTTTGATGTAAAAATGTGCGACTTCCAAACTTTAGCTAAAACAAGCCTGAAAATTTGTGCATTTGTGTACATGAAACTTCAGCATTCTGATCATGAAAAAATAAAGTTGATAAAAATGAAAATTGGTTTTCGAAAAAAATCCAAAGCTGGCAAATAAACTACTGCCATTTCGATATCTTCCGACATAAAAATTCACAACTCCCAAATAGCTTCATGCAAGAACGTGATATTTTGACCAAATACTGTCGATGCCTCAGTATCTCCATTTCAGGAAAAACAAGGTGAAAGTGAGGACAAGGATTTTTCAAAAAATCATCAGTCGGTCCGAGAAGTTTCAGATTTCTGCATGGTTCAACCGTAAAATTTGGAACTTCCAAACCAAAGCTGATAACAGGCCGAAATTTAGCGCACATACAAACAAAATCGCCCGACTAATTCTTCAAGAAAATTCAGCCATATCGAAAGGCATCCTGATTTTTAAAAAATTCTCAAAACTTATGGCATGCTTAATAATTACAGAGAAACCAACCGTAAATCTAATCCTGATTTTTCAAAATTTTTGAATTCACTCAAAAATTTAAAATTTTCGTTTCTTTTGTTATAAAAATTCTTTACTTCAACTTCAAAATTTGAGCTAACACAAACCTGAAATTTTGTAACCATATAGATAAAACTTCAGTAATCTTAAGTTGAAAAATTAGAATTGCAAAGATTGAAAGTTGATTTTCGAAAAAAATCCCAAACTAGCTATTAATGTGCTTCCATTTCGACCTAAAAATTCACAAGTTCCAAATTACTTCACGCAGAAGCCTGATATTTTCACCAAATACTGTCAATGCCTCAGGATATCCATAGCAGCAAGAAAAGAATAAAACAAAAGCACCGATTTTTGAAAAAAATCTGCAATCACTCCGAGATGTTTCAGGTTTCTGAATGCTTTCGAGAAATTTGAAAATTGCAAACCAAAGCAAATACAAGGCTGAAAATTTGTGCGCATACAAACAAAACTCTCGACTAGTTTCTCAAGAAAATTCAGCCACATCAGAGAGCATCCTGATTTTTTTTACATCTCAAACTTATAGCATTATTAACCATCGCCCCGAAAAGTCTCAGATTTCTGCATTCCTGACTCGTAATATTCGCAACCTCCAAACCAAGGCAAATAAAAGGCTGAAATTTTGTGCGCATACAAACCAAGACCCCAACTATTTCCTCCAGAAAACTCAGCCACATCGGAACGCATCATAATTTTTTTTTAATTGTTAAAAATCGCTCCGAAAAGTCTCATTTTTCTGCATTCCTGACTCGTAATATTTGCAACTTCCAAACAGATCCAAAGCAGATAAAAAGCTGAAGTTTTGAATCACTACAAAGAAAGACCCAACATGTTTCTCAAAGAAAATCCAGGCACATCCGAACTCAACCTGAGTTTTGAGAAATTCTCAAAACTCGCTCTGACATAACATCTCAGTTTTCTTCATCTTTTGATGTAAAAATTTGCGACGTTCAAACCAAATCAGATAAAAGCGTAAAATTTAGGATAAATTTGGATAAAACCCCAAAGTTTCGCAATTTTAAGGCAAAAGAGTAGTGGAAAAGAATTTCCACGACTAAAGGAACATTAAACTTCCAGGACATTGATAGTTGATTTCAATTTACTTTAACTAAGTAAGTTCCTGCAGGGCACCAAATTGAAGTAACTCCAGAAGTTTTCTTTGGACAACTTGAAACAGAATATATGAAAAATTGTCATCTTCAGTCTTTTCGGGAAAACTGAGCTCACCTTTGGAGCTTTCGATCAAAAATCAACTCAATAGTTTTGAATCAAAGATGATTTATATGTAAATATAAAGTGTTTGTGTCTACTATAATATATCTATACATAAGGAACAAATTGTTTAAAAAGGCGTTTTCAAACTTTGCAGAATGCCCCCAATTCATTTAATGACGGTTTTCCGATAGATTTTTAAGTTGGCGCTATTTGGGTGTTGGTCAAACATTGCGCCGAAATTAAAGTCTGAACTTGCCAAAATCCATCCAGACTTAGTTTGGAAGTTCCCAATGTTCTAATGGCCGATTGATTTTCTTTCCAATAACATTTAGCGGTATTTGGCTCCGTTCTCCCGTAAGTCGTAATCTCAACTTTCCCATCTTCCTTATTTGTCTCGACAAAACCGTAAATCTGCTCCAGAGCTCCGGGATTTTCCGATTTCATTACAATAACGGACGTTTTCCAGTTAAATTTCCACGACTAATTCTTTGCGTCAAGATAAGTGAAATCTGATTTAAATCGCTTACTTGTCGTTGCTCGATTCATGAAAATTTCATAAATTAATTTGAGCAAACAGTGTTCGTTTCGAGCCATCAAACCAATCAAAATATAGCCGGCGGGGCCTAATTAATTTGACGTATAGGGAAAGAAAGGAAAAGAGAATAAGAAAATTGAGAATTTACATCAAATTGGCCAAAGGGGTCTTTAAGACAACGGCTAAAAATAGAACAGTTTTCACTTTGTTGCTGCTGTAAACCTTGTTTTTAAATATGAACTTTTTAATTTTCATCAGTTTCATCAAACGCTTCCCCACTTAAAAGTAACCGTTTGCAACTTTTATAGTAACTAAAATGATAATTATTGTTTTAAAGTATCATGAAGAGCGATGGATTTTATACGGTTTTAAACCTATAAACATTATCTGACTGGGTTGGTTTACAGACGGCTCTGTAGTTGTTGGATTTTGTGTTTAATTGGCAAACCTTTTATTTCGGATGTTTTTTCTGTATCGGCTACTGATTTTGAGCAAAACATTTCGAAAGGGCTAATTGTAATTTTCCAAAGTATCCCTTGCAGATTTAGGAGAATTTGATTGTTAAGTTACGTAAAAACTACAGCAGATAAGGACAAAACCGTAGAGCCAAAAAAGTTTGTAAATGGACCACGAAATCTAGATGGCCAATCAACAGCAATGAACAGTCAACAGCAATGTGAGAGAAAAAATGGAAAAAAATCGCAATTAAGCATTTATCATTATTTTTAATTATCACGAATAGCGATGGGATTTGTATGGTTTTTATATCTAGAAATTGTTTGGAGCACGCCACTCATCGTGTTTTGGCACCTTATTGGATTCTGTGTTTAATTGGGAAACTTTTTTCTATCGAGTGTTTTTCTCTATCAGCGAGTGGTTTCGAGCAAAACATTTTTAAAGGCATGATAGTAATTTTCCAAAGTATTCCTTGCGGATTTAAGAAGATTTGATTGTTAAGTGACATAAAAACCGTAGCCGATCGGAGGAAAAGTCCAGAGGTAAAAAAGTTTGCTAATAGACTGTAAAATCCAGATCGAAGGTGAAAAATATACAGGGGCGTGCAACAACAAAGTGGCGGGGCTAAAAGTGGGATGACCACAAAAAAACCAAACACTAGGTATATTTGATCAGCCCTTTACCAACACTGATGGTGTAGCTAATATACAGCAATCCTCATTGAAAATGTGCACTAAATACCTTAAGCCCTAGCAGAAATAATGCAAAAAATATTATACAACTTTGCAGTTTCCTGCATAGAAACTTGCATCTCCATTGAAAGAAGAAAAATATCTCATTAATCTCTTAATCGCATATTCGCGGTGATTAATTGCATGCCCTTGCCAGCTGGAGAACAAAATATTCTCTGGATAATAAATTGAAAGTGCACATTTTCCGGATTCAAAGCTCTAAAGTTATCCGAAAAGGAGGATTTCAAGCACGACTTTAGTCCATAAGTTGCGTTAAGAAACGGATTTCAAGTGCTCAATTGGAGGATGTTTTGCTGATTTCAGATCGTAATGCAGTTTCTCTATCAAGGTGGTTGCCAGACTTTGGAACCCGCATCTGAAGACATTCTGGAACTGATGGCAGCAGCCAATTTTTTCCAGCTGGATGGTTTGCTTCGTTATTGTGAGTCCCGGTGTGCTGCCATGGTGGCTCTGGATAATGTAGTTTCCATGTACATACACGCCAAAGTATACAACGCTTTGCGCCTTCTGGAGTATTGCCAGGGTTTCCTGCTGCAGAATATGGTCGCCCTTTTGACCTACGACGACAGCGTGAAGCGATTGCTGTTTGCGAAAAAACTGCCCAATCACGACGTGTTGGCCGGCCTGTTGCTGACTCTTCAGAATCGCATTAAGGCCAGAAAAAGCCAGAGTTTAAGCAAAATGAGCCCGCAAAACGCCCCCAAATAATACCATGATCGATAGCTTTATCGGTCAGTTTGCTTTGTGATGCTCAAATATTTTATTACTGCCGTTAGTTGCGACGATAAATTATTCATATTTATGAACATTTCCCCAGCTATTGTCAAATCGAAGCCAATAAAGAATATGAAATGAGATTGTCATTAGCATCATTTTTGGCCCCTATCGGGCCGCCCTTTATTTACTCGCTGGTTTTGTGCTGGAAATAGACACAAACTGAAAAATCCTTCTGTTAATGTTTGTAAATTCGACGTAAAAAAATGCCAGTAGTAGACTTCTGAAATGCTACAAGTTAATTTTTAATTATCGGAAAAACCGCCGATGTTTTCGGCAATTTACTAGTTGAAATGGATTTCTCGAGGTTCAAAACATTAGGACAACRCTTTGAGAGCATCTAAAAATATAAAATAGGCGAAATTTTATACTTACATGGTAACATCAAAGTGTATGAGCGGCCCCTCGGAAAATTCGATGACASGTGGGAYACGAACTTGCGATTTTTACCAGAACAATCACAACAAATTGGGCTAATGAGGCCAAAAATATGACTGCGCTATCGATTTTCTCAAATATTACAAAACTGTTGAGACCATCGTGATTTATAGTGCCACTGGTTTTTTGTAAATTTTTACTCTCCGCGAAAACCGCCAGTATTTTCGTGAATTTATTGACAGAAAAGATTTCTCGGGTTCCAAACTTTGAGAACATCATTTCCTGTGCATAAAAAATGAGTTTTACACCCACTTACTAATAGAGTACTTTTTCTTAACTTAACTGCCTTAAAATCCTATGAAAAATCTAAAAAATACTACGGAAAATTCGACGTAAATTTTGTTCCAGTAGCGACACGCACTTGCGATTTTCACCAGAACATTCAGTATAAATTGGGCTGTCGACATGAAGAACTCGCTTGACAAACACTCAACTTCCTAATGTAAAACTCTTTATTCCACACCAATGAAGCACATCCTGCTGATAAATTATACAAAATATGGTTTTTGCTTAATAAAAATACTGCATTGTTTTGGGTTTGGTAGTTGTTACTTCGAGATATGGACACAATTGGAAACCGCCAGACAATGTTAATTAGAAATGGTTTATTCAACATTAGTAACGTGTTATCTTAACTATAATCACATGCAGGTAGTGGGGAAAGTTATGTACAAAGGAGTTTTAATCATCAGTTGACGTGGGGGAAAGTTTGCAAGTTCCGAAGTTTTAATGAACCGAATATGGGCGAATATGTGAACTAATAACTTGGTGTTACTAATTCGACCCAATTTTTCCTTTCATTGTTAATCATTCAAAATCGGGAATCTGGGAAAAAAAGTCGAATATTTCAACTTAGGGCATGCCTAATCGATTTTCGATCGAAGTCACTTAGTTTTGGCCAATATTAATGAGGCGAATTTCCGCTGTTATTACTAAACTTTTACATGTCACAACTTTTATTATCCTTCATTAGGCATTTTGAAAAACATCTCATTAGAAACTTACACTGAAAATATCAATTTGATGGTAAAAGTGTATCGGGACATCTCATTAAAAGTTTCCTTGATCACAAACTCACTAATGACGTGCTGGGAAAAACTCAGCTACGACAATGAGAAGAAATTTATTGCCTTTATCGTCAACTTTGATAGAAATTAGGTCGAAGAATTACGTACAATTAGAAAAAATGGATTTATTTCCTACTTCTGGAGGTTGTTTGCGTAATAGCCTTTACCCCTGTTTTACGTAGATTATTTACATCTTTGCAATGCTTTATATCACGTTCACTTCTTAATTAGTCCGACTATCAATGCCAAATTTCTGAGCCCACTTTAAGCATTTTCTTTCCAAATCACTAGAATGGTAAGCGACAGCTCACTTTTTTCCATTTTCCTCCAAACCAGTGCGTTTGACGAAAAACATTCAAGGGGCAAAAACATTCTCAATTAAAAGTGTTTGATAGGGAGAGAAAGATTTTGCGAAAATTTTAATGAAGGCACAGTTTTCAATTTTCAAATGTAATGAATGCATGAAAAGAGTTCTAAACAGGTCTTATGTTTAAAAAATTGTACACTATCCTGTTGCACCTCTAATAAGCTCCAAGTGTGCCGAGTTTCGTGAATTTTCCCCCGTCAAGTGCAAAGAAATAAGTACAAAACTTTTATTAAGCGCGGATTTTAAAGGGCCAATTGGCAAAAAGACAATATATCAACGAATAATTTAAAAAAATTGCAAGTAGTTTCAATTTTCGTGTGTGGAAAATTCGTTTTTTTAACCAGAAGGCTTTTTCCATCGTTTGGTGGCATTTTTTCCATTGGAAGTGGGTTTTTTGGCGAAAATCTCAATTTTATGTTCGAGGAGTCACTGACGTCAGTTAGTTGTTTAATGTAGAATAGTGAACACGTGCTCCGTTTGCTCCGTTCAATTGTCAAAAAATGCGGAGTTTTTTTAGTTTTCGGTAGAAACGCTGTGCATTTTCGAAAATCGGAAGTTTTCCTCTCCTGTTCTGTGCCACTTGTCATACCGAAAAGCGGTTTATTTGCCAAAGCACCGAGTTTTCTACTTGAGAATTCCCTGACGTTTGCTGTCAGTAAGTCAGTTATTCAATGTCGAATGGTAAGCAATGTGCTCCTTTCGCTCCAACCAATTTTTCAAAAATCCAGAGTTTTTGCAGTTTTCGGGCGAAACGTTGCGAATTTTCGAAATTCGGAAGTTTTTTTTACGACTTTAAGTTATTGATCCCACCGATAAGCGTTTTTTTTTGACCAAAAACACCGATTTTTCTATTTGAAGAATCACTGCCGTTTGCTGTCAGATAGTTCACAGTTCAATGTCGATTAGCGTGCCCCGTTCGCTCCGTACAATGTTTGAAAAATCCATGATTTTTCAAGTTTTTGGGCCAAAAATTGTGAGTTTTTCGAAAGTAGATGTTTTGCTTCACTACTTTCGATCATTCTTTCCGACCAAGTGCGTAAAAGCTCCAATTTTTATCTTCGGGAATTCACTGATGCTGTCAATATCAAGTTTGCAAACAGTGTACGCGATTTGATTCATATAAAGTTCAATAAATCCGAGAGTTCTCGTGCGGAAAATTGTGGATTTTCGGAAATCGGTAGTGTTTCCGCACATTTTGGTGTCATTTTCTTCACAGGACGAGGGTTTTTTAGCCAGACAACCCGATTTTTTAATAGCATTGCAGACTCAGTGAAGTTTGCTGTCATCTAGTGAAACTTTACTGGAAGTTTCTTCAGCACTTCGAAGACTTTGAGACTCCAGTAATGGACTATTGAGAAGCTGAATTGGAGATTTTAATGGTAGGTGGGAACTTCCTAAACTTCTACCGTTTAAAGGCTTTTCCTTAGTAGACAATGCTCAAAAATATTCAAATTAAGCCCAGCTGAACTCTGAATGAATGAAGCCCAACTGAATTGGACATAGATTTATCAAATTGCTTAGAGTGAGCTCAGAATTGCGATATCTATATACATCCTGTACAGGGCGTCCTACAACTACTGCCCCCAATATAAAACATTTATTATATGGCAAACAAAGGGTGTTTAACAATTTCCTTTCTATAAAAGGCCTTGTGCCTCAACAAGTCACACGTTTTCACGCCTTTTTGCATGATCTGCGTATTTCCGTATTATTTTATTGAAGTGAAACCGTTTCATGTCAGCTGAAACAGCAGACAATCCATTTGATAAAGCCAAAACAGTAAAAAGAAAAATCTGATAGATCGCACCAGGCCTGTCAAGTTTCGCTTGGAGGCAAAGAGGAAAATGCAAAGTCAGTTTCTTTAGCTGGCTTTTATCAAGTCAGCAAGAATTTGGGAAAATCTACATAGATACATCCATTGCTTGGTCTGGTCGAGGATTTTAGTAGTTCTTCATTGTTTAATCACTATGATTGGTTGCTTCTGGTTTTGGAGCCAATTTTTCCCAATGTAACTCTTTTTTACTCTCGAATAAGGGATTAAACAATATTGAATTATTTTTCTAGAAAATCTCACTTGAATGCACCCAAGTTTCGCTGAAAAGAAAACTTCTCGCTCATTGTGGCCAAAGGCACTAAACCCCTAAACTCCCGTTCGCCGAGTATTTGTTCAGTCCTGGGGTTAAGTTTTAAGCAGGCTTTAAATGGAAACGAAACGAAATTCCGGGAGAATTTCGCACAATTGAGTAATGGCGATGGGGGTGGAGATCTTCTCTGGCCTGGAGAGATATTGTGGAAATTTCCTTTGGGCCTAAATTTGTATGATTTTAATTAAATTTTTCCACTTTGGTGTTTGCTACGATTAACAAGCTATAAATAATGGAAACTAACTGTAAATATCCAAAAACAGAAGCAATCATTGAGTGTTTGGCTACAATTCTAAGCGTTTTCATTGAGTGTTTGGCTACAACTCTAACAATAAATAATTGGCTTAAGATTTAGAAATTTTACATAATTTACATGCATCATTCCCCGTTTAGACCCCGGTTTCGGTTTTCATCCCATACGTTTTATGCGTGAACTTCTTACCATTTCGAAGGTTCTCTCCCAGCAAAATCGTGCCTCCATCCTTGGAAATGAAAACGTCCTCCTCCAAGTCCTGCGAGTGATGGTTGTTTTGACTGTTCGGCATCGAAACGTAGGTGTTGCTGGTTTCGCGAAATGTGCCCCGTTTCAGGGCCTTTTTCGGCTTGATGCCGCAGAAAATCTCCTTGAAAGCATTCCGCATTTTCTCGGACATCACGTTGTATAAAATCGGGTTCAAGGTGGAGGAGAAGTAGTAGCAAATCCCGGTGATGAAGAACATCCAGTAGTTGACATACTCGATAATTTCGTTATCGCGGAAGTAGATGGCCATGAGCCTTTGAGCGTGGAAAGGGGCCCAGCACATGAAAAATCCCAAAACCACTAGAGCTGAAAGGGAATAACAGAGCTTCAGTTCCTTGATGCATTTGAGGTAATTTTCGCTAAGTATCGGAAAATTTGGTTCAGGAAATATCACGTAACAGCTCGAATACGATCACGTAAACTATGTGGGCTTCTCAAGAGCACTAAGGCCATATTTTATTGCGAAAGTCAGTTATTGGATTTTCTGGTTAGGGAGTTTGCTAAAGAAAACTGATAATATTATTATTACCAAACCAGGGATTTTAGTGCTGTTGGAACTTTATAGATCTCGAAATTGCACTTTCACAGTTATTTATGTTTCTCGAGATCCTAATGAATTTTACGACATTATTCCCAAACAAATTCGAGCCTTTAAACGCCCTGAGGGGCTTCAAATAGGTATTAACAAGTTTTCGATAAAAGGATCTGTTTTGATGAGTGTAATTTGGGTTGGAAAACTCCAATTTGAATCTAATTTAACAATTCCGCTTTATTTTACTCCGGTTAGTCTGCCTTTGAAATTTAATTGAACCGAGCATGAAATTTAAGCAAATTTATTTGTCGCTTTTTCTACAAATTGCTTTGGTAATTAATATTTTCCTTTAGATCTTTTGCCCAATAGAACAGAGATGAAATGAAATGGTCTTTGTGTAATAAATTAATTAGACTGACGTGCTCTGGCGATTTTGAGATACAGCGTGTCAGTGGTTAATTAAACAAGGTTTAACTCATTTGGGCAATGATTCGCAGTTTCTTTTTTATCGATTTCTACTCAGTTATAACTGAAAATTCCTCATTGGTATTTCTGCATTTTCCTACTCGGGTGACAAATGCTTATTCAGGATCGATAATCCTTATTTTCAGTGGTTTTCAACTGTATTTAATGGTATTTTCGCGTAATGTCGACTATAGTTGGTGCTGAAGGTTTGAGTTGCACAATACGTGACATCTTCGGGTGAATGCAATTTCCAAACCGCAAGATCGGATTAATCAATGGTGTGATAGCTTATCTGCGAATGTACAGGATTTTCGCACATTTTCCTTGAAATATCCGAATTGGGCGCCGTCATCTACTGAAGCCTCTGTGGCTGACACACTTTGGCCTCAACTCAAAATTCGAAATTTGCATCCTTACGTGCAACACCAGCACCGAGTTTATTTAGTATTCAACACCCGAAATAATTACATAGTGGGTGATTAAATCTGATAATTCAATTAGAGCAATGAGCAGAAAACTTACGTTGCCGCATAAACTTCGCCTCGTTAGCAACTGCATATTCCAACTAATTAACTGGCCCAACTACGGTATTTAATTATATAGTTTTGAATTAAATTTTGCTATTAATGGGCTTTGATGTTATTCCTATACGCATTTTTTTATTTGGGGGCTTTAACGTGGCTGTTTGATCTTCAATGTGAGGCTTTTTTCTTCGTTAAAATCCCTATCTTTTCATACGTGATTAACATTTTTAACACCGAAACTAAGATTCTGATGGAAAACGGTCTCAGTGTACCGATGAGAACATCATCTGAACATCCCTTAAATCAACTAGTGGATTTATCGAATTGATTCGAGTTGCACTTTATTGCCTACGTAAATATCACGTTCACATTGAGATTTTCCGCGGAACTAATCATGCTTTCCAAAGCCATTTCCAGATGAAACTTTCTAATTTAATCGATAAGCCTTTTCTGATTCAATCAGATTAAACCGATACAGTTGGAAAAGCTGGATATTTATATGCAACTCTTTTAGAATATTCATGAATACATTTATCCTGAATTATCTATTTTGTTGATTCTGAGGCATGAGCCGACAGACAAAATGCGTAACTCTAATGAACTTAAGGATGTACGTGCACTGGATAGTGTCAAAGGAACTGGAGAGTCTGCTCTCCTTTGGGCCTCGATTTCGACATGAATAAACTAAATTAAATCTTCGTTAAAAGCACACATTAGAGTGCAATTTGCCAAAGTAACTAATTTATCTGCAAATTTTAATCCGCACAGACCATCCGGTTGGAATCGCAGCCATTGCAGCCAGGAAACTAGCTACATTTTTAAATTCACGCAAAGTTTTCTTGATTTCCTAGCACTTCAGCGCTTAAATTAATTTTAATTGTTTGAAAGAATTATGAGGCATTTCAACCTTTCGCTGACGGGCGTCAGTTTGCTGTTGAACTTGAAAGCGAGTGTTAATGCTTTGCAAACAGAAGCGCCTCTGGACACAAGAAAAATTCCCGCCTGACGATAATGGGGGTTTACTGAAAGTTTTCCAATCGATCCCAATGTTGGCTTTGAAATTCTTAATGAATGTGCATAACTATTTAATATGTCTGCCTAACAATTGATTACTTACACAACATCCTTATAATGCTCTTGTTGCTCTGGTGTTTTTTGTTCTTTCGATGGATTGATCCTTTGACTTTGTTCTCGAATTTCGCTCTCGAAGCTTTGGCAATGGTGATGCCCATGTTGCAGTAAAGTACCGCGATTATCACCGTTGGCACTATGAAGAATATCAGGCTACTCAGCTCGGTCAGAGGAATGTTTTTTGGCTGGTTTACCATGGCGCACATGGCTGATTCCTGCAAAAATCAATGTTTGAGCCAATTGATTGGATATTTCATATTTCAAAGCTCTGAATAATCTGCTTGAATTACGTATTTGTATGATAGATTATAGACGATACGAGCTAGATCCTCAATCAATTTCACTGGAACAAAGGGAGTCGAATCTCCTTAATGTATAATGTAAACTCAAACAAATAACCCCGGCTTCCAAGCCAATCTTGCCACACAACTTAACAATAAATCCATTATCGATTTGCTGTTTGTGTTACAATTAGATTGGCGGTCCCTCCATTCAATCATTAATAGGGAGCCATGTAACTTAATAATGGAGCAGTGGAAATTACAGGTAAACACACGCCATTGTTACAGTCATAGTTAAGCCAAAAATTAATCGAATTAGTCCCATGATCAAAAGGTTGGTTTACACCGAATTGGCTTAAAACCTGCTTGTTTTCACTGAGTTCGATAATAATAAATCATGGTAAAAGCATCAATTTTTCTAGCAGCAAACGGTTTTCAACACGGCCTATAGAGAAACTACAAGTTGAGAATGAGCTTTTGATTGATTAATTGCTGGAAGGGTTGGTACCCTGAATTGCCTTTGATGGCAAAGAGTCGCTTGTGTGCTCGATCATAACGTTTATGGCAAACAATCAGCTGCTGTCTACTTTTTCCAATTATTTAGATGACATTACCTTTTAGAAGGAAAAGTTCCAATCAAATATCCAATTTTCTGATGAAAAGGTTGCGCATTAACACACAGGCACAGAAAAACTTACAGGCACAGAAAAACGTACTTTAAGTAGGCATTTAAAAAATTGACATAAAGGATGTTTTTAATAGAACACCCCATATATTAAAAGACACATCGATAGGATTTTGTTCCTGATTTCATAACTATACAGGATAATTCATGTGTTATTTTGAAAACTTCGGAAATCAATAGATCAGGTTAAAATAAAGTCGATAGAAGGTAGAAGATAAAAAATAATTCTTTGGATTATTTTGTTTCGGGGACAACTAAGATCAATCGCTTATGAAACAAGTGAGGAATTGATTCATATGTTTACGCTTTCTGTAACGTTTAATGAAATTTACGTGACTACATTGTGCCAAATTTCGTTAAATATCTCAGAAATAAAATAAAATTTGAAAAAATACAGACGAAAAAAAATTTAAGATAAATCAGTGGAGATCACTGTGGATCCGTTTCATTTAAATAATTTTTATAGCTTTGAGGCAAAATAAAGGGAGCGTAGCCCACAAAATACCCTCCTCTTAAGATTGGATGGCTAAAGCTTAAGCAGCATTTGTAAGGCCTTTAGAAGTTGTTGATACTCATGTCCTAATTTTAAATCTGTAGTTTAAGTTTAAGTTAAAAAGTTGACGGTAGTTAAAATAACAAGAAACAAAACAAGACACAATTTGACGAGCAACGTTCAGGGACGGTTTTGCCAGTTGTTCCCATTCCAGTTGAATTTCTTAATCATTTCATTATGTATTACTTTTAATTAACAGTCAACAGTAAAAATAAAGAATAAGCTCCTACATAAAGGTTTGTGTTCCATATGAAAAAATATTGTGAACTCTCCAATGCCCTAAGAAGTGTTTGTAGGTTCAAAACTTATGAAGAAAAAACTAGACAAAATATTTCTTTCAACAATCTGTAACTACAAATCGACGCGACTTAATAAACATTTATAAATCATGTTCAATTCTATCTGTTCTATTGATTCCCGGGGTTATCAAGATTAAATCTGACACTATCACCCTGTCTATATTGCTTCTAATTCGTTTACCGGTTGATATCTGGCTTTGGCTATCTGGCCTCCTCATAGCAGCGACGTAACGTCTCTTGATTCTTTTCCCCGGAGTTATTTACAGATTATTGTGTATGGAAGTCCGGTTAAAAATGTCGATGGCGCCTTAGAATAGAGTCGCCGATTTTAACCTTATTAGTCATGGTATTACGGGGCCTCATGAGATTTTCCGTAAAAAAAATGTATACAGAAAAAGGAAATTGGAAAAAAAGCTCTACCTAAGAGTTTTCGGTTCTATAGGCCTCATCCATTCGGAGCCTTTTTAATATCATTCGGAGCCTTTTAAAGGAAATTGTGCTCCATTTTCAAATGATAACGGTAAACTCGAATTTTTCCACGAACGAAAGGCATTTGCACTACAAACAAACTCATTTTCTTAAAGCCTTCCTACTTACCTCGACAATATTCGTCGAATTGTATGGATAAGTAACATAGGTAATAACGGTGTAAGCAGCAAACGGAAGGGCACAGAAGAAGGAAACAATCCAAAGTCCGGCAATGATCCAGACGGCTCTTTGAAGTCCCGAAATGGCCCGAAGATACAGAGGATAACAAATAGCGATGTATCTCTCTGTGGAGAAGGCGACTACAGTCAACACCGAAACGTAGGAAGCGCTGAAAATAGAAGAGTATTTCGTTAGTTGGCATGAATTTCCAGATTGATTAATCGCAGAGGAAAAGTCAAGCGAAACAGACCGTTAATGGGCTCGAAGTTTTACTCGAGTTTCTCAACGCAATATATGTATATGTTCAGGTACATATCAGTGAAACTCTCAATTTGCCTCAGCAAGTAAACAGCGATGTGCAGAGGGATGCAAATTAGGCCGTTTGCTGGTTGCCAGCCCAAGTTTGTCCACGTACTTTATTATAGCCTGATGGGGTTTATTTTGGATGAGTTTACGTGCCTGGCAGCATTCCCGTTTTTGCGAAAAAAATTCCTTGTCAAGGAACTTATTATAGAGCGTCAGCTTCGGAAGTTTCGGGCGCAATTAGAGCTTCTATATGGCAGGCGTCAGCCTGCGAAACCATCACTTTTCTTAGCTGGGAAACGAAACATGATGAGGCTGAGTTTCTTTAATAGCTTTATATGGAGTTGTGGATATAAAAACAGGAGCCGGATAAAAATTAACTATTGATAAATCAGAGAATAAATGTTTAAGCACTCTAATTTGCCAACTACAGCTTTTGCCCCAATGAAACTGCTTAGCAATCCAGGCAGGTTGCGACTTTTCATTTAAATGAAATTTGTATATTCAGGCAACTAATTAATTTGAGAAAACACGCATAATGAAGGAGATAATTTAATTTGGCCCATTTGAAGCAAACGCTGGCTGCGTTCGAAGAATCAACACATCCCGTTAATTTAGAGCGTCTGATTCTTGATTTATTCGACTTTAGGCCTTATTTATGGCGAAAATTAGTAGTCTTGAGCTTTATTCCAAGCAATAACTTGCCTTTCTTTGAGGCCACAACGTACCTTAGCTCAATATTGATGGAAAGTTTGACTCAACCCTTATTGAAGTGTTAAGTTATGCCATTTTAAGAGGAAGAATCCTGATATTTTATTTATGGGCCTCCATCCCTTGTTCATGCCAAGTATATAAATTTGATATATTTGAGGCCACCACCTTGTTAAGCATTTTGCCGACGTGTTTCGGCATTAGAGACCTCGGACATTCCCCAAAAGATTAATATATACCGTACAAATTGGGGCTCTTTCTCTTAGACGGGAAAGAATCTTTCCATTATGGATACACATTCCTGTTTTATTAATGCAAAGGCACCGACGGTTTTATTTTTTCTCTCGTTCTCGGGGTGGGCCCGAATGAAAAATTACACAGGAAAACTTAACTTTCCCGGCTTTGGGCTTGTAGTTTTGAGCGATTTCCCCGCTTTATATCTTAAATATACATGCACGCACTTGAAATTGAGCGAAATAACTTTAATTTGCAAATGGCATTTTGGGGTTTATATTTTTCGAACTAATTTGTATAGTAATTCAAGGCAAAATTTTAAAGTTTACCAGTTTCAAACGAAACTTTCCTAATTCGGGATGGCAAAACAGTAATCACTAATTCTATGGCGGTACGTAACATGAACTAAATTAATTATTTAATAAACAATGGAAACTGCTGGCGCAAAGATTAATGTTGGTAAAGAGTTTTTGGTCTCTGGGCGATTTCCCGCAAATGGGATTAAACCATTTAAGGTAATTTGAAGGAAATGGAACGATTTCCCACTTAATAACCCCACTAATTTCCTTTTGTTCACGTCGATTGCTTGAAGCTGAAAGCTAGTTTTTGTGTCGAAATATTGTCCGAGTTGGAGACGAAATAATCCTCTAAAAGTTCCAATCCGTTGAAGAAAATGGAACGAAATCTGCAGGATTTAGATTGTGATTTTATGTGATTTCAATCAGCTGCCACCAGCATCTTCTCATATGCAACACATTGTGCCTGTTTGCGTTTCCACAAGTGCACATTTCCCGTTGCATTATAATTTCCACAACACACTAGAGACATTTTCAACTGCATCGTCTGGAATTAATGTTGTCACTCAAACCAGCTCCAGTATGCATTAGAGCATTAATAAATATTATTCGTCTAACTGATTAGAACTTCCGTTCTACCCCGTATGGTTGAGATCGATTCGGTGACAAACTCACTGGTTTCAATTAAAAACTTTGTTATATTTTCAAATTAAATTGTTCAATTGCTTTGTACGCGCAGAATTTGATTCGGAGATGGACGCTCAATGGGCCGCTGACTGAAAAATTAGTTTGAGTTTAGCGAATGCTAGTTTTATGCTTCGCAATAGTTCACAGGTTGATTATATCTTCAATCCTTCTATCTGAAAAGGTGTTGATGGCACCCAATTGGCCAGAAGTGTGGTTTCAGGTATGTGAATCGTCAGCGCAAGTTCTCCGGAAACTAGTGCTTTTAGCACTAGCAGACACATCTCCTCCCAGTCTATGGAATCAAAATACTTTTTTAATAGTCAATAAAGATGAGCATTAGTGGCTTATTGTACCTACTCCTAGATTTTTTCTATCAATGTATTCATTACCTGCAGATGGTCATTTGCTTCTCGTTTCCCGTTTTAGGTTGAAACCAGTGTTTCTCGCTAGCTACTTTGATCGATTTCACAAATTTTCAAAATTTTTGACAAAATCCGGAACCTTTAAACGGCCTTTAAGGCTTGCGTTACTTGAGGAGAACCAGATTCGTTCTTTGTGTTCTGGTCTCATGTTGATAGGTTCCCTCAGTGAGCAATCGCTATCGTTTAATTCTTCAACATCTACATTTTCGCTGGTCTGTAGATTTTAGTCTCTGGTGCTCTGGTTCTGTTTTATTTTTGATCTATTCTATTTTTTCTGTTTCCACCAGTAGAAATCCAGGTCCATTTTCCCTGTTTTTCGAAGAACGCGTTCATAGCGAAAAGCTGGGTCTCTAAGAGGAAGTTCAAAAGCATGGCGTTTATTAAAAGACGACATTTAAATTTGTTTTGTTAAATGCTAAATATAATTTAACTAACTGTTTAATTTAATATACCATTGGGGCAATAGTTATTGAATTATTAACTGAAAATTCGAGGTTAAATCAACAAGCAGAAACCAATTAATAGAATTGCAATTAAACGTAATATTTGCGCAATTGCGTTTTTCATAAAACGCTTCTAAACCGGCTAAAGGCATGTAAAACTGACGACAGGGGCAAATAAAAATTAACATGCGCTAATGGATGTCTTGTGCGGGGGTAATTGTTGATTTATTTGCGGGTTTAGTAAATAAACTGTCGCTTGAATTGCGCTTGAGAATTTGATGTTTTAATTAGCGTCTATTGTGGTGGATGAACATGTGTGAATTTGTGAATTGGGGTTAATAAAATAGCGTCCAGCCCGGAATTTTGATTAAAATCGCTTTGGTTCGGCATTGTCTAGTTTAATGGTTGGCATAGCGTAAGACCGCATTCCCAAAACTTTTCGAATTTACATCAAAGAGTTAGAAATTAATTTGGAACAATGCCGGAAGAATCAAATCAAATAACATCATCAATTACGTTTTTGGACTATGTGTGTGTGACTGTTTGATTAATGATATTGTTGGACACAAAGCGGACTGCATTGTAGTCAAATTAGAGTTTAGATTTTTTGTTGTTTCCTGATACATTTATTAATTTATAAACTGCATTCGATTAACAGCGAATGTAGAAAGGTTTAGAAGTATTTTGAAGTGTTTCTACATACAGCGAGTCAACAGAGTCAAATACTTGTTCATCAGGCGCATTTAGATTTTAAATTATTTGCTTCAGTTGTTCGGTATGCTTTTAACAATATTTTTCGTTCCTTCCTAACCCCAGCTGATGAGAGCAAATTGGGTCGAAAGCCGTTTTGAAACTGTCTGAGATTAACATGTACCCAGATTAATTATTTTTTAAACTTTTCTAGCGGTAAAATTTTCCATCGAGTCGGACCCATAAAGCGGTCATTACCGCAAAAGTACTCAGCAAATGCCAAGGCACTAAAAACAATCCTTTAAAACCGGCTTGTTTTAACCCTTATTTGCCTAATTTTTCCATTTCTCTTTTCGACAAAGAACGGCCGGATGGCACGGAATGCAAATTAAATTGTGCAGGATTAATTAAAACCCATACTCAAATTGGCAGTGTTATTTTTAGAAGCGGTGTTTATGGAAATCAAACCACATTGATGGTAATTTTACACATCTCGGACCCAAATCTAATAAGTTTTGCTTAAATTGCTCTTCTTGAGTAAATAAATAATCGAAACCCCGATTGCTCCCAGACTGTTTCATGAGATAATCATACCATTTGTGGCATGGTTTTTGTGACTTTCCACTTAAAAATGGTGACACTTTCCTGGGATTTGCGCTTTAATCTTGACGGAGAAAACCGGCTCAAAAACTCACTCTTTTTTCATCTTCGCTAATTCGCAGCAAAGGAAAAGTTTTTTAATTTATTGCGCCTTCATAACATAATTAATGAGTTTCGGAAAAAGTCATTTCGATAATTTTTCACCGCTTCTGCACGTGGCGCAAAGTTTTCCTTAAGCATACATTTCTGGTATTACTTTTCCTTTTAGAGCAATAAGGGAAATTTGGAGCGCTCGGCGCCCGAAATTTAAAGTGGGAAACCGATTAAACTAGAATCAGTTCCCAATAAAAATCCGTTAGTCGAAGGAAACTTTGTGGGCAGAAAACATTGCATTATTTGACTACAGGATAGCAAAGAACCGTCGAAAAATACTCTAGATATGTTGCAAGTTGAAAACAAATCCTTCACGTTTGCTGTAGTTGATAAATTGCCTCATCCATCACAGAAATCAACCGCTATCTAGCTGATCGTCTGAGGCAAACAGTACATTGGTTTTCTGGATTTATGGCACTCATTGAAACGGGTAATGCATCTCAGTGTTGTTTCCTTTTATTCCTCATCTCGTCCCAGTCAATTTTTCCATTAATCTTTGCTTCTTCTATGTTTACCGCTTTTCTCCAACTAAACTGAGATGTTTACAATCTATCAGCCATTCACCTAAATAAATCTTCAACATTTACCAAGCGATTAAACAGGAACATTTGCTTTTGTCCAAGGTCCGCTCAATAGTTCAAATGGTTTTTTAATGTGGAAATTCGTTTGTTACAACTGTCGTTGCTGATAAATGGCTTCATCCATCAGGAAAGGAAACTTTTCCCACAGTCGGCTCCAATCTCTGTTTTCCCATCTTTCCCCGCCTGATCTTATTATAGACCGTTAATAGAACTTCACGCCCTTTTAGAAGCGGAAAAATTGACACACTTTGCATGTTCATTTTTGACTGAATAATCGAAAACATTGCGGAAAATCAGTTGGAATTAAATTCGCATTGTTCGCATTTAACTGATTCTAGGGCGCCACGAAAATACCGTTTCTAAAAACAACCCTTCGCTCAAAAAGACCACATCGGGGGCTCGAAAGTCACAATAATACCCTAATGTATGGCGCACGCTTTTGTATCCAAAGCATTAGAAAGTCGGCCATTAGCATACACTTTTGAAATTAAAGAAGTTTTTTGTTTTAATGCGCTAGCTGAACATTTCCCGGGGTAAAAATAAATCTGTACGTTCTCACTGTCGCATTTTCGCCTGGAAATTTCTACAGACAGTTTCTTGGGACGTGCGAAACACTAATCCGGGCAAAGATTTGCCGATAATGCGCTACCCTTCAATTAAATTGAGTTTTTTTCGGTCGAAAACCAAATTTATCGGGCGAAGACGGGGGCAACAATTTGTTTTTTGTTTGTCGGCCCAAATTTGTAATTTAATGAGATTTTCTATTATGGGTGGATACTTACGTTTCGGATATAAGAGCCCGAAATTTGCAGAAAAATATTCCCAATGGCCAAGGATACTGATGCCAATACATTGCCACATCATTGGGCAAACCTGAAAGAAAAATCGAGTTTTAAGCTCAAATAGTTTTCGAAAAACTTCGCTGGAACAAAAGACAATGCAGATGAACATTTATATTAACTTGTGGATGAAACTGAAATTAAATTGCTGCGCTTGACCCTTTTGGTAGTGATAAATCACTTAATTCTGCACAAACCTCCAATTCTCTACTAGGGACCGTCCACTTTCGTATGACTCCAGAATAGAATCATTAGTTATCTAGTAAACTTAAATGAATCTACGACCCTTCCAGGCCTAAAGGGTAAGAAATTAAATGAAAACCTTTGTTATCTCATTAGCTGAGATTTGTGTCGTTTTTACCGAGTAAACCGGCCTTATAGGCTTTTACAAAAAATTTGAAAGTTAGTTGGAAAAACCAAGAACAACCTGCGCAAACAGAACGAATGTGAGGTCTACAGTTTTGTTGTAAAGGACGTTTTGCCTCTGATAATTTTTTGAGATTTGTGAGTGCCAAGATTCAAGTAGGTAATTCTATGTGTAAGTTTTTTCCGGTTTTAGACATGGAACGTGTAGGAAATTATTTATGTGAATTTAAATTAGGAAATTTCGAAAATTTATTGTCAAATTTGCCAGGTTGAGACCAACAAACGATCACTCGGAACAGAACGAACCTTAATAACGTCTCAAGTTTTCTTCAATCGGATGTTCGCTTGAGTCTTTTTGATGATTCGTTAAGCACGTTGGCAAAAGTTTTGTATGGAAGGTCAATATAGATTTGATAGAATTTTCGAGTTCGGAGCAAATGAACGACGTTCTCGGGTAGAATCAGGGTTAAAGCCTCAACTATTTTTATGGGACTTATAGCCACTGGGGCATGAATTGATATGAAAATTGAATGACTGTTACACGTATTCGAAATGTTTCACCTTCGTTGAAAAGTTAGCAAACTTTCGATCAAAGAACGACTTGGTCAAAGAGAATGAACCTTTTAGTGAGCTTCCTTCCTTCGCTAGATGTTTGTTTGGCTCTGCTTCAGTTATTTTTGTGAAATTTTAGAGAGTTGCGGAAAAATTTCTCGGAAAATTCGATGGTTTTAATTTTTTTTTGTTTTGCGAACAAATTAACAATGTCCCCAAACAGAACAAACGCAATAAAATCGAGTCTTCTTACAGTTACACATTTGCATTTTTACTGGCTCAAAGTATGATGGTGTAGAAAATTGACAATTTTTTGTAAGACTTCAACTGTTCCGTAGTGATTGGAAAGTTAACGAAGAGAACGAGCCTTAAAGCCTCACATTTTTTAATGCAAAATGTTTGTTGCTTTCTGCCCGCCGCAGTTATTTTCGGATCTTTTCGTGAGTTGAAAGTTGTTTTGTATGAAAAATTGCATCTTCAATTTTCAAGCAAAAGAGCAGTCCCCGAACACTAAAGGCTCGAGTATGCGTATACAGGGTGATTCAAAATTGGCGTCATTCCTTTTAAGGGGTGATAGAGGCTTCCTTGGGGAGTACGATAAAAATATTGGAATTTTTTTTTCCAAAATTTCTAGAAGATATTAACAGTTGAAGATCGAATTTCAACTTTGTTATTAAGCATTATTTTGAAATTGTTCCATGTTTAATTGGTAGCATATTGGAATACTTAAGCATTCAACAAGAAAAATTACTATCTTTGCTTCAAATTACGAAAATTTTTGATATAGAAAAAGTTCTCTCCTACAATTTTTTGATGAAAAGGCAATGATGTTTTTTGTCATTCACAAAAAGTTACAGGTGGATAGACCTTGTCAATAATAACAATAATTTGTCAAACTGTGACTTACTTTGAATTTCCTTTTATGAATTTGCGGATACGCGATTAGTTCAGGGGAAATGCTACAGTAACATGGCAGAAGCTGAAAGAACTCACGCCAACAATGGGCGAGGAAAGTGGTTCCAGGAAGACAGTGGACGACAATCGATGTTCGGGTTTCAGGCACAGAGGAACACGTATTGGACATAACCGAATCAGGGCCTTCCAGGGGCACTTAGAGCACAATAACTGACACTTTCCTAAGCACCAAATAAATACCGAGGAAGGGCTACGTTCCTACCACGTTT